TTTTTCCCGTAAACCCAGGGGTCCCCCCCCCCCCGCTCTTCACTTTTGCTTCGCTTGGAGGCAACGTTTTCTTCATAGAGTAGCATCGATTTTTCACTTCTTTTTACAATATTCCACTTTTTGGGGAGAGACTCCATTAATAAAAGAAAAAAAACAAAAAAAAGAAGAAAAACGAATAGATCGCAGATTATTATCATTTTTATTTTTTATTTTTTATTCTTTATTTTTAATTTATCTTCTACTCTTTTAACATCATTCTTAATTTTTACTACGTTAGGATGATTAAGTGGTAATGCTACTTCATAGATTGTCTGAGCCTTCTTCATATATATCAATGCCTGTTCTAATTCATTCTTGTCTTCATACACAAGACCCATGTTCTCGTAGGTACTTGCAATATTGGGATGTTGAGCAGGAAGTGACTTCAATCTGATTTTAAGTGATCGATTGTAATGATCCAATGCGAGATCATAATGACCGAGACACGAATGAACCACGCCAATATTGTTGTACGACGTACCCAATTTAGGATGATCCGCTGGTAGATGCTTCTTCCAAATAGCAAGTGACTTCTCATAGAAGTCGAGCTCTTCAAAATACTTCTCCTCTTCTTGATAGATCAAGCCAATGTTGTTGTAAAACATAGCCATCTTAGGGTGATTCTCATCGTGTGCTTGTTTGAAGAGTGACACGGCTCGATTGTACGATTCGAGTGCTCGACCACGATCACCTTTCTTTCGATGAACACTACCAATGCTGTTGTATGTGTTACCAATATTGACATGATCAGATGGACGAGTTCGCATATCGATCTCGAGTGATTTCTGGTACCATTCGAGACTCGTATCATACTCACCTTTCGCATAAGCAATCATACCAAGACGTGGATACAACTCACCAAGGGAGAAATCATTCGATGGAAGTACGCTCAACCATCGACGATAGTACTTTTCGGCCAAATCGAATTTTCCCATGTTTCTTAACACATCACCAAGAGAGAGAAGATTCGTTTCCTCTCTGTCGTATTCGTTCTTCATGTGATCGTACAGTTGTTTGAGATCGCTGTCATGATCACTACATAATGTCATTCGAATGATCGACATTGTTGCATCAGCTGATGATGATGATGATGATGCTTGATCACCAGATATCTCATTCAATCGAAATATAGAACCAAGCATAAACAATACTTCAGATTCTTCTCCACAATAATAACTTAATTCATCAATTTGTGCAAATGGTCGTCGATTTTTTGTTTTATCGTTATTCATACAAACCACAGTAGGATCAGCTTCAATTTCAAAAATAGCAACTACATAATCGCCCGATGCACATAAATACATATTTTGTTGAACAAATCTTTCTGCTATTTTACGATTTAATGATGTTGATAAAAATGAATTCAATGAAATTATTGATCCACGTGATTCTTGTAATTTTTTATATTCCACTATCGATAAAATTTGACCACGATATACAGTGACGCACTTTTGACATTGATGAGCAAGCAATTGTTCGTAAATATCTCGAATAACAGTTCGAAATAGAAAAATTAATTCCGTGTTTCGTACACGCAAAGCCTTATTCATTACACGATACAAAAATGACTCACGTGTGTACCACCATATCGCTTTGGCCGATTCATATGCCATATGAAATTCATTCACCAATTTCAAATCCACCTCATTGGCCTTGTATTCTTTTTTCAATAATGCTAACAATTCATTTTTGTCTTGTTGACTGGGCTTCATTCTGATCAAAACATCGATCAGCAGTTGTGAATGCAGGAATTCACCGTTCAACTCTGTTGAACTACGATCCAAAATATCCATGGCCAAAGCTTCTTCGTTTCGGCCGCGATTCTTTTGATCGACTCGAATTATATCGATCAATTCATCTAATTTGGTGCACACAGCTTTTACCTATAATATATTAACACTGTGTATAGAATAGTTAAAAAAAATAAAATATAATTACATACTTTCTTATATGGTTGACTCCATTGTAAATTAGCCTCTTTGTCAAAGCAATATACATATATTGACGATACCTGAGCCAATTTTTGCATTTCGGGCACGACAATGCGACCCATTTGACCGCTGACAATCAAAATTGTAAGATCGCCTTGTTGAATAAAATGAACGCGATCTAAAAATTCTTTAGGATCGACAAAAGTCCGTAATTGATTAACAATGCTTCGTAATTTCTTTTGAGCCGTAATATTTTCTTCATTATTGACTGAAGCATCTAACCAGAAGATACTATACGTTTCCAAACTATCATTGCTGCTAGTTTGAGTCATTGAGTTGCCCATGTTTGATTATGTTTAAAAATTTGTATCTGTGTATGCGTGTATGTATTTATTTTGCGTTTGGAATTCGAATAATCGCGCCTTTTTATTAGACTTTTTTATTTGTAACAACCACGAGCGAGAAAAAGTCTTTCTCTTACCTTAACTATTTCGACTTTTTATTCAAAAAAGTTGTTATTCTTTTGTTCATCCTTTTACCTGACAAAAGTAAAAAGAAATAAAAAAAAAGCATTAATATTCTCTTTGATTCTGAGTTGCTCGCATTCAAAACGCTCTATATCTACCTTTGTTACTTCACTGTCAGGTGAGCAGTATTTCACTGAAAAGCTAAATTTCTTTTATCCTGTTTCGTTTGATGCATCTTAACTGCATCGTCTACAGCTTTTTCTTTAGTCAACAATATAACGCACACTTCACATGCTTGGTTTTTTCCAGCTTCGACTAAAAATAATTGGGCACTACCCATGTAGCTGATTTTATGAAATAATGCATATTGCAATGCATGCAATTACAAGATAATGCATTGAAAAATTCATATTCGGCACTTGCTATACAGCATCTATACAGTATCTATACAATCATATTAAATACATATCACAATTACCATACTTGTATCTCTGTGGTTGTAGACATCTATCCCCTTACCCTTAATCTATCTCGTTAACTTTCATCAATCATCTTATATATACTGTATATCTATCCAGTTAACGTATAATCTTGACCATACCGATAACAATCTAAAACAAACCCAATTAATGAATAAATAATTGTAATATTGAGTTGGAACCTACCATTTCGAGCTGATCGATAAGAAACTACAACAAAAGACAACGCACTAACAATTTTGCTATTCTTGAATTCAAGGTTATCATTTCGATCATGTTGCATTGTGGTCAAAATTTTGAACTAGAACGCATTATAGGTGGCGCTACCTTAGTGACTATCTCTTGAATAAGTTAGTATGAGAAACCGACTCAATCATAATCAGTAAATTAATTGTATCTTCGGTGAAATTTTTGTTTAATAATTTTCAGTGTCAGTGTCCAGGAGGATGATTCCGGCCACAGAAGCCGGGGTATTTCCCGCGACTTCCGCCGTGCTTCAGGACGCTGCCGCCAGGAACCATCCAGAAAACACCCGGTAAATGGAAGCAGTATTACAGCCTGGAAAGCACCGTACCGGATCCTTCCTCTTCCTACAAAATCCAATCTATGGGATCACTTCGGAACAATGCCATATCTCGACGGAATCCGAAGAGAAACTAATAGTATCCCGTTTAAAACCGACTCGAATTCAACAATATCTACCGGGAAGTACCAGGGACAGCCCAAATTTTATTCGATATTATTATTGACAATAACATAAAATGAAGGAAATCACCGTAATAGGCCGGAAATATTCTCGAATTGGCAACTGCCGTCTTTTTTCCATGCCAATCCACCCCTTCCGGCGCTTTCCGACAGGAAACGCCTCAAGCCGGCTACCAGACCCGGTGCAGTCCTGTGCGATCATGCTCTTCACACACGGACATATTCACACATAACCCTCCGGAAATGCATCAATACTCAATTTCCCCGCTAATTCCTTGAACATCCACTACCTCTCATCATCGCAAACGAATATAAGTTTTACCCAAACACCTATAAAAGCATTTGCAAACTCATCTAGCCACAATGCTACACAAAAACACATCACGGTAGATCACAGACATCGCGATCCTCACTAGTCATACAAATTAAACTCGCTCATCCCTCCAACATGCCACACAACAAAACCAACAAATAGAACACAATCCACTGAATCAACGCGGTTTCACCCAAAATCAGCACTGTTTCAGCCGTTGTTAGATCGCTTAGAATATAATGTTCATCTTTTTGTGACGGATGGCTACGTAAATAAAAAGAATGTGTATCTGATTTTTATATTATAATTGATATTAATGTTTGGAGTGACTCTACGTGTTGCATGGAGGCGTCGGAAGTCTTTTTTCGCAGAAGAATGGTATTGATTAATAAGAATGATTGGTCTCGTAACCACATTGTTTGGGCTTCGTCGATAACGCGAAGTCGGTTAGGTGCGATCGGTACTCTTTGACTGGGACAAGTCGTTGAAATACAAGGGGGGAAAAGCGTGACTCCGCACTTCTCCTGTACTTCCATCGTAGTTCCATGTACTCCCACCGTACTTCAAATTATTTTTGAAGTAGATGAAGTCGCGCTTTTTCCCCTTGGGTATTAAACACCATTTCTGTTAATTTCAGACATCAATTTTTTATTCAAAGTGCAACAGACTTCAAATTGCTTTCTATTTCATACTCTTCATCTACAATTACTCGGGTTGTAATTACTTTTTAAAATTAAAATTGTTCACTAGTGCATCTGATTGATTGAGATATAGAAGATTGATGTCAGTATTAGAGGTCTGCCCATGTCACTCAAACCGTTTCAAAACCGACGGTTAACCGCGGTTCTTAAGAAAACCAATGGTTCTAATCGATTTCTCTTCGTTGATCAGTTCATTTATAATTTATTGCTAAATTTACGTTTTTAATCTGGAAAGCGTAGATTACGACTCAAAAAAGTCTATATATATTGATACCAGAGTATATTATGTCAGATGGTACCATTCATTTTCGTATTGATTAAGTGGTCATACTAATGACTACTTTTATGGCGCCATCTTTAATAAAAGCTCAAACGCGAAAATCAAGTGAATTCAGATTATGTGGCTGATACCAGGGATTTCAGCTCGTTGGTATATATGAGGGAATGTTATTCCGATCAAAATCTCACGATTTTGTCAGAATTTAAAAATAACTATTCACTGCAATTCCAAAAAAACTAAGCTGGATAACCGTAGTTAACCGAACGGCTAATCGCCTGTGTCGATATACCACTCGTTCTATCCTAATCAATGTACATAACGACTTTCTCTTCGTTGTCATGTGTATTCTCTCTTCCTCTTTGCCGTGTTCTTTCTTGTTGTCTTCGGTTGAGTGACACGCCCCGAGGAAAGAAAGTGTAACTATAAAAGAAGAAGGATGATTGAAATAAAACAGTTCGATATCACGATAAAACGTTTTTTATCGTTACACCGCTCAGTTAACTGCTGGTAACCGACGGTTTTGAAGCGGTTTGAATGACATGGGTGCGGCTCCAAAAAACATGGAACTGGGAAACAAGCTAGAATCGTAGAAAAAATTACTCAGGAACTGCTAAAGGAATCGTGGAACCGTTTCTTTTATATAATCACCTACATCAAGTTTTTTGTCAAGCTACTATTGAAAAAGAAACGATTCGCAACTCATGTCAGGCGTGATTCTATACTGATCTTGAGGCGGAGAAACAAATTTTGTGGTCAGCGACATCAGTGAACATGGTCAATACCCCACATATTGTATATCATAACCACATTTTGATAGGTAAACGGTTCCACGGTTTAGTATAATAATTTTGGAACAGAACCGGAACCGCTGTTTTGAAATGATTGGGAACCGGGACCGGAACCGCAGACCTCTACCCATAAGCCACACGCACACCCACACACCGTCAATTGCGTTTTTAGAATTATGTTAATTTTCGGTTGCAGGTAAACCTATTTTGTATTTGTTTGATTTATTTGTCCGAGTTAATTGTGTACCAAATATTACAAAAGTACAAGTTTTGGTAACTAGTTTCTACTGTAGTATATGAGAAAAAGAAATAGGTGATATAGGTGCTTCGTAAATCATATATAGAATGTGCATAAGAAAGATGAATGAAATGTTAATGTTTATCAGAAATATAGCACAAGTGTTTCTTCTTGTTTTTTGTGTTTTCAAAGATTGCCGTTCTCCTAATGATCTATTCCCAGCCTCGACGACGTCTTATTTGCAGCAACGGCGTCTGCTTGGTCAATACCATGAGTGGTTTGCCTGCTTGAACCTCGTCCACTAGAACCTTGTCCGGCTAAAGCAAAACGTTCTCTGGGATCACCGCGCTGTGATAACTTCTTACACCCAGTATTTCACCACTATCATTTGGATTAGAACCACATCCTACACGTACTGCTCTTTGTTGAAAATTCAATGTCATTTTTTTCTACGAGAACGAAGAAGAATATGCTGCCGATGTGAGAAAACGATTGAATAAATGTTTTCTGCTCTTTACGAGAGTAAATTTCTGAACTGATCATACGAATCTTTTTTTGTAATTGGTTATCTCTAGATTTTCTTTCGGATTAAAATCAGTATTTTGAATATGTGATTTTTTTCAATATTCTATTACGTGCATGTCTTTTTTTATATTGTTTGATGAGAACAACAGCAAATGAAGTCTCATTCTCAAAATTTGCTTATTATTTATATCAATTTTTAGAAATGATTACTGAATATTACAGTTATTATGGGTAGATTTGGCTGCTTCAATAGGCGTCGGTGGTACATCAATATTACGGTTCATATCTTTAACCACAAGGTGTACAGTGCTACCATTTTGGATGCTATAATCGGAAAAAATTTGATCATTTTCAAGCTGTTTGCCTGCAAAAAGAATTCTTTGTTCTTCAACAGGTATCGCCGTGCGTTCATAAATAGCATGTTTCACTTGTGACACTGTATCATGATAGAAAATATCTAAGTTAATAACTTCACGCTTGTCGCCACTAGAAATAATTGAAACACACACACGGTATCTTTCATCGAAAGCATTGGACAATATAACCGTATTAATGGTACTTCTATTTTTAATGTAATCGTACGATGCAACTGTTTGTTCATCTTCAAGTGTTCGGCCCTCGAAGCTTAAAAATTGATCACATGATGGAACTTCGATTTGTTACGATATTTTTTCTTTCACATTTTTTGATAGTCAAAGATGGATCAATATCGATTAACAAAGGTTTATTTGAACCACGTTGCGGCAAGCATGCTTTGGTACGAATTTGAATGATGAAAATATGCATGTGTAAATTGTAGAAGAAATATTTTATTCCAGTATTAATAGAACTATATAGGGAAATGATAATAGTCTCGATGAAGCATTGTAAGTCATGTGTCATTCAAGTAGTTTTATGGAATTGTGTACGATTTAACGTTTTCTCTGATAAACAACTTTTAGTCATTTGTTGCTGTTTGAATATAAAATACTATGAAAACATTTAGTATTATCTAATAGCAATTCCACTTTAGCTTTGAAAATTTGTTGCTTTCATTGATAATTGCTTTTTTGACGTTTTCGATGCAAGCAAGGCACTTCTAGAAAAATTGAATGACATTACTTCAAGACTAAAGTTTGACTATAATTAAAAACTAGCATTCTCTGTAGAAGATATTAAAGTTTTAGGAAATCTCAATGTGCCGAAAACTTTGAAAATGAATGAATTACTTTGACGACAGATTATCTCATGAAGAAAACAGATATTTAGAATTACATGTAAGCTAAAACATTAAGTAAACGAGTAGTAAATCGGCATACGATGTTTAAAAGCATTCAGGATAATATCATTTCGAAGGCTTTTCTACAAGTTAAGAGCGTCAGATTTTTTCGAAAGGCAATAAAGCCTCTCAAATTAACCTTGGTAACTAACTTTTCTGACACACTCAATAACATGAATATGAGGGAAAAAACGATATTATATGGTTTACTATATAGTTAATTGAAAGTTGATAATGTAGATTGATATACCGAGTATGCCACAAGTTATCTGTGTCTGACAATAGTATTAGTGTTGTAATAATAGACAGCTCGATATTATTCGCGAATTATATTATATATTGAGTTAGAAAACAATCCAATATGAATCGCATCATGTGATTCACATGTAACGTCCAACTCCAAACAAAAAAGTTATATTAGTCATCGAAATATAAATTAAGTTTCGGACATATTATTATTGAAAGCTGGTAAAAATGAATTTCAAGTTATCGTGACTAATCGATCGTGACACAAACGTAGCAGGGCATGAAATAAAACTGAATCATATTATTAAAGTATGTGTGGCAGTAAAACTGACATCTATGAACTGTGCTTGCATAGTTGATAAGGTAGTTTTCAGCTACAAGCGATTAAGGCATTATGATAATAAACGAGGGCAGTTTCCCATATGGTGTACATTTAATTGTAGACAATAGTTTTGTTACATTCAAGCCGATTTATGAATTAAACTATTCACCAACACATCTTCACTTTCGAGGACGCTTCTTCATAGAGGCTGAATGGTTTGAAACAACGAACTTGTAGTTTTCCTAAAACCAATGTTTCGAAAGTCTTCTATTGAAGAAAAATTAAAATACTTCATCGGAAAAAATCTATGGAATCTTGTATTTGATCGATCGATATATTTCACTTGAAAAAGATGTTATCTTGTTTCTTATTAAATTTTTGCTGTGAAATCCTGTCATATACTATTTGTTGTGATTAAATCTGATTATTGGTGACATCTATGTCTAAGTTGGATCATGATCGATCGAGAACAATAGGCGATAATTATATATAAAATTGATAAGAAAACGAAGAACCAATACAGCACGTTTATTTACTAACTGAAATCTTCTTTTGTTTGAAATTTAAAAGTTCAAATTTTCCATCTATCAAATTCATGAATATTGAAATATCGTAATCGAATTAAAAGAAAACTGATAACTATATTAAAATTTCATATTCTACGCTTTTTTAGATTTATTCAAAAGAAAAATATAGTAACCGATCAAAGTAGTTTTTCTTCTCTTTCTTTCCTTCTATTTACCTACGTATTTGTATGGTATATCAGCATGTCGTGGGATAGAACGTGCTCTATGTCAACAACATCATCATCCTCATCATCCTCATCAACTGGTAGTGTTTCGTCGACAACGTTCCCACTGTCGGCATTACCACGTGACTATGAGATATCACACCCACCACCATCATCATCGTCTTCTTCTTTTTTCTTTCTTCCTTCTTCTGATTACGTTGAAGAACAATCTGCAAAAGAACAAGAACAAAGTAACTTATTACCGCCGCCACTGCCTACAACGCCTTACAGTTATCATCACCAACCTCATCATCATCACCTTTATTCGCCTGTATTTCCCTCGCGTGTCAATCTGTCAGACACACGTTCATGTAATACAACCAACAATTATCCATCTCAAGTGCCATTATACGATACGTCTTCTTCGTTTCAATCCCCATTTATATATGAGCAATATTTAACATCATTGAAAAGTGAACAATCCGAGCATTTGCCATATTTATTTGATAATATTATTTATCCACAACCATGCTCACCGCCATCACCAACCAATGATTCCATAACATATTATCAACTTGATCAAGCTAACACAACAACAGTCATAAATAAACTTCCTCAACAGCCTCATATACAAACACTCCAACCTATTACTTATCAACAATTATCACTTGTTGAACCGGCAACATCGAATATTCAACAAAAATTACCTATTGTTAAACGTTTTTATTACGATTCAAATATGTCAAATACAACAACAACAACTATTCTGACAACAACTCCAATAATGACAAATACGAATGAAAATGATCATAGTAATTTACCTTATGCTCGTCTTGATTCAACTTATTTTGGTACATATGATATTTGGCATGAAAGAACAGTTATTGGAAGAAAAAATAATCGACGCGAAGTCGATGTTAGTATGGGTATGTTATCGATACATATTAAACGCAAAAGATGTTAGATACTGGTTGTTTGAATTTTCACTACCACCAAATAAAAAATACCTAAACTTGCTAAAAAATAGCGAAATAAATCGAGACAATCAACAATCGATTGATCTTCATTAGAGATAGCTCTAGAATTTCGTTGAGTTTAAAACTACAGACCAGAAATTTTATCGAGTATGTCACAATTACTATTCAAGTTTATCCAATTATTGTTTTATATCTCGTTGATTGTATTCAAATTCTGTACAAATCCGATGAATCTTAGAGATAAATTTACGATATTCGATAATTAAAAATAAAAAAACTGAAAAATTTCGTGCTCCGATCGAGAGGACAGTAGATGGTTTTCTTTTTAAAAGCAAGCGAGTATCGTTTATGAATAAAACGGTTAAAAATATATTTTATTCACAAACTTATTTTTCTAGGCTCAACCCCTGTTGTTTCTCGTATTCATTTTGAATTATTGCTTCTGAATGGTAGTGAATTTCATTTAAAATGTCTCAGTAAAAATGGAATCTTTATCAATAATAAATATGGAAAAATGTCGTCAACAACTATTTTACCTAAACAGTATGAATTTTTTTTCTGTTAATTCTTTTATTAATAACTTTTTTCTCTAGATGTACCCTGCGTTTTCCAAGTACTGATTTATGTATATCATTTTCATCGTTAATCAATAATAATCATAATTCAGTAAGTCGAACATCAATGGAAAATACTCCACGTCATATATCAGCTGATACATCACAAAATCCCCGACGTTTATCATCATCAATGCCAATTGATATAACATCTTTAATATCACTTCAATCAGTTCCGAATATTACACCACCACAACAACAAGTTATTTTTGTTGAAGTTAGTCAACAAGCTCAACGCATACTCAATCATGAATCCAATAATAATCTTCCACCATTGACAATTAACATACCAAATTCGTTGTCGTCATCAACGGGTTCATCGATTTCAGCTGGCAGTAGCACAGGACATATAATATATCATTATGAGAGCCCAAAACAAAATAATAATTCTTTTCTAGGGTAATTTTCAAATAGCATATCATAGATTTTTTTTATGTATTTTCATTCTATCTAATAAGACCATAAAACAATGATTTCTCTAATTAAGTTCATCCATTTCATCTTGTTCAACAAGTCCGAAAAATGAAACAAATGAAAGTCAAGCCACAGTTAGGTAAAACAAAAACCATAAAAATCCGATTCTAGAAAATAACTTTGACATCTTTATTTTAGTTCCCCAATCATTCAACGAATTTCATCGACTACGACAGATAATATTCAACACGAACATGACAATAATAATCTCAAAACACTTACTAAACCACCATTTTCCTATGCTCAATTAATAGTTCAAGCGATTATATCTGCATCTGATAGACAAATGACACTAAGTCAAATCTATAATTTTATATCAGCTCAATATCCATATTATGCAGCAAACAACCGTGGTTGGCAAGTTAGTAATTATTCAAATGAAAAACAGCAAAACATATTTTTACTTAAATTCCAGAATTCCATACGACATAATCTTAGTTTAAATCGTTATTTTATTCGTCTTGCTCGTAAAGAAAACGAATCTGGTAAAGGAAGCTTTTGGCGCTTAGATCAAACCTGCGAAGAAAAACTAATTGATCATGCATTCCGACATCGCAAACAACGAGCTAGTTCAACCAATACATCAACACATTCGAATGCGAAAAATGAGTAAATGTTCACTTCGGTTTCTTTTTTGCTTTAAAATTAAATTCAACTTTAGGCCTGAAGAAATTCATTCGCCGAACACACACTTTTGTAATGATCAAACAGAATTTTTATTAGCTGATATTCATACAAGTAATCCATCGACACCCTTATCGCCGATGGCAAGTCCATTAACAACAGTTATATCTCCTACTCGGCAACCTAAAGATTATAAACGAAAACGAGCTGATGATGACGACGATTCCATCAATCGTGAAATAGAAGCATTATTAAATTCCATGATAAAATCTATTGACAATAACATAACAATACTTTTCAATAAAGCAATAAAACGTCAGAAAACATGAATATTTTTCTTTTTGTTGAAAAGATTTTCTTTGCTGTGTTTTGTTTTTCCAAAACATGATTCATTGTCGATTATTTTCTATTCTTTATATTTTTTGCTCGTTTTTGTATCCCAGTGATGCGATTATAGATGATGTGATAAAGCAAAACTGTTTTTTTCTTTTCTTTTTTTTTGTTTTGTTATTTTATTAGCATGAAAGTTATATTGTGATGGATTTTCTAGGCAAAGAAAAAAACGTGAAGCATTTAGTAAAACATAAAATTGCTTTTCCATCAAAACTATTTAACACTATGTTTCATCAATGTATAATCCACAGTCTTTCTCGTTTCATTTTCAAGCTATCCTAGATGAGCTGATCGACTTTTAATTAAGTTTGCTTAACACAGCAAAAAAAATCCTATGAGATTTGATCGGATTTGATTGTGTTCGGAATCGATAACATTATTCGGAACAACAAAACACTTAAATTAAAAGCCTTTCGTATAATCAGTTTAGCATTCTCATCTGTAGATTTTCTGCAAATACTTTATTAAAACATCGTGTGGCACATTGGTTTATTGTCTTGCAAGACATATTTTTGTGTTATTGTTTTTCCAATTTCTATAGAATACTACAGAACAAATTAATAAATTCCTCAGAAAAATGATTTTCATACTTTGGAATGTTCCGTGCGTAGAGCGTCTTCTGATGAGAAATTACCATGAAATGATCTGTGTTCGTGCTTTATATCGCTTCGAGAATTATTGTTTGACTTTAAATATGAATCACCAGCTGGACCGAGGGTTCCACGAAACGATTTTTCAATAGTTTGTGTGTTAACTTATAGATGGCCTACCAATGGCATAGAGACCTCGATACATTCGAAGGGTCAAGAATTTCTTTTCTATCATATTCTTAATAAATTATAAGTGTTTTCTATTAAGCCCCTTGAATAGAATCATCAGTCTTTTATGACGTTGTTCATTGAAGTCTAGTTCCAATTCATTTTTACTCAACAAATAGTTAGCGAATAATTTTATTCCACTCATTCAATGAGCATAGAATAAAAAAGAAAAAAGCAATATCCTGTAAAAAAAACTAGAGAGAGGAAGACAATGGATGACACGAGGAATGATCCTTCAGCAGAGAGTCAAAATGTTCTTCTACTTCTCGATACAAATAACCAATAGCATTTTAAGAGTAGAATAAGATCTGTTGTTGACAGCCTTTTATCTTCTCTATAGCTGAGTTACTGAGGAAAATAAAATTAATTTGTCTTTTCAGACTTATTAAAGTAAGCTACATAATACTGTTAGTCTAAAGGCAACATAATTGAATGAGTATTTTTATGACTTTTTCGATAGCTTTTGACTAGAAGAAAGTTATTCTTAAGGGAATTTCCACGAAGAAGTGTCGACATGCATAACTGAATGTATCCTGCTTTTTTAATTACTAATCCGCTTCTTGTGTTAGTAACATGTTTCATATTTCTAAAAGAATATGCGAAGGCGACAATATCTTTCTATTATTAGACTATGAAGCTTTACTGAATATGGTCGTATTCTAGAAACATATTTTTTACCTAGTACTCAGGTAAATACGTGTAGCATTGATTAGTTTCTACGATTATGCAAATTCCTTCTCGTTGTTTTTCTTTTTGGTATAGAATTTAAATCATTGCTCGGAGATTTGATTTAACTCCATGAGAATATTTTCGAGAAAGAAGCATCATTTTAAATAGATCACTCTTTCTTGATAGCCGCGTCTCTCAAGACTTTTCTAACGAGCTACTGACATGTCTCTGTGATGACGCCCAAGAAAATGTTGTCGAAATTAAGTTAAGACATTACTATCGACATGCGTAAGCACGATGAGGATCATAAATGTGTAGAGATAATTTTTGAAACAAGTCAATTTACATTTAGAGCAAGGTTCTACTACAGTATTTTGCACTTTTTTTTCTATTAATCGAGGGGAAATCTTGTTATATGTCAAAGGTTTCATCAGACAGAAAAAACCTACTTATACAAGTGTCATCCTAAATTTGTTTTTTCTCCAAATATAATAGCGTCTATTCCAGATCTTGTAAGATTTCAGATGTGATATATTTATCTCCAAATTTTTCTGATAACGACATCATAATTTTATTTGCAGCGAATGATAGGAGTGGCAAAAAAAAGAGAATATTGCAAATTTCAGTGAGCCGATTCGGTCAAGTCGAATTTTCTTCAAGTTAAAAATTGAGAGTGCAGATGATACAGTACTTGTCTAGTGCATAATTATTTGCGGAGAACATCTATAGCGATCCGTCGGTACGACGAAGAAAATTAAAAAAAAGGAAGTGGCGGTACTTTTCAGAATGTGAGAGAGAGAGCGATATGTTCTCGTTCGACTATTTAGGCTATGGAATTTATTTCTTATAGATAAAAAGCTTAGTTAATATAGAAGTGTACTAATCAAGTCGAATATTTCTAAGATGCCGTCGAGAATATATACTTAAATTTATAAACGTAAAGAAAAATTATATATTTTTCAACCTTTTTATTTTTCATAGTATGCGCCCTGTTTTTATTTGTCTTCTTGCTAGTAATTCAAGACTCGTTTGGCAATCAATTTAACATCTGAGATTAAAGCTAAGCATTTGCACGTACCTAAAACTTGAACTATAATTTTATTTTGTACTTTTAATGTCGCGCTAAATGAGCCCGTTAGGAAGAATATACACTTATCCTATCTTTCTTCTGTCCTGCTTTATAGGATTTCTTAGGTAGACAATAGTTCTAATGAAAATCATCTTAACCTATATAAATATTCACCGGATGTTATGTCCCTCGAGAAACATTTTAAAATCAATTACTTCTTCTATATGACTTTTTATTTGTGTATTAGCCATGAAAAAAATTCCTTCATTAATAATGACAAATTGAAAAAAACAACCATTAACATCGATCGAAAACGCATTTTCCCAATCATATGCAGCGGCTGATCGGTCTCATATGCCCACATCCTGTCAAATAGGGCCTATACCCTAAGGGCTTTGCACTCTCTACAAACTATATCTGTTTAATTTATAGCTTTTCTTCAGTTCCTTCACTACCGTTCTTGTATTGTTTATAAGGAATAGTGAAGACAATAACGTTTATTTATTTTTTCACCACACACCACTCGTTATAAGCCAGTTCTCTGGTTGGCACTATTCGAAAGCGAAAAGGTATGATCATGATTTTCTCTTGTGAAGGATAAAAGAAGATTATTGTTTACAAATAAATCCGATGATTTAACACAAGACCGAAATATTACTCAGCAATAGATTTTTATCAAACGTATAAACAGAAAGATTGTTTCAATATACGTTTGTATGAATTAGTGTACAAATACATTAGCTATCGTCATAATGACTTCTTTTTCTATCTTAAATCACCTTGCTAATGATTTGCAGTTTGCTATTTGATTGATAAATAGGTTGGATAAATTCTTGACGTCGTGCGACTGATGACTTGAAAGTTCTTCATTCATATCTCTACCACGTTTAAATAGCTGCTTGCTATCAGATAATTTAAACGCGGTTTACAGGATTTACTGTCCTTTGATTGCTTTTCTTAGAAAAAAATTTTTTTCTACATAAAGTATAAATTTCGCTGCTGAGGATTTACTATCCAATGGTTGAATAACTTCTTTTTCCAATTAGCTTTTTTCTCATTTGAGGATTTACTGTGCGTTGATTGCCTCGAAGAATAGAAATGAACAGAAAAATATTTTTCGCAATCAACTATGTATATTTAGAAAGAAAAGACTTCGAGGAAATATATGAGGAAATAACAAAGAGAATAAAGAATTGATTAATAAATAACCCAAAAAAGATGAATGGACGTTCAACTTTTTGGTGGACGCTGAAAATATCTAAGTCCAGCAGCTTTTAAGAATGATGGAATATTGATAATCGAGGTAGAATAATTGTCGTTTGCCATGGGTAGATTCAGCAAATATAACAGACACTTTTAGCAAGAGTACGATCAGAAAATTATGTTCTTTGAATTTATATATATTTTTTATAATTTTTTGTCACATAAATGACTGTCTTACCCCTCAATTTGATGAGCATCCGTCATTTTAAATTGAAAATTTATTCAACAGTTCGCTCATTGGTGACTTTTTTGTTTTTCAACATTTATGTAATTTTTTGTTCAGAAAAATAATTGACTGTCAAGACCATTACTCATTTATTAATTTATCTTCTTCGAAGCAATTAATGGACAGTAAATCCTCATACAAAAATAGCGTTAATTGGAATAATATTTTTCCAATCAGTGGACCGTAAATCCGGGGACAGTAAATCTTGTACTCGTATTCAATTACAGTGATCTATCAATTAGAGAGTGTTTTCTTTGTTCTGAGCCGCTTTTTCATACTATGAGCACTTCATAAGGGGTACTTTTGAAAAATATTCCATTTTAATGCAGAAAAATTCAGAAAAATTGGCTATATTACATCTAACAATCGTTTTTTTGCGTTAAGCCTAAATTATCTTATACTACTATGTTAAAATATCGTTTCGTGATGAGAAAAAGACATCGAGGTGAACAAGTATCTAACATGTTTTTAAATAGCTGTATTAATCTTTCTTTTTAATTTGAAAAAAAAAGAAAATCTTAAATCTAAGCTCCAATTTATTGCGCTAAATAAATTTCTTATAGATAGCATGTAGTCAATAGTTTCTAGATTTTATTTCTCTGAAAACGACAAAAAGAAAAACAAGGCAATTAAATATAAGTGATTTTTTTTTAAATATTAATTGCAAGGAAGAATAGTTTTCTTTTGGAATATATTTTTTCACAAACAAAAGTGTACTTTCCGTGAACTCAGAATGAATCAAAACATAAATTAATGGTTTCAAGCATATTCTTATGCTAAATATTTCCTCTTTTTTTAGTTAGATGGATTGTAGAAGCCATGTTTTCATATTATGCATTATAGAATTTACATGAGATCACGGATTTTCGTCTATTATTATTTTTAAATTAGAGTTCGGATCATTATTCCAATACGTTCAATGGAACACAAGAATGAGACAAATCTCATATCAAACTGTATTGAACTAATCTTTCATTTTGTTTTCTTTTTGATCCTCAAGATTAGTAATAGTCTATAACAGATTATGTGCAATGGCCATTCTAATAGGAAATTGAAATAGAATCTTAGGGTTAATAGGTTTTATTCCCTTTCCCTTGAGATTCTTCTTTTGCCATATAATTTCATTGAATATTACTTGTTAGCTTAAATATAAGAACAAGAAATAATAGATCTTAGAGTCACAGAAATTTGATTGTCAAAGTCAAATAATATTTAAATAACTTTGATATTCTGTTCTAGTTTTATTAATTATTAAGAATTAAGTGTCTACATGTACGCTGGCGCTTTATAATTTATGCATTGATTTACACGCAGGAAAATATTTAAGCATATACTTCCTCTGGAGTATTATCAATTCGATTTTTTTCTTTTACTTTCTTAGTCAAAACTGCTCTAGATTACAAATGGATTTCCTTTCGACAATACGCGTGTTCGAGTGTCGTGTCATATAAGTATATATTTTTTCTTCTTCTAGAAATGCAATTTTATGTAAGCCTAGGCGCCAGTTTGAATTGGCAGCTAATTAACTAGTTTTGATAAGATGAATTAAGTATGAATGATGCACACGAGAGAAGCGGATAGCACTCAATAAAATATGAATGTAGAGGAGAACAAGAAGCAACTCAAGAAGCATAATATTGAATTAGAGACCAAAATAAGATTATGATTTTTCGAAGTATGTATATATTTGTGATGATGCTGATGTAAAAAAACGAATTAGTGCGATAGTTAAAATGAAATATAGAAAAGCGATTTGAAGCGTCTGTCGTCGTGTCTACAACAGCATAGTGCATAGGTCAAAGGCCTTTGCTTTTGTTGTCCTGATAGTTTCTCACGATTGTCGTTATTATGAGATTTTGCACTTAGATTGCACATACATCGATGATTAATTAACTTACAAGGACAATTTATATGTACTGAAACAGCTAAGATTTGTCGAGAGAAAACTACAAACATACTTTTTGTTTATTCACATGTTACCGAGGCTAAACATGTTTGTTTGTTAATACGGAGTTTTTCTTCTATTCCCTGTTGTTTAATAGTATTAAACATTGACAAATTAATCCATATGAATATATTTTTATGAAGCATTTCGCCCGAGAAAACCATCAGAAAACCCTTGACATATGGTAAACATACTCTTCAAAATCCTATTGATCCATCAAACTCTGACGCCACACTAAACATGGATAAGATAAATATCGGAAACAAGAAAATAAAATCAATTTTTTTCCAATGACGTGTAACTCAAAAAGATATACTAGTTGTTTCTTGTCAATCTACTATCATCATATCAGATAAAGTATTCATAGTAGGGTAACTCGTAAAAAGAAAAGAATTCTATAGTCTACACATACAATGCAATGCTAATAACAGGCAGAGAAGAAGAAAAGCAATAAAATATGCTGTCTATTCTAGTCAGACTTTTACATAGATATGACAGAAAATACCGAGTTCAACCAAATAGTTTTTCTTTTTCTTCACAAATGATCAAATCGTGCGTGCTGAAGCGATAAAGTGAACGTACACATCGTAAATTTTTTATGCGTACGACCTCTCGATGAGTACTTTTGATATGAGGATATTAGTGGAAGATTGACCACTTGTGGATCACGAACAGATTTTTATTGTCTTCATATTTGACAGCTATACTCTTCTGACTTCGCATGCAAAACTAAATTTTCAAAAATTTAGCCTTCCAAACGAAGTGTGAAACATACAGCTGCAAAAATTTGAAAGATAGGAAAGCTTTCCAGCTAGCGACATTTGACCTGACTGTTAAGTAGATGAGATCATTAGATAACAACTAATCATTTCTTAGGAAGCATTATTCAACGAAAAATGAAGACGCCCATATACTAGATGAAATTGCCAAGCGATAATCAGCCATACGTAGATACACAAAAAGAGAAGCAAGAAAACTTTTTATTTTCTTTTGCACTTCCGACAGCTTCTACGTATTTATGTATATTTTATGATTGCATGCGCACTAATTGGTATAATTATATTTGATAGTAGCCTGCCAATTTTTCCTACTGTACTTAACGATAAGTTTATGTATGACCGTCTTTGAGCACTAAACAATCGACATCTAGAAAAACGTTCGTTTTTATTATTATTATCTTACATAGTAAAATCTGCATGGCGTATTCCTTATTCAAATAGATGAATAGAAATAACCTATATTCTGATTCGATCCTATGCTCTTGATTCTAAAATGTTTTCTTTTTCTTTCTTCGAGTATATTTATAGATAAATGACGGATTTATTTTTTCTTCCTTTCTTTATACTTATTGCCGTTTATATCTTGATGAAATATGCAAGTTTATTGTATAAGAAAACAGGTTCTCTTACTACGAGCAACAAGTTCAATGATACTTTTTTGTTGTTGTTTTTTGATAGACTAGATATATGTTATAGAACAGTAAGAAGAGACCGCGCTCACAACAGATAGAGACGCTTTCGTGAAATAAGCTATTCAAACATTCTACTCTCAAGATCAGGATAATCTCAGTCTAAAGAAATTTTTATTTTTCAATTATTTCCTTGAATAAAGTAATCAATAGGTCGCCAACTCCATACAACGATAAAAACTTTGGCTTAGTCGTCTACTCATAGATAGAAAAAAGAAGTTGCTTTTTCCTCTTCTAATGCATGAATAAATGAAAGTCATTTTCCTGGCTTAGGATTCTATTAAACGAAATCAGAATTGATTTCTTTCTTGATGGGAGAAAAAGAAAGCTGTTGTAATGAATGTAATTTTTTTCTTTTTTCTTTTTTCTTGTGAGAAAGAAGGACGAGACAATACAGATAGAAAAAATAGATGTGTGAAAGAAATGTATTGTTTTTCAATTATCAATGTCAATTGACTAGAGAAATGAAGATTCATAAAAAAAAGATCTGAGGATTGAGCAAATAAATGCATTTCTTTTTAGTCATTCAAATGAATGGAATGGAAACATAGCTGTGAGTTAAAAAGAAATGTCTTTTTTTACACGACTGTGTTCAATGATATGATTTAATCATGACAATGTCTTCAGATAAGATCATAGAATAGTCTCGAGACAGACTATTCTTTGTTCACTAGACACTATGAATTGTTCTTCTCGTCGTCTATATAATTTTTATCAAAAATGGTATGTTGAAATCTATTTTTCATAATTGGACTGTCGGATTCGCCTTGCTTTCTTCTTCTATAGCAACATTTTACTTCTCATTGATATTTAGATAGTGACATGCTCAGAATTTGCTAGAACACTTTGAGTTGAAGTCATATGTAGATTCAATAGAAAGTATGATATCGTTCCTTTTGCGCTACAAAATCAAATACGTTTAATTGAGAATTTCTTTTGTGCACAAAAAAATTAAGTTATGATAGTTAATTTTTTTACAACTGAATAAATATCTCTGGTTAGGATGGAGCATAGAAACTTATTCGAGATAAAAATCTGTACAACTCTTCTATAGTCATGTCTATGAAAATTTTTTTCGTCGTTATACTCAAATAAACTCACATTATAGTGCCCATATGAATAGTCACCTTGCTCGAAATACGACTATGCTAAAAGAAGATAGGCTATCAACGTGCTCAACGAAGAGTAAATTATCGAATCAGACAATCGATAGCTTTAATCTAGTCTGAAAAGATAAGTATTCGAAAAATGATTTCCTTTCTCTTATCAATATGTTCATCGCTTCATAGTCAATCATTTGTTATTGCTCTTACTATCAGCAAGATCTATCTATGTAGTTTGTAAATTCAAATTTTTTCATTTGACATATTACATAAAGAAAAGAAACATTATTTCCATGATATTTATTAATAAACAAAAAAGAAATTAAATACACGGCCAAGAGTTTAAAGTTCAGTTATATGAAAAAACAGATGACATATTCGTGCTTGCCAAAGAATTATCTTTTCCGATGACACATATTTTAGGGAGATTCTCATTGTTCATTTTACTTAGAGAAAAACATATTCAGTAGTGAAAATCTGTATATCTTTTTGAAACAGACACGCGTGCACTACTTCATTAGCGTGATGCCCTAGGCGAATCGTAGTTTTCTAAGATGTTTCTCGCAGCATCATATGACACGTTGCACTTGCCTATCAATTCTATCAAATTATGGCTTTTATAAGCCGAATGCTTTTTGCCGAATTGATTCGTTTTTTTCCTAGACGAGAAAAATCCGTTTATCGATTTTTTTAATTAATAGCTCTCGAGAAATAGATGCCGTAAAAAGAAGCTATGCAGAATCAGAAATATAAAACACACATAAAAATAAATCTGCTTGTTGTTACGGAAGAAAAAAACTGATGAACACAGGGAGAACTCTTTTGATTTTGTCCCATTTGAAGTATGCATTGTATGCTATACTACCATCATGTTACTTCTATTCTCTTCGTTACTATTATCAAATAATGACAGAAACATAATTTGATTTTACTGGCATTGAGTCATCAGGTATAAAAAATTAAGATATGTCCGAATTGAAACTTTTCTCCCTTCTATTTCCATTCTTATGTTCAAAATAATGATGTTTATATATAGCATATCTAACGAACGTTTATGTCTTATCCAGATATATATATATATATATATAATTGAATAAATATTTTCTTCATTACTTCGAATCATTTAATGTAATTAACAGCACAATTACATACAATGAATAAGTATGTTGTTTCTAAAAATCAGGACTTTATTTCCTGACATAGCTTTCTTCATAGTTCAACATCATCCGAACACCCACTTGAAGAATGGGCAACGGTGTTATTAATAAATCGAATTGTTTATCGTGGTTATTTTCTATTCCTTATTTTGGCCGGTACTTGCGGTAATCTTTTAACTGCAACTACTCTTTATCGATCAAAATTACGTAAATATACAACATGCAAATTTATGGCTGTATGTGCTCTATTGAATATCGGTGTCCTATTAACAAATACGCTTAATATGATGTTAACACAAGGCTATGATATTCATTTACGTAGTCAATTTAATTTTGCTTGGTGTCGGTTAAATGCATTTGTTGCCCAGTGGATACGCGGCATGGCATCATGGGCACTTGTCATCGTCGCATTTGAACGTTTCCAGCAGTCGAAAACAATTCGACGTACACCAGTAAAAAAAAAAAACATTGTTTTATTGACAATGGTTGTAACTGGTTTTATTCTTTTAATATTCAATTTACCTTATCTTCTATTTACTGGAAGTAAAGTTGTTTTGGCTGAGAATACAACATTCTTAGCATGCATGTTTGATAAGCACAGTCAAAATAAATTCCAAAGGTTATTTGCCTCAACAAGCAATTGGCAAGAACTTGTCACATATATTATTGTGGTAAGTAGTTTAAAATTTAACAACTAATCAATCGAATTTTTTTGCTTTAACGAATATTTTTTTTCTTACAAAAATTAATCGCTTCTATATTTCACTTATTATCAACAGCTTTTACTAGACAATAATATTGTTTTTATATTATTTTTTTAGCCATGCATATTAGCGTTAATTTTGAATATATTCATCATAAAGAATTCATTTCTAAGTTCAACTAACAATGAACATTTAAAATCACGTTCAAGAAGCCGTACAAGACGCGTAACGACAATGTTACTTGCGTCAAATATTGGCTTTCTAGCGCTTGTTGCACCTGCTCAAATTTTCTATGCTATATCATCTGATCCTCAGCGTGAGATTGACTCCCATGATGAATATAAATCATTTATTGTGCAAGGAAATATTTATCAATGTTTAATTAATACATATTATGCGGCTTCGTTTGTGTTTTGTTTTGTATCGTCATCCATATTTCGACATGAAATAAGTAAACTTTTCTATAGAAAGTATAAAACAAAGCGTTCAATTCCAAATGAAACAAAAGAAGGTTATTCGTCGTATGAAAATCGACCGTTTTTACAACACCCTCGACTTAGTAGTTTTGCTTATTCGAATTGTAGTCCAAATAATGAACACATGATTGAAAGAAGAAGTACAAATCGAGCGACGGATTCAGCAATTGAAACAGCTGGATTAATGCAACAGTAATTTTACTTTAATTAATGTTCGGTTCACGCAATGTGCGGCGATGTTTTCTTTTCTTTTCTTTTTTTCTAATTTCTTGATTGCACCTGTGAAAATCAAAATGTATACATATACCTTTTTAATGCTGTTAAATGTAATAGTCTATATTAGAGTTCTACGAGTTAAATTTAAATCCACGTTTGAAATCTTAAAAACTAGAAATTAGGAATACATCATTAACCTCTACACAGAATAGAAGCCCACTCCCTGAGTTAGATTTCTCCGTTGGAAATCAAGGTTTACTTCATGAAAAATGAAAGGATGAACATTTCTCTATCAAATAAACGCAAAAACTGGCATCAGAGCATGCTTTGCTACAAAATTATAGCTTGCGGAACAGAGACACCACCCATGGACTTCTATTCTGTAGGAGGGAGGGGGGGGGTAGCAGATATTCTATGATTGATTGTTTTTCTTTTGGTCACNGACAGAGACACCACCCATGGACTTCTATTCTGTATGAGGGAGGGGGGGGGGTAGCAGATATTCTATGATTGATTGTTTTTCTTTTGGTCACACTAAAATTATCTCGTAGTACCAAGGGGGAAACGGCAGCTTTTGAACTTTTGGACTTGGAGTTATTTTGAGCTACTCCAAGTCCGCCGTTTCCCCCTTGTGTAGTATTCTAATATCTATTTATTTATCTATTTATTTATTTATTTATTTATTTATTTATTTGTTTATTTATTTATTCATGTTTGTTATAATGGTCAAAGAATAATACTTCAAATAACTTTTTTTTTCTGTTGTTCGCACGATTCTCCTATTGATTATACTTTGAACAAAATTCATACATATCGTGATCAGTAGCACTCTGATACGTTCATAAACATACTTGCATGACATTATTTCAGCTTGTTAAAATAAAAATTGTCAACATACTGAATTAGTCTACTTTTAAAAAAGGATTGGAACTATAAGCACAGAATCATAAAAGAAGATTTCTTTAAAGCTAATGTGTTTCACGGGGAGATGTTTCTAGAGGTCACTCATAATATTATTAAGCTAAGAGAAATGATTAAAATAAGTGACAATGTTAAAGATTTCCTAGTTGGTAAATTAGATTGTCGTGTGTTTTGTTCATTGGGAAATGATATTAAAACTTAATTATTAGGAAAAAAATCAATTTCTTTACAGTTCGTAGATGGAATAAATAAGAATACGTTTTTTGAAATCATATTCAAAAACTTCAATTTCAGAGAGACAAAATCTGTTTTTTCATATACGAATCTGTACAAAAAATAAAGGTGCTATCAAACTGAAACATATATACATCAGCAACCCAGGTCGAGCAATCCGACAGTAGGCACCTATCGGAACCCATCAGATCCGACTGGAATCCAATAGAATTTAATCGGATTGTAGGATATTTTTCTAGGTTCCTATCGGATCCGATGTCGGATCAGTCGACCTGGAAAATCCAATTCAGCGCTATATAATCGTTCCAGCTAAAATATTAGCTACCCACAAATATACCAGCTCAATTTTTAATAATTTATGATCTGATCGATTAATAAACAATACCAATTTAATATTAACAGAGATCTGAGAACAAATATATCGATTCTACAACCTTATAAAGTACTTTGAAACTCTGAAAACGCTTTGAAGATACTATTGTTACAGGCATATCTCATATGCTTTATGCCTTACTACACTCTTATCATATACAAGCTTGATTCTTTCTGAGGAACATTCTTTGATGTTTTTTTCTCTCTCTCTTCTCTTGCCATTTTTTTGTTTTCTTATTCATTCGAATACAACGCTAACACATTGAAGGAAGCTTACGTTAACAACTATTAATCTAGAATTCTCTTTATGTTGAATCCTATGAAATCATTTCTAACGTAGCAGTCCATAGCTTTCTTCTCTAATCCTGTAATAAATTAAGTTTTTTAGTACATCCGGATGAGTAGGGACTTTTTTAATTTTGATACATACGTGAGAGTGAACGTCATGCTTCAACCCCTTCAGCGAAAAAGTCACCCAAACCCGAAAAAAATTGTTGTTGAGCTGGCTTAATGCTGTTAATTATATCATATAGTTTTGTTCTAGCTAAGCTTTCAAAGGCGGTTTCATCGCAGTACTTTTTGTAGTTAATAAGAACGTGAGTTTTTTGCAACTGAAGAATTTGCTTGGGTAGCTCATGCTTTTCTCCATTGTCCATACGTAGTACAGTTAAACCATAAGTTCCTGTAGAAAAATAAGTGAGAGATTATTGAAAAACTTAATTGACACTACCAAGAATCTTTTAGTCATTACCTGAGACGAGAGCACTACTTTCGACAAGCCAATTCACGAAATGCTTGATTTTTTCAGGATCAGCTCGCTGTCTAATAGATTGTTGCGTGTTTTGCTTCAATATATACTATTGTGCATCGTATATTTTATGAGCTGCTTTGACAACATGCTCTGAGCCGCCAGAAATTTCCCTAATCTTTTCATACTTCCATGATCTAGGCAATAATTACAGAAGTCGAACCTGTTCGATAAAAGGCATGTTTTCCTCAAAGTATGCGCCATAAATATGCTTAAGATTTTGGACCATCTCATTATCGATTGTTTCGTTGAAAATTCGAGTATTTTCGATGCCTGTCTCGAGCTGAGATATTCGTAGTAGTTGCTCACTTTGCCATGGAGCAAGTGTTTCTGCCATCTTCCCTAGAGTTCAAATATGTATATTAGTATTTTGAAGGAAAACACTCTACCAGAACATACTCTGAATTACTCTTATAGTACCGGTTAGCTCCGAGGTGATACAACGAAGACCACCAGCTGAATGTTTGTCTAATCTTTTTCTTGTTTGAGATCGAATTGGACTTGAATTGACTTGAGATAGAATAAGATTCATCGAATCCCGCGAATCATTAATTACGAATTCGGATGCACTTCTAACATTTAAAAAAGTTGTGATGGGACCTACAGATAAGTCATCAGGAATCATCAAAATTTCTTTTCTATGTTTCGAGCATAATCGAAATATTACTTCAAACAATTGTAACAATTTTAGCGAAATAAATAAAGTTACTTTCCACCGACTGCAAATCCTTCAATTTTGGAGCAGGTGGTTATATTAGCATGGCGACAATCACGAACAGAAGGACAATGTTTTGAGTTATGATCGGGATGATGACATGTGGACTTAGAAGCATGCCAGTCAATTCCATAAGAGCTTCGATGTTTGGGGCAAATGCTCATAGAATCATCAATAAAGATATCAAGGTAACGTATTCTATTTGCTATAAGATTCTTTTCATTTACGATAAAATCATCCTCTTCTTTCTTAGAAATGACATTTTTACTCTTCAGATATGGTCGAATATCTATATCTTTGAGTGCAGAAAAAGTAACACATGTACACGACCAGCCAGAATAATCTATTAAGAGACAAATCGTTTTTGATTGACATGAAAAAGACTGCTTATTATGTGAACTGTTTCCACACATAGTCTCTCTTGAATTGCCCCATAGACAGCATTTCCCATAATTACGCAGTAACAACTCAACAGAACGTAAAATATAATCGTGGTTATCCGTGGATACCGGATCAGATTTCATCAGAGCTTAAGTAATTTAAAAAGTTGCATTTTTTCCTTTATCATATGCAACAAAGAAACAAGCTATTGGATGAATCTCTACGCTGAAGTTGTGGTTCTGGCTCATCTTCGTTGTCAGAAAACAATCTAATGTATGGTGGAAACATGTTCTTAGGTTCCGTGTAGTCATTTGAATAGAAGGGATCATTAAGTAAAGCGCTTGTCTCATAATCTTCATCTTTAGTAAGACATACTGAAATACTGCAAGAAATATCCATCGATGGCATATGTGACGACATTGAAACTTCAGGAGCTGTTTCGTCAATAGTGTTGGTTATATATGTGCTGGCTGAGCTAGTTGGATTATCGCTTTGAATAGTTCTTGAATCACTGAACTAATCGTAGAGAAAAGACAAATTACTTCCTGATTCATATTGGAATGAGTTTTGTTCGACAATCGAAAATCTATCAGATGCATTATAAACAGAAGACACATTCAATGAAGAAGTATCAAAACTTTTCGAAGTAATCGATACATCCGTATCCTTTGCAGTTGTTTCAGATGAATCAGTTGTACTAAAAATTCTTGAGACACCATCGCTATCGATACTAGATTCATTACCAGCTCGATCAAGAAGATAATGCGCGGTAACCCATGTCCAGAAATAGATCGAGAATTTTTTTTATTAACCATTTTCTTATTGTATTATAAACACTTCGACTTATGCTTTTTGTGAAAAAAGTGTTTAAAAAAAATAAGATATTCAGCTTCTTTCATTAGGTACATACATTTTCATGGCTTGAAACAAGAGCTCATGACCACTTATTTTAACAGAACAACAATAACAGATTAGATAAAAAAAACATCATACCATAGAGCCGTTAAAAATACAGTATAATCTGATAACATAGAGAAAAAACGAATTATATATACGTTATGTAGGTATCACGGTGAGTTGAAAACTAGAACTCTTCTGATACTCTACTCAACTTTTGTCATCGAGGTCATTTAAAAAACGCTCATTTATACATATGCACATCATTTGCATGTTTGTCTGATCATAATAGGATATATTTGATAAAATTAGTTACTCGATGGGTCTTGCTATTAACTACTTAGAAGTCATTTATTTAGTGACACCAGTGGTTATTGGGAAAAAATGCGAAACGATCACACAAAATGAGCGAATTATGGATTAAAAATACTAATCTTGTGTCTGAAGTGGAGTTATATAAAATCTTCAATAAGAATAATAACTAGTAAAATTATTTGATAGCACTTTAATCAAAATCCATAGGTTTTTGCCTAAAATACCACAATGAATATCGCTACTTTTTTTGTCGACGCAAAAATGGTTTAGAATGAAGAGAAAAGAACATGACCATCGTGTTCAGGATAAAAAGTTACCTAGACGTAATACATAAAATAAAACTGAAACTAGAAGTCCAAAAGACATGTGAGCGATATACCTACCTCATTCAAAGCAACTAAAGATGATCTCCTGTACAGGCCGTTTATAGAGATCCCACGCTGATTTTTTTATGGAGTTGTAGAATAGAGAGAGCACTACCAGCCTGTATATACCAGCCACCCAGGCGATCCATCTTTGGGAGAAAATTCACCCTGAAAACAACTATTTTCGAAAAATTTCCATTTTTGGGGACCCTCTCCTGGCCAAACCGAGCATTTTAGAGGGCTAACATTTTTATAGAAGAAAGTTTTGATTACCATGAACAGTAAAGCACAAATAAAAGGCATTGTGCTTTTATTAGTGAAAAATTTGTTCTCTCATATACAGATATGTTAGAAATTCTATCATTTGAACACAGAAAATATTGTTGTGAATTAAACCGATTAGGGAATACAATGTAAAAAAGAGAAAAATCAAGAAATGATAAATCTTATGAAGGCTACATCAATTTATAACAATGAGTGTTCACTAGATGAACTTGTCGTTTTATCTAATTTGGGAATTAAAATACTGAAAGACCTCTCCTGACAGATTGGTAACGAGAGAATATTAATTGAGATTTATTTAAATTTTAAATCAATCTAATGCATAGGTTTTTGCATATGACATGTTTTCATTTTATCAAGAACTAAAAATTGTTGTCTAATCTCCCATAAAGATCACGTTCGAGAAAAAAATTATAGAATGCATCTAATTGGACCAGACAATATAATTTACGTTTAAAATCACTATTGTGTTCTAGAATGATACTCTATCAGCATAGAATTTTTGTAAAATTTTCTTATAAAAAATATTCAGTGTTCAAGTGATATTGGTTTTCTTACGCTGGCGTTTACATCAAAATAAATTCCCATTACTAATTTTCAAGCAGAAAGAGTGTTATCGATATGATAGAAAAAAAGCTTGTTAACACAGCTTCTTTAATGCTAAAAGGTGGAACTCACATATATCTCTCAGGCTTACTAAAATAATTCAAAATAGTTCATCTGAAAAATCGACCCTGTTTTCGAAAATCTATAATTAGATCTTTGCTTATTTGCTTATGTCTGTAATGGAGTATTAATTGCTAGCTTGTATATTTAACAATGGTAGAGACTAGTTTCTATGGTCTGTAATGGGCAAACGTTGTTTTTTTTCGTGCAGTCTGTAATCAAAAAGGAATAAATAGCAACCTAATTAGTCAAGCTCCTAATTAGCGCAATTTTAAACTCGTTAATGTCTGTAATGAGGGGGCAGGGGAGGAGCCGCAAAAGTCTCGCTTTTAAATTTACACGCACCACTTTCTTCAAAAATATATGTGAGTTCCACAAAACTATTTTGCTGTACCCTTATCAAGTTAAAAGACGTTCATGTAATCATGAGAACAATAGTTCATTTATATGCTTGCCATATAAAATAAATATACTTATTGTCATAAAGGAATAGAATAAGATGTTTCACAAAAAGAGTACGATTAAATATGGCAGAAACAACTCGTATGCCTTCATCCAGGTCAACGGTGGCACGTGAAAATTTACTATCTTACGTACGGTGTGGGTGCGTGTGTGACAAGCAGAAGAGCGAAATAGACCCACACCCACGCCCTCAAGAACGAAGCAATATGCAGATACGTGTACACACTTCGAATGATAGAGAGCTCAATAATTAATGATGGATATTCATAAAAATGAAGACTCAGTAAAAACAAAGCCTAAATTTGAACTTCTCAGCTATGATTGATTCTAAATTCTTTGCATATAAATACGCAGTAAGAGAATCGAACATATTTTATTTTATTTTTCTCTCAACTACGAATGTGTATGAGAATTTGAGCTTAAATTATCATGTCATCCAAACTCTTGCCTTGAATATTCTTAGCATTCATGCAGATTTCGTTTCATTGCTCGTTTGATATGATACACATGAGTTAATGAATATCATATTACAAATAATTGCGAGCTAATTATTTTAGCAATAGATATAAAACATATATACCTAATTTTAAATGATTCCGTTGAGTTTTTTAATATCTTGAATAATCAATATAATGATATTCATAATAAACCTTATCAACTTGAAGCTTTAACAGATACGTGAAAAAACAAAAGCAAATAAAATGATTTGACTGTAACAAACAATGAAATTTCTAAAATATCTAAATATATGGCACATAGAAACAGAACTGTTATTAGACAAATCAAAACATAATCAATATCATGTTGTTTTTCTCTTAAAATGAAAATTGAGTATTATATTAGAAAAGCGGAATAATTCCGTTAACTGATTCTACTTTTCTTATTATCAAATAGTATCTCGTGTAGTAACTCAATATTTTTTTTATAAAAGTATTACATTTTTCTGATTGAAATGTTTTTCTTCTCTAATTAAATTACGTCATTTATGCAATTGCTAGCGTTCAAACAACTACACATATGAATAACGGACATCGTAAAAAAAGGAAAATTCATTAAATGTAAAAATACGATAATAATTATCAAAATATTTTGCCAATAATGCATTAGGTTGAGCCATTTTTCTCTTCATATGTACATTTACCTGTACAAGTTTACATATTGTCAAAGCCATCGTGGACTTACTACAAATTAAAAATTGAAAACTTACAAATATCTGTGCATGATATTAATGTACAATTATGTTTTATGGATTTTAAGTGTTTTTTTATGCGCACCATTAGTTATATCTGAGTAAACATATAGTCGTAGTAGCCTACCATTCTACTGCAAAAAAAAACATTTGCCTACTGCAATATAAATGACCAAAAAGACCTTCAATCATGTAAATTACAATCACATCTGCTTATTCGAGAATCGAGCATACTGTAATAAAAACGCATACTACGTATCATTCAAAACGTGTATACACCTGCCAACTTCGAAATAAATCTCCAATAATAATTATTCTATGTTCAACCTTAGTAACAACCAATCAAAAACCACTATATTTTCATTTATCATCAGTGTACCTGTGCTATTTGCTGTAATTATTGCTATTGTTGCTCTATCCGTGATTCCAGTTTATTTACCGGCGAAATCAGTAACATTAAATTCTAGTAAATCATCAATTGATCTTTTTTTTCCATTACTATTGTATAATATGTCACTGTAGATACAAGACAAAGTAATGAGATCACAATCTATCTCAATACTGGCATTCCTGTTACTGAACGACGAAAACGGCAAGCTGTCGCAAGTTCTTCAATAGGCAATTGTATAGGATGTAAAATTCCACCTTCCAACCTCTCACCAATTGAAAAAAAAGTATGTCCTCCTAATCAGTTGTTTTTCCATTTAGAAATTGTCAGATGCAAAGAAATGAGTCTAAAGAATTACGGCAATAATAATTATTATTTGAATATTTTATGCTTCATTTTCGTACTGGGATTTTAACAATATTCACAGTAGATGAGGTCATATTCAATGATTTAGCGTAAATGAATATGACGTGAAATTCTTAAACTCTGCCATAAGATTCCTTTTTTCACAGATACGCATATTTCATTTATCTTTTCTTCTTTGCGACGGTAACCCTGTGACGACATTATTCATCATTGATTTTCACTCTTCCTTCTTGACACATATATGCATATACTTGTTCATATCTTGATTAATTTCTCATATATATTTATATTTTATGCTCATTTATTACAAATCTACACTAAACGTATTCTCATTATAGTTACACCTATTCATTCGTATTTTGGTTGTCAACTATTGACATATTATTGCTTTCTCTCTTGTTCATAAAAACAAACATCATCGATGAATCTTCATTCGTCTTGAGAGTGTGAGTGTGGGCAAGTATATCATGGAATATGAATCATATTAAATTTTACGACTATTGGCATCCACTTCAACGTCACACACCACATCCTATATACAGTTATTATAATAGGATCGAAATTTGACTTTGATAAACAATCAATCTGATTGCTGTGTGACGTGAGATTGATGAATTGTCTTTCCTTTTTCTCATGAATATTAGTCGATATTGATGACTCTATTTTATTATAGCTGAATGACATAATGAAACAAAATAATAATGCCAGAACAGCAAGTGTAACTAGCGGTACAGTTCAAGCGGTTTCCCAACAAGAGCGCTCGTAAGTTTCACATATATGATTAAAAACTGCAGTTCTTTATAAAACCATACATTTTTAGCTTATCTCCAAAATTTCAGTCTCTATCAGTAATCTTGGTGGTAAAGTTTCATATTGTATATGAACAACGTTGTAGCTATTCATGTCAAGTTCGTACTGGCCCTCAAGTTCGAACCGCGATTGAAACAGATGTATCACTTTCTAACTTTAATTTGACTAATGTTCCTCTGTATACTTCGACTGAAGAATTTTGGGGAATCTTAGATTCAATTCCGATTGTTGGGGTTTCATACGTGTCACCTATAGGTAATCCTTTTTTTTTCATTTTTCGTAACTAGTAGTTAATGCTTCACTGCTTTCATTAGTTCCTGCATCGACTTCTTCATCTTTAATAGCTGCACCTGCAACTGTTTCGATATCTACAACTGCTTTTCAAACATCAACAATCGGTCCAATCGTGTTAAATACCACAGTAACAACTAATGTAGTATTGACGAACATCACAACGACAACGAGTGCTACCAGTGCAACGAATTCAACGACTGTTGTCAGTCCACCGAGTACTACGAATGTAGCGTATACTACGTAACTACGACAGACACAAATCACATGAATACTTTAGAAGTAGCGACTATTTGATGAACAGCAGCCTTGTATGATTAATATTATTATTACGTTTACTTAACATTATCAATTGATGATTTATCGATCGCTTTGATATATTCCTGTATTTCTGATTTAGTCATATTTCACTCTATATTCACTTAATCATGTTATGCTACAACGAAATGTACTGAGCTTGACTAAGTTTAAATGACCGTAGCTTTTCTTTATCAGTTTGCCTCAGCAACTTGTGTATGTGAATTCTCTCTTAATCCAAATTCACCTTGTGTACATGCAAGGTGCATATTCTATTTCTATCATGCTATTTATTGTAAAATGATACATGTAAGTACTGAAGTTTTAACATGGCATTTGATTAGTTAAGGTTCATCAGTACTACTGTATCATTTTATGAGTAACCGAGACACGGGTAGTTAGAGATTTTTATCCACGGAGATATTCCTCCTTTTTTTTGTATACATCGATTCTATTCACGATACAATGAAGACTTTTTGGAATTTACGGATGCTAGTCTGTATGTTTTTTCTTTTTTTCTTTGAATCTTACGTCAATTTCGCTTCTACAACTACGAAAATCTTTTAATCGAAATTGAAAGAGAATTTTCTTTTTGACTGAGGTATTCTTCACTGACGAGAATATCCTAGTCATAAGTCTCTCTTCATTAGCTTCATTATTATGTATCTACTTTAGACTCTTTGATTATTTTTTTAATCAAGATCCTTTTCATTATATAGTACATGCTTTTATAACTAAATGATATGTTAAAAATAGAACAAACGACTAATATGAAATATGATAAAGATATTGAAGAATTCGATAAGTTATAATTTGGAAATAAAATAAATCTATTTAGAATTTCCTGCAAAAATGGAAACATCAGATTTACAGTCCGAAACTTGCTTTGTTTATTTGCTTTCCTTATAGAGTTTGGATCATTTGAAAGCGTTTCTTTTACTTAATTGCTATTTCTTCTGTAGATTGATTGCATATTATGACAAACGAATCTATATCTATAAAAGATAAACATCGAAATCAATCTGTTTTCACTAATAATCACCATAGATATTATGGAGATTCTGCATTGAATAATTTCACATATCCTACGCTTTATTCCAGGAACTTGATAAGAAATCGAAAGTCTCGTAGAACACTGTGAGTTCATATTCCGACTTAATTTTTCTTTCAATGAAAATTGACTAACATTTTAGAATAAGCCTGTACTGGTCAATTTCACATTCGACTCGTACTATTTTGTTCTCCGCCTTTTTTGTTTGTATCGCGATCATCATCGGTATTTTAGTCGTTTGTCTAACTTCTCCAAGACCAAAACGTATGTAAAGTTTTCATTTTCTTTTTGATATGTTTCTTATTGAGTCATCGGAAATCCAGGAATAAAAGCAGATGTATCGAGTAATTATTTGTATACCTTAGTGAATAATATATTTTTATCAACACAACTCCGTGTAATAATGTTTCTTGCTTTTGTTTAGGAAAAGAATGTCAACGCACTTTTATATCAGTAGTACATAATTCTATCAGCTATGATTCACGTCCACGGTCATTCGTCGTTGCGGATTTAAATCAAGATACACAACTTGACTTAGTAGTTACCGATTCGGGAACAGATAATATCGGAGTCTTCTATGGCTATGGAAATGGAACGTTTAGCAATCAAACGATATTTTCAACTGGAGCAGAATGTCAACCATATTCTGTTGCTGTTGGCGACTTCGACCAAGATAACCGAATTGATATCATAGTCGCATGTCATGGTACAAAGAGTCTTGCTCTTCTTTCCGGGCTTGATAGCGGAATTTACCTTCTTGAAAGAACATTTTCACTACATTCTTCTAGTTCAATGTCAATTGTTGCTGCTGATTTCAACCATGATGGTAGATTGGATGTCGCCGTCGCGAACTATGATACGAGTAATGTTAGTATTCATCTTGGATCTGGCGATGGCTTCTTCGAAGAGCGCACAACTTATTGGACTGGTTACGATTCTCTTCCATATTCTCTTGCTATCGGTGATGCGAACGATGATACTCATATGGATATTGTTGTTGTCAACTCTGGTACTAGCACCGTCGGCATACTACTCGGACTTGGAAATGGATCGTTCACCATGCAGCAAATGCTGACAACTGGCTATCGTTCCTATCCTTTATCCGTGTCTGTTGGCGATATTAATAATGATACGCATCTAGATATCGTCGTTGCTAATCCCGACACAGATAACATCGGTGTTTTCTTCGGCTATGGGAATGGTACTTTTCAACGAGTGTCATTATTTTCAACTGGCTCTGGCTCACGTCCGATTTCAGTTACAATCGGATATTTTACGGATGATGACCAGCTAGATATTGCTGTGGTTACTAGTAACACTAGTGCTGTAATCATTGTTCAACGATCACTAAATGGCAGCTTTTCGAACACACATATCGATACCGTCAGCTCAGGATCTGATTCACAATACATCGGTACTGGTGATTTCAACAATGATCACCGATTAGATATTGCCGTAAGCAATGATGTGGATAATCATATTACTTTACTTCTTCAATATTCTTCCAAACAATTTGCGAATCCAAAAGAGCATCCCACTTCAGTTGGATTTTCACCGAATGCGATAGTTGCGGGATATTTCAATAATGACACTGACCTGGATATTGCATATAGTGATTCCGACTCTAATCAGATAGGAATCTCTCTTGGAAACGGGGATGGAACATTCTCCTTCCTTCAAACATATTACACTGGAAATAACACAGGTCCCTACATGCTTACTACAGGTGATTTCGACAATGACACTATATTAGATCTTGCCTTTCCAAACATCTACAATGATAGCGTTGGAGTTTATTTTGGAGATGGTAAAGGCTATTTAACAACTTTTCTTCTACTTGCTACGGAGTACAATTCACAGGCACGTTGCTTAGCAGTAGGAGACTTTAATAATGATGGAACACTTGATATTGCGGTTAGTAATTCTGGTGTAGATACCGTTGGTGTCTTTTTGGGAGACGGCAATCGCAAATTCTCGTCAGAAATTAAATCTTCAACAGGTTCTAATTCTTATCCTACGTCACTCGCCATTGGTGATTTCAACCAAGACAATCGACTTGATATTGCGATCACGGCTATTGGATATAGTAGTATTATCATTCTGTTCGGATCTGGAGACGGAAATTTTATGGTACAAGCAATTTATTTTGTTTCTGATGATACCTGTGTGATGACTATAGCTGTTGATGATTTTAATAAAGACGGTCATTTGGATATTGCACTTCTCCAGCCAGTGAGCAATCGTCTCAGTATTTATATTGGATCTAAAAATGGAACTTTCGATTTGACTTACATCTGTTCAACAGAAGATGGGTCAACGCCTTATTATTTTGTAGTTGGAGATTTTGACAATGATAGCGAACTTGATCTTGCATTTGCTAACTGGGGTACTGGTACAATTAGCGTATTTTTTGGTAGCGGAAATGGGAGTTTTCTGAGACAATCTAGTTATCCCATTGGAGATGGTTCATTACCATTGGCTATTGCCAAAGGTAACTTCAACAACGATCAGTGGTTAGACGTTGTGATTACTAATTCTCGGACGACCGACATAGATGTAGTTCTAGGACTTGATATAGTCGATAAATACAATCTAACCATCTATTCGACTGGCTCCAGCCCACATTCATCTTCAGTTTCAGTTGGTGACTTCAACAATGACAATCTACCAGATATTGCCATTGCGAACACAGCTCATGGAAACGTTGGTATTCGGCTTGGGTTAGTCACTAGAACGTTTGGACCCGAAATAACCTACTCTACAAAATCTAATTCGTATCCTGCATATTTAACTACTGATGATCTCAACAATGACAATCTAACGGATATTCTTGTTGCTAATACGAGAAACGACAGCATCGTTTTACTTCTCGGATATCGAAATGGAAGTTTCGAAACACAAGAGATTTATCCAACAGGGACTGGATCCCATCCGAGTTCGATCATTGCTGGTGACTTCAACAACGACAAAATACTTGATCTTGTTGTGGCCAATCAGGGAACCAATAATATTGGATTATTTCTTGGAATTGCCAATCCAACTTTTGAAATTAAAGAGATTATTTCAACAGGGTGTTTTTCGAGACCGATTGATATCGTTTGCGGTGACTTTAATGGTGACCACCGATTAGATGTAGCTGTGGTATCTGATGCAGACAGCAATATGCTTATTTTTCTAGGTAAAGGTGATGGTACTTTTACAAACCGAACAGTTTATTCTACTGGAATCAATGCTTTTCCTGTGTCAATAGCAACTGGAGACTTCAACAACGATACCATCTTGGACCTTGCCGTTGGAAATTCAGCGTCTCCAAACATTGTTATATTCGTGGGATTGGGCAATGGAACATTTGTAACGTATGTGGCATATCAGATGGAAACCGGATCTAGTGTATATTCAGTTGCTGTCGGTGATTTCAACAACGATATTCACCTCGACATAGTAGTGACGGATATTGCACATAACAGCATATTTCTTTTATTCGGATACGGAAATGGAACCTTCTTCAATCAAACTATTTATTCAGTTGGTCCTGCTTCTTCTCCAGCAGGGATTTCTGTCAGTGATATAAACAAAGATGGCTACCTCGATATTGTTGTAGCTCTGGCTGCCATAAATCAAGTCGCTATTCTTCTGGGAAGCAATGCTACTGTTTTTGATACACCTTTGCTGCAGGATGTCGGAAGTGGGATGGAACCAGTATCGGTTGCTACCGGTGACTTCAATATTAACAGCTACATGGATATTGTTGTTGCTAATTACCAATCCGGAGATATTACTATTCTATTAGATTATCGTAATAAAACTTTTGCCAGTTTCAAAATGTACGCAATCAAAAACAACTCATATCCAATGATGGTCGCAATCGGTGATTTGAACGATGACAATCGAATCGATATTGCAGTTAGTCTTTTAGGTGGTCATGCTATAGCATTGTTTTTTGGTTATGGCAATGGTGATTTTACTGAATATATGACATGGTCAACTGGATCTGGATCAGGCCCAAATGCACTCACACTTGGTGATTATAACAGTGACGGTTTGATCGATATTGTTGTTGCAGATGGACGATTGAATAACGTAGGGTTACTTCTTCGTAAGAAAAGCCAACTCTTTCTGAATCAGATCAGCGTTTTTACTGGATTGAACTCACATCCTTGTTCGGTTGCAGTTGCTGATTTCAATCATGATGGTGTCGTCGATATTGCCGTTGCTAATCAAGGAAATGACAATGTGGGTATTTTCATAAGTCAATGGGACGGAAGTTTGTCTGTTCAAAAAACGTTTTCGACAGGAAATGGTTCAAGTCCTCAATCAATTGCAGTCGGAGATTTCAATAATGATACGTTGATAGATTTGGCCTTTATTAGCCCAACAGCCAGTTTTCTAGGTGTTCTCTTGGGAGATGGGCTTGGAAACTTTCCGTTTTTAATGAAATATTCCACAGGTGTCAGTTCTTCGCCAGCTTCACTGATGGTCTATGATTTAAACGGCGACGATGTCTTAGATATTGCTGTTGCTAATGCACAAAGCAATAACCTCTATGTATTCTATGGCAATGGAAATGGAAGTTTTCCGAGGTCAGAATCGTATGCGCTCAAATATGGCTCTCATCCTTTCTGCGTCGTAGTTGCTGATTTCAATCAAGACAATTTGTTGGATATTGTTGTTCTAGAACAGGGTTCAGATGAAGTGGATATACTTCAGCAAGTATGTGACAATTAAGTATCTGTAATTAGTAAAATGGTATTCAATTTACGTTTTGTAAATCATTTTAAGATCGTCACAATTTTAGGACAAAAAAGTGACTGTTTTCTCTTAGCATGAGTATAAGTATTGGCTTAAAATAAAACATTATTATTTAAATATTTCTTTTTTTTATTGCTACCGCGACTATAAATATACTACATGTGCGGAAATCAAAGCAAAATGTTTAATTTCTATCAATGAACAATTTAAAAAATATGCCTTCGAAATATTTTGAAGACTAGCTGAGCTATTGCTTGCCAAATACATATAAAGATAACATTGGTGTGGACATTATAAAATGGTCACAATCGATCATACTCCTCTATCCAGCGATACTCATAAAGCTAATTCAATGTAATATTTTTTTGAAATATCATATCTTGAATTTGATACGAAAAATAATTGCTAACTTATGTTCCATCAATTTCAAATATTTTCATCAATAGCATCCAATGGATTGGAAACACAAGTTCTGCATATCTTGAATCATTTTAACTCAAGAACACTAATCAGTTATTCCAATCTTATCTCATTTTAGGCTCACCTGATTCTTAAGAAACAAGAATTGAAACCAGTAAATTGAATCTGTCACTTTTGCCATGACACAGATGTTGATCTATTCTTTGATAGATTTAAGCACTCATTTGTCGTCCGACCTTAGTCGTTCAAAACGCTTCATCCTTTAATTGAGACTAGCGTGCGTAGATGCAGTTTATTTCAGTATGTATATAAGTCAAGAGTTTAGGAGAAAATACATTTAAATAATTATTAGTAGCACTCATTAGATGTTATAACAGTGGATAAAACAAATAAAAAAATAGTTTCTGACAGAAGTTGAATAACTAGCAAGTCTGTAAGAAAATTTCTAAGCTATCAGAATCTTCATTGATCACTGCAAAATCTAATTTTCTGTCTCCATTAAAATCACCAACAGAAACGAAGAAAGGAAGAGATTCATAACCCATCGAAAATAAATTCACATCTAAGAATAATCCATTACCATATCCCAGTAATATACCCACGTTGCTGATGCCATAATTAGCAACGATAATGTCTACAAACATGTCATTATTAAAATCTCCAACTGCAACCGCTCTAGGATAAGATAGAGAACCAGTTGTAAATGTTTTTTGACTAAAAAAAGAGCCATTACCATATCCAAGAAATACACCCACATTGCCACTATCATAATTAGTGACCACAATATCGATGAAGCTATCGTTGTTGAACTCACCAACTGTAATAGCCATGGGAGTAGAGTCAGTTAACAATCTATTTTGACTCGTGAAAGAATGATTACTATTTCTGAGAAAAATGCCCACGTTGTTTGCTCCTAAATTTACAACTGAGATATCCTTTTGATTGTCATTATTGAAATCTGCTATTGCAAATGATCTCGGTGGTAATTCATTACCAGTTGTGAGCGCCGTTTCTTGTATAAAAGCTTGATTGCTATATCCTAGAAGTACACTTACACTACGGCCAAGCTTATTAGTAATGACGAGATCCAGTCGGGTGTCATTATTAAAGTCACCAATGGCTACAGCAAGTGGCGTGATACCACAGGAATATTCCATTTGATTTGCAAATGAGCCATCGCCGTATCCCAGAAGTATACTTACAGTGTTGCCACCATAATTAATGACAGCGATATCTAGTCAAGTATCGTTATTAAAATTACCAACAGCTACAAATACTGGCACCGAGCCACTTGAGAATGTTACTTGATTTGTAAAAGACCCATTACCATAACCAAGAAATATACTTACAGTGCTCTCAAGACCATTGGCGACAGCGATATCTAATCGGTTATCGTTGTTAAAATCACCGACAGCTACAGATCTTGGCGAGGAGCCAGTGGAATATTTCATTTGGCTTGCAAATGTGCCATCGCCATATCCAATAAATATACTTAAAGTACTGCCATTAAAATTAGCGACAGCGATATCTAGCCGGATATCGCTATTGAAATGACCGATAGCCACAGATATCGGTGAAGAGTCAGTTATGTATGTCACTCGGTTTGTAAAAGAGCCATTACCAAAACCACGAAGTATACTCACACTCTCATCATTATAATCAGCAACAGCTATATCCAATTGACTATCGTTGTTAAAGTCACCGACAGCTACAGATATCGGCAACGAGCCACTTGAATATGCTACTCGATGTGTAAAAGAGCCATTACCGTAACCAAGAAGTATAACTCACAGTGCCATCATCATAATCAGCCACAGCTATATCCAATTGACTGTCGTTGTTAAACTCACCGACTGCTACAGATCGTGGTGATGTGCCAGCTGAGAATTTAATTTGACTTGTAACAGAACCATCGCCATTTCCAAGAAGTATATCTATATAATTGTTATACATAGTAGTCACGACAATATCTAGTCGTTCATCATTATTAAAATCAGCAATAGCGACTGATTTTGGCCAAGGATCAGTTGAATATATGATTCGTTGGGGGAAGGCTCCCGTTTTATATTGAGCAAGTATATCTATATAATCAGAACTATCATAGGCAACAACAATTTCAGAATATCCATCATTATTGAAATCGGCCAAGCCAGCAGTCACTGGAGCAAAATTGAAACTTACATCATAAGCTGTTTGACTTTCAAACATTCCGTTGCTGTTTCCCAGTAAAATAAGAAGGTTTTTACTGTCATGATTCACCACTAAGATATCTACGTGCTCGTTTTTATTGAAGTTATCAATGACAATCGAGTAAGGATGAGATCCAAATCCAGTTGAAAATATCATCTGGTTTTCAAAAGTACCATTTCCATATCCGAGAAGGACCCCTATGCTATTAGTATATTCGTTTACAATGGCGATATCTAGTAGGCCATCTTCATTGAAATCGGAAGTAGAAATACTACTCAAGTGAGCACCAGCGCTAGGTGCGAATGTAGTTTCCTTTTTCATGGCTCCTCTATCATAGCGAAGAAGAATACTAACAGTGTTCTCATCCCAATTGGCAACGGCGACATCCGGTCGGGTATCATTGTTAAAATCACTGACAGCTAAATGAAGGGGATAAGCTCCAGTTGAAAATGTCTCTTGGTTGGCAAAAGAGCCATTTCCATAGCCGAGAAGTAGACTTGAAGTATTTTGACCACCGTTCGTAACAACGATATCTAGTCGAGAATCGTTATTAAAATCACCGATAGCTACCCCAAGTGGATTATCACCAGTCGAATATACAATTTGACTTTGAAACGAGCCATTGCCATATCCGAGAAATACACTGATCATGTTTTCATAATAATTTGTAACTATAATATCTAAACAGGTATCATTGTTAAAGTCAGCCACAGCAACAAATATTGGGTAAGCTCGAGTTGAGTAAGCCACCGGTTTTCCAAAATCGCCACCCCCCAATCCGAAAAGTACACTTACAGTGTTGTTACCAAAATTAGTGACTACAATATCAAGTTGGTTGTCCTTATTAAAATAGCCGTAAGCTAAACCAAATGGATGAACACCAGCTGGATATGTCGCATGCTTTGCAAAAGAACCGTTGCCAGATCCAAGAAATACACTTACAGTGCTGCTATCAAAATTAGTGACGCAAATATCAAGTTGATTATCATTGTTAAAATCATTAACAGCTAAATAATATGGCGTATTACCTGTTGCATATATTTGTTGTTTTGCAAAAGTACCATTACTGAATCCGAGAAGTATACTTATAGTATTGTCATGATGATTTGTAACAGCGATGTCCACTATTCTATCGTTATTAAAGTCCCCAACAGCAATAGATAAAGGAGCAGTGCCTGTGATAAAATCCACTTTGCTTGCAAAAGATCCATTGCCATATCCAAGAAGTATACTTACAGTGTTGCTATGCAGATTGGTGACTGCGATGTCTGCGACGGTGTCACGATTAAAATCACTCGCAACGACATAGCTTGGACGATTGCCAGTTGGATATTTTGTCTGAATTGGAAAGAATTCATCATATCCGAGCAGAATATCGATGGTGTTCGTATCATTGTTGACGATAACAAGGTCTAAACGATCGTCTCTATTTAAGTCACATATAGCAAAAGAGATTGAAGAAGAAGATCCTGTCGAATACGACGTCACATTTGCAAAAGAGCCATTTCCATATCCGAGAAGTATATCTATATTGTTACTGCCATTATTGGTAACAGCTATATCCATTCTATTGCCCTTATTGAAATCAGCAATACCAATAGAATATGGAAAAGCAGTATCAAGAGAGTAGGTCGTTTGACTTGTAAAGTTTCCGTCACCTTTGCCCAGAAACACACCAATACTTTTATTACCATAGTTAGCAACGGCGATATCTAGGATAGCATCATTATTTAGATCACCAACGGCAATCGATAATGTATTGGAATTGGAACCAGTTGAAAGTTGTTTTTGAGTTCCAAAAGTATCCCTACTATTTCCAAACATTATACCAACATTGTTTGCGCCATAGTTGGCGATAGCAAGGTCCATATGTTTGTCCGAATTGAAATCGCCACTAACAACCATGAAAGGGAAAGAATCATATCCCGTTGAGTATGTAGTTGGACTTGAAAAATTCCATTGCCATATCCAAAAATGACACTAATACTCTGCGTACCATAATTAGCAATGACTATATCTTTTCCTGAATCATTTTTGAGATCTGTCACGTGGACCCAAACAACTCGGGATGATCCAGTTGAAAGCTCTATTCGACTTGGAGAGGATCCAGTTTGGAATTCAAAAAGTATAATGATATTGTTTGTACAGAAATTCGCAACGATGATATCTAGTCGATCATCGTTGTTGAAGTCACTAACAACGACCATGTACGGGCGAGATGCAGGACCAGTAGAATACGTCACTGAGCTTGTCATATTGCCCCTATCATAACCGAAATAGATACCTACATTGTCAGCAGCATAATTTGCAATAACAATATCTACCCAACCATCATTATCAAAGTCACCAATGGCCACAGATCGAGGGCTATACGTATATTCAATTTCATTTGGGATCATTTGTTTGAAATTCAGTTGACATTTTAGGACTAAATATAACACAAGAATACAGAAATAGAAACTGAAAAATATTTTAGTTTGACGATCATTAGTAGATTGTACTAGAATTGCAAAATCACGATGAAACTCTGCTTAGATTGGTCGAATTAAGACAACCAGATATCAGAGGCTTCAAGTTCTTTTCAACAGAATCTCGTTCAATTTCATGAAATCCATTATTCAGAATACTTTTGCACTTTCTTGCATAGAGTTGAACATTAATTCGAGCATTACAAACTGGTTCTAACTAAGCCTTAAAAACTAATATCATCTCTACCTTACAAGCAGCACCATGATATAACATACAGTTCTAAAAGTAGAATTCAGTATCGATAAAAATGCTATGTCCTGTACTCTTCATTAGAACTGCTTAAATATGCTACATAACAGTATGTTTACTCAAATGTCATGTTTAAAATGCTATAACACGATAATACACAAGAGTCAGTGTATACATTCAGATGTGACAGCAGGAAAAAATGTGGTGTCGATGAGTATTTGACTACTAGCGTTACAATAAAGACAGAAAAATATGGATTCTGCAAAAAATAAAAGCATCACCTTAAAGACTTCTGAGTATCAATATCTATTTATTCTTTTCTGCTTGCCCTTCATGAGAAAATCATCTAAATTTATTTCTTGTTCTTTCTGAAGTGTGCAATAGGTTGATAAAAATTCTTTTTAAAAGTAAAGAAGTAACTTGTTTTAATGAAATATTGTGTACCAATTTTTCCACGGAACAAAGTGGTAATGAAATCAATCATCGTAACATTTTGCTCTGAACTATCAGCCGTAAACATGAATTAAATATATACACACATCCTTTTTAGCCCGACATCTAGGTGCATGACAACAAACAGCTATTTCGATTTGTGTGTACTTGTCGTGCTGAAGACAAAGAATAGAAAACAAGAAGGACATACCTTTCAGTTTTGGTGCGGTGAAGCAAACTACTAGTATACCCATATAGTCACAGCTATACTTGTGAACATTAAACATCCAAAGGCAGGGTTATTTGTTAAATTCACTATTGACCAGAAGTAACGTCTCCTGAAAAAGAACAACAAGCGCTATATTGAACATCAAAAGAAAGACTCAGACGAACCCATTAGAATCATGCAAGTTTCTATTCGATCAACGGTACTATTTTGTTAGTTTCTTGCATTTGAGTCAATATAAATTAAGTTTTTCACCAGCATCGATAAAAATATTCTTTCAAGAAAAGGAACCCTAGATCAGTGTGGCATCAGTATTCATGCGAGTCATGTCAGTTTACGAGGAGGCTGTAGTACAGAAATAATTTATCTTTTACAGAAGTGTATATGTATAGCACATTTCCAATACTCAACGGCTTCTACAGTAAATTCCCTATAGATTGATTGAGTCTAATCGCTCGATTTTACTATTCAGTTTAAACGCTTTGCTAGTTTTTAACAACATATGTTTCGTAATATCAGCAAACTGCCCAAGATTTTTACCAATAAAATCATGTACCCGATCAAAACAGATCGGTGAATACTATAAAATATTTTAAAAACTGCTGTGCTGAATGTTAGCTTAATCCATTGATACTTATTTAGTACTTTCAATATCTGTTTAAACTTAAAAATATTGTTAACTTTTTAGTTTTCTATTGTCTTCTATGAATCATATCAGTCGTAAGATATTAAATTTCTTCTGACGGTGAGCTTTTTAAAAATATTTGACTTCCGAAAGACATTCATCTTCTNGGGCACAAGATAATACAGTTATCTTGTACCTAAATTTTCAAGATCTGTTAACATATCTGTACCTTGTATCTTGACCAAGATCTTGCTTACAAGATGTTTGTCTAGGGGCAGTTTTATACTTTCGCGAATACTATGAGTTAGGGCCCGTGAACTACAGCTGTAAATTTTTAGATTGTGGTCCAAGCAGATAAAAATGTTGTTGGGTTTCAGAATATCAATTCTATATCAAAGATGTTTCATTCTGTTCTGAAAGTTTAGCGAAAAAAGTCATTGAAATTCTTTGTGCCACAAAGCCCCATTTTCTCTTCGAATACACCCAGGTCGATCGTTTCGATTACCTGGTACTGTGGGAACCGGCTGTAAAGATACGGAAAAATTACCGTATTCCGGAGGAAAACACGTTATGTCGCTGGAATCTGGAAGCAGTGTTCCAATCGGGCGAATTTCGGAGTTTTCCCCGATGGTATACTGTCAGTTTCTGTCGGAAAGCACTGGAAGTTGACGAGAATGCACCGAAAAAAATCCAGGAATTTCCGACGAAATACTACTTTCAGCTTCCAGCGATTTCCCGTGTTTTCCGGTCGTTTCCAGTCGTACCGCCACGACCTGATGGAAAATCGAATAATCGATTGCAGAGTTACTAAGATTTCTACGAATGAACATAAAATCTTGAAGTTAATTAGGAAACTATTTGTCCTATAGACTAATGGAACAAGAGAAAGAAAGCAATCATTTCTAAAATGTGGGGTGCAATCTTCTAAGTAAAATCGACTTTCTAACTGTCACCAGAGAGTTATTCAACGTTGTATTATTTTTCTTCTTTCTAGATTATCACTATATGTCATAACTTAATCAATGTAGCAGCAGTTAAAGTGAACTAAACATAGGGATGCACCAGTACCAGTATTTTCCTAATACTTGTGAATCCGTAAATGAAAATGATAAGATGGACTGAAGAACGTTCACTTTATGTTATCAGCCAGTGGAAAAAGCAAGATTGTGCTGTTACACGAAGTTTTAAAACTGAAATTTTTTACTCAAATATACACAGAAACCTGATGGTAGAGGAAATTACTTGATTAAACAATAATTATTTCTAAAAAAGAAGACCAGTAGACCAGAATAATTACTGGTACTGGTACATCCCTAAACTAAACGTAGTCGTACAATCAGAAAAAATAGAATCTTTTTTCACAGAATAAGCTGTTGCCAGATACAATCTTCGTACAAAACACATAATAAAAACAAGCTTTATCTATAAATTTATTCACTTGACTTTTTTAAAACCAAAAATCGTGTTGGATGAATGTGATTAAAGTATATTACAGCAGTGCAGTCATCCGCCTCCTTTCGATTTGGACACTGATAGCGTTTCCATCGAAAGGGCCCAATGCAGTTTACAAAGGCTTTATGGTGTCTTTTTAGCGAGATTTTTCAAAGTGAGAAGTTTCAAACATTAGCCGACTGTATGTGAGGCTACCAATTTATTTAAAATAAGACTTTATTGTTTGTATTTTATGTAGGCAAAATTTTAATCAATTTTAGCGGGAAAAAATCTGTCTCCAGATATAGATGGTTCACTACAAACAAAACTTACTCATGTTCGTTGGGCATAACGACAGAATATATTTCACCTGGGATAATTACGTGGCTATATATTAATAAGAGAAAGTAACAGCTTTAACAAATAATAATGCTATTTTGAATAATAAAAATAATAATAAGGATAACGATCGAGGAAAAAATATATAATAAGCGACCTAAAAAACAGAAAGAGAAGACAAAGTCTATATAAAATAGTTTCTTCTTTGGATAAAAGCGATTCACTTTTTTCGCAAATCTGCGTTTATTTCTTTCTGACTGTATCATAGCGTCCGCCATAGTTAAAAACTTAAAATATTGAGCTACTCAATTTGTGGGTTGGGTGCGCACCTGGATGTGAGTATTGGCGAGAGTTTTTCATGCCCTGAATGAAAAATCAATAGTTTTAACAGTTTAAAGTAGCACCGAAAAGTATTGCGGATTATCTATTATCAACCCTACACCCTCAGTAATATTTACATCTAATTGTACAGATTCAACCCAATAATTTTGCTGGATCAGCCACCCACAAAATGATTTAATTGAATAGAAAATAAAATTCTATTTTTAACACAACCAGTTTAATGCTCAGCACAGATCAGAGAACGAAATCGGCGCTAGAAATATTTTCGAAGATCATGATAACTTTACTTACACTTCAAGATTAGCTATTTTCACGGAGTATAGAAAAATCATCCTAGCACTTATGATTGCGAATTATTTAAAAATATTTGACTTCCGAAAGACATTCATCTTCTTCTTGCATTCTTGTTATATATTACGTGTTTTATGTGGCACTTATGATTTAATCTATCGAGGGTGTTTTACATTTGATACAGAAACATTATGTTGTTTATATGCACATTATTAAACAAGAAACGCTGTTTGTGTGAAATTAGTCATACAAGTAATTTCATTTTGAATGATACTGTCGGGCGATAATTTTTTTTTTCATAAGAAAAAAAATAGTGTCGCATCGGTTATTTTATCATATGCTATTAGAGTAGCTCCAGTAATATTGGCGCACAATCAAGCAATCAAGCAATGTAAATGAAATGCGCTGTAGAAGACATTCACTTGTATTCTTTTCTTTCTATGCAGTGAAATAAATAAAATAGTTTACTATTCAGTCACGACCATTTTTTTTATCAAATAACAGAATTGCTACTCAAACATACTAAGAGTCATTTGAATTTACAGCTAACATAAAGGACTTCATTTCAGAATGAAAATGGGTCTGTGAACATGAGAGGTAGATATTGATATACTTAATACGAACACTGTTGTGTAAAAATTGGAAGACAATTGAAATCAAGTTAAGTTTTAGCAGTGTCTCATTTTGTAGGAAGGCGTTGACGATATATTTGATTCGGTACGCTTATTTATGCGCGATCGAAACTTGAGTGGAGTTGTTTGTAACGATATGAATCATTAAAAATTGCTTAATAATGTGTTAGATTTCAGTTTATAAACTTTTGGTTTACTGGCTTGTCTCTTTGTTGAGTAGACTTTGAGTGTAGTTAATCTGTAGTTTGTCAAGAAAGGTGGTTGTTTCTCAAGCTCAATCCCTCTTTTCTGAAAAATTCGAGTTCTTTTCTTTCACTCCTAGTTCAGTTTGAAATAAATAAAAAAAACAGATAGAATTAACTAAATACAAACAGAAATGTGATTTCTCTACAACTCAGCAACATCTATTGCTTTCTACAGCGCCGAAATTCAATTATAAAGACTAAAATCGAAGAATGCCCAAACGAATTTGCGTTCGTTTCAAACCACGACTTTTAAGAAGGGCGAGAGTGTTGGAATGAGAAGTGTCATAAATTCTATAGAACTTTCAGAACCTTTCTAACTGTATCATTCAAAGGGCATGGTTCTTACAAATGACATTTCATTTCTCTGGAATGAAATATTGTCTGTTTGTTTTATATTATTCAAACTAAGAGCGTCGGTGTAGAGTAAGAATTGCCATTCACATCCACCCATATCTTGCAAATATCTTTCATGTATTGAACGCCTTGGTTTCTATCACACTCCATAATTGGTCACATTTGTGTGAGAATTTTTGTTGACCTTTAAATTCCCTACGAAATCATAGATTACTATACACTCGATGAAATGAAAGATGTAGAATGAGCATAAAAGTCTATGTGTGAGTCTTTATTCATTCTTGAAGATCCTAATTTGATTTAACACCAATTTTGCGGTGTTTGGACACTCATTCGTCTGTATCTCCTGTTGCATCTTCGTCAACTGAACAATGTCAATAGATAACTGATACAAGTTTATTACGTTTTGGCTCTGAGTTAGGCCACTACGTATGTTGCATGAACTTACAATTCCGATGGCATTCGTTCGCATCTGATTATTAGTTCTTTCATTGCTTGTTATATGATTGCTCGAATGTCGATTTCATCGCATCTGTAAGGAAAAATAATAAAAACACGAACAGATCAAATATTGATAATGTTTTCAATAAAGTATCAAGTCAACATCGGATAAAACGGAAGCAAAATGAAAGACAATCATTAACGAAATTAATTTTATACAAAGATTTTTTGATTATTCTCATCACCATTTTTGTAAGAGCTGTCTATTCACCCATAATTGTTGGCGAAAAGGCTTCTGAATTGAAGACATCGTCATCATACTAAAGCAAGCAAGAAAATAAAGCTCTCAACGATCAACAATACATACGTTTCAAGGCAATCTGTTTTTTAGTTCAGCACTTTTTCACAATATCTAGCTTTCCTGTATCAATCCTAAACAGAAACCTTTGCCCTCAGTAGCATTTGCAATTTGATTGGCATCACATTTTCTTGATGCTGAAACATCAATATTCATGTAGATTAATCTCTTTGAGATAAAAATTTTATTTTACTTCTATATAACATAAGTGTAGTTATCTACAGAAGAAATATCGACTGAATCGATTAGATCAAGCGAGTAATGCTGGTTATGATTGCACCCAACGAATCGTACAGGAGTCTCTTGTTTTATTCAGATTATTCTTTTTTCTCAAATCATGCCCTAAATAATTTTATTTTTATTCTTGTTTTTCGCACTGAAGCATTTTTATTTTTCAGTAGAATATCAATGCAAGTATCGATCAGATTAACTCTGCATTTCTTCTAATTTTCTAATAAAAGCACAACGATCGATTACTGCATAATTCATTTAAAACAATTGATAGATAACATAAGCTGAAATTGCAAAATTAACCTTATTTTACTCGTCGACACATGAATATCTGTTTTTCAATTCACACCAATTAGTTCATCATTAAATAATAAAAGCAATGCTTTGATAAAGTTCATTTTTCAATGTAGTTGTTTGATGAGAAACAGAAGATTTGCGAAAATATCTGAAAATATTACCAATTTTCTATGTGTAGATTCAGAATATGATCTTGTTTGTAACCTAAAGTATAATTTTTCTTATCGAAATCTGCTGCTCCTTTATCTCTCTGTTACTTTTTCTTATGTATGCGTATTTGCAGCCAATTGGAAAGATTGGTTATTATCAACCGATTTCGCACGCGCGTCACATGCATTTAGCTCTTCGTCTGTGACTTGTTGTTATGGAATCAATGACTGGAGCTTGATATGCGTAGAAAGGCAGCCATACTTCAATAGATCGATATGTGCTCTTTTTTTTCGTATAATCCATTTACCTATGAAAGTTTCTCAACAACTACAGCATGGCCGATGATGACAGTAGTGAGCGAATAATGAGCTTGCGCATAATCAGGGAGTTGGAAGCGTGGAAAACGTGTAACAGCGTTTGTATGCCAAAAGGTACTGTTGGCACGTAGTAACTGCCTCAAAGAACGCGATAGGAAATACGCCACTCCCGATCGATAATCAATTAAATCGCAGACGGGCAGGTTTGATGGACTCTTCAAAGAAGAATGCCGAAGAATTCATGAAAGCCTATATATTATTATTTAAGCTTTCATTTCGATTTCTTCATCAACAATATGATTCGTATTTTGCTTACTAATCTACAACAATGTGCACTCTTTTTATTTTGCATCTAGCTCCTAACTTTATATTGAATTCTTTTGTTTATCACTAAATATTTATCACGAGTACATTTGAAAACTGAATAGTAAGATTTATGCTGCAAAACGCATTGTACAAGCACGTAGTTTCAATTCCGATTTTTGGTCAATTTGAGAAAAATACAGTAAATTAACAGATTATACGAACAGGTCATTCGAAATCTGAGATACAAGCAAGCGATCTCTTTGTTTACCTCGCCTGATCTTAATAACACTGCAGATAAAAGATAGATAACTAGAGCAAAAAAGAAAGAAAATATTACTCGGTTTAATATTGTCACTGGTGATTGCTTCAATGCACCAGCTGCTGTCAATTGTTGTTGATGAACAGTCACAAGTCTTGGTTTAAATAATGTCAGCGTTTGACCTACACAATCACGTAGAGCACAGTTTTCTGAAAGTAATTCATACGTTGTACTTATATTATAAACACACATGGCAAATAAAAACATAACATTCAGTAATAAAATCTACTGTCATCTGTTTGATATATTCTGTCATATAATTTACGTAAACGTCTTGCAATCATAACAATAAAAAAAAATGAAAAAAGCGACATCTGCAGCAATGACCACCAAAAGTCAACAGCAGGTGTGCTTTCCTGTATATAAAAGGTTGTTAATTTAAAATATAGTGCAAACGCTTTTTCTTATTCTTTCCCTTGCTGAAATGTAAAGGATTTTAAAACAATATTTATATGTGTGCATATAAGATAATGCGAATCAACAGTATGAACTAAATACCGAGTTCAAATCTATTTATAGTATTGTAAATATTAATCATATAAATATGCATATCGGTCTTTTTGACCAAAAGTGAGATGCCTATCTAATACGTTAATATTCGTAGTTGAGATATCCAATCGCAAAATTAAAATCGTTTTCAATCAAAAGCTCTCTGTAACGCCTGGATGAGGATCAGAGACGCAACTAATAAAAATGCCAGGTGCCACACACAGTATTGTTTATGGCAGAATGACAGCAATAAAAATTAAATCGTATTGAATATTGGGTGCAGATCCAATTGTTTATTCAATGAACAGAAATAGTTGTGAATAAGAAGAACTCCACAAGCAAGTAGCTGACACGAGTTCGAACGATTGTAAGGGACAATCGAATTTGATTGATTGTAATGAACAATCAAGTTGAAAGAAAAAGGAAATATATTAATCAAGACGAAGAATAGTAGTATATCTCAGCGAAGAGAGATGTATGAAGAAGCTTGCAGAAGCTTGAAGAAGAAAAAAAGAGAAGAATAAGAATAATGAATTAACAATATTAGGCGCAAAAACAAACAAGAGAAAAAGAGAGAGAAGTTAGAAAAAGAAACAAACAGGCACTAAGATAACATCAGTGACGTTTATACCGTCACACCCTCGTCCAAACAGAATTTCTATGCTAGCATTGCTCTAATGTTTTGACTTCCATCTGTGTGATTCATTGATTTCTCGTTTTTAATTAATCAAAAATTAAAATGAAACTAGTTTTAATCCGTTTAAACTTTTTTCTAACAAAAATTTAAAAGTACTGAATATGAAAACTAACCAGGATCCTTCAATTCCGAATAAAAAACGACTAATATTCGAAATCCTTATTATTTAAAATTGAATACTCTATATGATAGTGAGCAGTCAGAATGCACTTTTAGAAATATCTTACATCGACATGAATCATATCGAACAAGAAATTTGTCAAGTGCTATCCAGCCGCTACCATCAACTCTAGGTATAACTGTGGAACGATGTATACGAACAAGGCGAAGACTTTCTTTCAAATCATTATTAGCAGAATATCAATCAATGAGAATGGTAAAACTCAAGTTACTATGCGAACGTTTTTTATTTTAATCTCAAACGTGGTGCTTGAAGTACAATACATAGAAACGCAAGAATTGTACCAAGGAAAAATATGTAAACAAGCAAACGATCAATAACTCGTCCTAATATTTGCCATTCTTGTCCGATCGATTTCTTATGTTCTTTTTGTTCATATCGACGTTCACTTTTTTCAATCAAACGATGTATATGATAAAGCGATGATTTGAAATTATTAGTATCAGTCGATTTTTGGAGATTTTGTTGCTGTTGTTTTGATGTATAAGGACGAAGAACTAAGGGCGTCGAAGATTTATGATTGTTATCAGAAGATGTTAGTGTTATTTTTTCATATTCAAGAAGATCTTCGCCGAGTATTAACGTTCCATCATTTAGTGAACTTATTTTATTTGTTAGGTTGCTAGAATTAGATTCAAATTGATTTTTCCGGGATACTGATGACTTAAAAAAGCACAAATTTTTTATTTTAGCTTTTAAAGAAAATCTTTTTTGTTGTTAAACTGTTACCGTGGAATTATGAACAGATTTTCGTCGCTTTTTCATATGTGCAGGAAAATCAATATTCATGAATAGAAGTTTAGGTATGATGACAAAAAATAATTGAGCAATCCATTTCGGTACAGGATGAATATAATTTTTACCATGATGGTATAGATTCAGTGAAGCAACCGACATAGCTGTTGCGATACTTACAATTATAATTGCCGAAAGATAGTAGACTCCTGAATAAAATAAAAATGGATAGATTAAGATCATTTAGTAATCACTGTGAAAACAATTTTTAGTTGATTAGTCTAAAAGTCTATTTACTTGGGTCTGACAAAAAGTTCTGCAATTTAAATGAAAAAAATTAAAGAAAAAGAGAAAGTTCGAGTTATATTTTAATAAATGTTGATGATAGTTGCCATGATTATGTATGTATCACGTTGAATCCTTTCTAACAATTTGTTAGAAGTTTTTTTGAACTCGTTTTTGAAAAAACTTTTAGGTACCTTGGATGCCACATGAACTAATCGTATTTCATTGTTTTAAAAATTCAGTGAAATTTTGTTCGATCATGGCAGTTACGTTCTAGCGCTACTAGTGATGGGATATGGATTTATTTTCGATAGGTTAGTCATAAGTCATCTGATGCCAGATGGCTTATTGAAGATGAATCGTCAAAGACTATTGTTCATGAAGACAGATTTTAATCAAAAGTTTGTTTAGTATATTCTTTTAATCAAATAGTCCTCAGTGTAGATCAGGATGGTCAGATTGAAAATTGAAAAATCAGAAAATGATCAGAAAGATCATTTTTTGTGAAGTAGCAACTTCTGTATAAGATGCTGGCATTAACTACTCCACAACTTTAATGTCATGGACGGGTACTTCATTTCCAAGGATTTGTCACTGTAACGAAGAATATTCATCAATCGATAACGAATCTTTACGTAAAACTCGTTTTTTTCTTTATATGTCGAAATGATATTGCTGTGGCTAATTAATTTACTTCGATTTGTTTCTCTTCACAATCAAATTCAATCATATCAATATCATCAAGTAGATAATTTCGTTTTTATTTGTGGAATGTTTAATTAGATAAGATTCTCGAAATCAAGAAAAGAAATTTATCAAATTCTAGTGCATTGCTGTAGCTGAAGTTGCCTATATAAGTCAGAAATTACCAACGGATAATTGAGGAAAACAAGGTACCGCAATATACATCTATGATAGTAATGTGTCGTAATTGTACTGAACTGCACTAGCAAAACTGGGATCTGAAATAGTTTTGAATTCGGAAAAAATCAGAAGATCAGAAGAAGTCCAGAAAGGACTTCAAATTTGAGAATTTCCTCCTACTTTTCAGAAGATCTGACCACCCGGTGTAGATAAAGGCAAGACTGTAAGTCACAAGTATTATATTGAAAATTGTCCGAAGCCTTTTGTTAATGAAATATGAAAACAAGCAGAGATATCAGGGCCAAAATTGCTTGACGATCATCGTTGACTCCATACTTATCTAATGTTATCAATTAGATGACAGAACAAGGCATCAATATAATGTCATATACATCATATTCGCCAGGCCTAATACTATGCCATTTTTGGCTAACCAATTCTATTGAATGTAGTTTAACTAATTAAATAAATGAAATATGATTAGTCCATGTGGTATCAAAGCTACCTAAAATTTTTTTCGAAAACGAGCTCACAAAACTTCTAACAAATTGTTAGAAAGGATTCAACTTGATATATATATATAATCATGGCAACTATCATCAACATTTAATAAAATATAACTCGAACTTTCTCTTTTTCTTTAATTTTTTTCATTTAAATTGCAGAACTTTTGGTCAGACCTAAGTATTTCATATCGCCTAAACTATGGATATGGATTGATGTTATTCGAAAACAAAATCGCCTTCAATGCGTTTATATTATTATGATTATTGCCTGAAATGTCTTTAACATTCTATTTTTGATATAAACATACCAATTAACGGCAATGAATCCGAATTCGGTGGCATATTTTCAGCAACAAGCATAAGAAAAACTGTCATTGATAGAAGAGTTGTTACACCTATCGAAACTTTTTCTCCTATTTTAAAAGAAAAATAATTCATATCGATCAAAACAAAAAAGCAAAACTATCGTCTAACAAACCACTATCCGATGGAACACAAAAGCCAAGAAAAGCAACAATTGTTATGAGAAAACATGGAAACATCATATTGAATACGTAAAATAAAGGACGACGACGCATTTGTACAGTGTAAGTTAGATCAGGAAATGTTTCCGCACCTAAAATCAATCTGGAATATATACATATGCTTGAACTACAAACATTGCTTTAACATACAACATGAATATTTGACAACATTCTTTTTTACATGTAATGCAATAATTTCCCATTCTAAAGTATTATTCATCAGCATAGAAGAAAAAAAAGAATCATTATTCAAACCTGAATTTTCCATGAAATTACTTAAGTCACCAATCTTCGATTTTTCCGATAAATCAATACGAGCACTATCGTAAGTCCAGGATGCAAATTTTAGAGTACAATTTTGTTCGTCTATTTAAATAAATTATTATTGAAAAATATTTTATTAAAAATTCATTTTTACCAAAAGGAAAATAACGAACATCAATTGAACACGAACTTCGAAATATACTTGTCGATAACCATGTAACTATGCCTTCAGAAGAAACCATAACATTTGTTGATATTTGACTTAACGCAGCAAGATTATCAGCATTCTAAAAGAACAATAACTTTTCTATTTTAATTTCTATTCCGGTCAAACAGCTGCTAATTCCTGGTTTTTGACAGCGTAAACACATAATTAGTATTTGGTACAATAACCTCTCAGTATGAGAAGGGCGTTATTTCGCTCTCATGCTGATTACAACTTTGTATATCTTTAAATTAGAGAGGCAGAACAATGACTTTTATTTGGGATAAACAAATACTTTAAAAAAAACTCCTTCGACCAGAAAAGATAGTCGGCATGAATCTAACAGTACTATGGGTTCATCATGTGTTCACCGTTGTTTTATTTACACATGGCTAGACCATTGATATTTGATTACCATGGACATATATCTCAATCATGATATTGACGTTTAGATAATGCGAACAAAACAAAAATGAATAGTGAGGATTTTTCTTTCACACTTACATTGTATAAAACAATATCAGGTAGCCAAACATTATCATATTTAATATGAAGTAAACTAACATTGTCCCAATCTAAGGGGTTCCATCTTAATTTCGGATCAGGCCAAACCTATTCGAAATGATCAACATAATGAAAATAACAAATTAATATTTTCATGAAAATTTCTCCTGTTCTTTAAATACCATAGTTATCCATTGATTTGTTGTAATAATTTGATTTTTTTCATCAACATCAATCAATTGAGCAAGTGATAAATCAAATGAAATATTGGTTACATCCTGATGATGTAGAGCAGGTCTAATGGATTTATCATAGACAATTGGATTGAGTAACCTACGTGTTAAATTCATTTCCATATCGCATAAAATTCCTATTCATGTTGAGTCAATCAGAAATTCAAGAAAAATGAAATGCCTAAAAGATTTACCTGTTAATAACGAATAAATCAATAGAATTATGAAGGTCATATCAAACAACAGCAGCAACGTCACAGACGATATAGTTTATTAATTGATTTATTCGTTGTTGCCTCTTCTGCTATTCCAATATGTGATAGAACAAATGAGTAATCTTATTATTAATGGTAGAATAACAGAAACATAGCATTGCCATTCCAGTTTTATTTCTCACGTTGGAACCATGGTTAGAATGTTTGTGTTTATTTTTACAAGATGAATAGAAACCTCAGCTGGTGATAAAAAAAATGTAATCGCTGTTCATTGACTACATTAATACAACTAAAATGAACGTTGGTTGAATCATGACATGTAGGCAGAGAAAAATCCATTGTACACATCGACTTTGTCGTACTAGAGGGAATATCGCATGTTCACACAGATAGAGTAATCATTATAAAATACATTCAAGGAAATTTGAATCGTGATAGAATCAACTATTTTGATTTCCTTCTCTCTTTTTTTTGCACTTGCTTAGTTCTCAATTAAATAGAATAAATATCTGCATGTTAGGATACTTCTGTAAGTTTGACAGATGTCGCTCTAAATCGATACTGTTTCCTTATGTCAAAGCCATTGTCATGACAATATGATGTGTTAATGGAAGAGTTGACTGTTTTTATTTTCTCTACAGTTTTTGTTATTTTTTAAAGAATATATTGAGTTTGAGTTTATTCAATAATGTATAAACTTGATATTCCACTCAATTTAAAAGAGACAGCAGCTATAGAACGTCGTCGTCGAGCAGAAAAAGAACGTCAAGGACGAGTATTTAACTCTAAGTATAGACAAATAGGCGTTCGTATTCTTACATTATTTTTATTCAAATGCTAAACTATTATTTTCTATTGCTTATCATTTAAATACAGGTCGATAAGGAAGCACTAGATCAACAAGTTGAAGATCGCAATTGGTTAGAAGACCTTGAACAAAAACGTGCAGATGCATTTGGTAACGTTGAACATTGATATTTATGTTTGATTTAAAGTTTAAAATTTATTTAGCTAAAGATGCTATTCGCAATGATACAGTCGCTCAATTACTCGAACGCCGTCAACAATATGACGAAAGAGAAAATAATCGAGCAGTAAATGAATTTCGTGCTTTACATCAACAACCATTCGCTCAAAGTACTAAATAGAGAGAAAAAAACATAATTTTATGGATTAAAAATTATTTTCAATTAATTAGGAGAATGGGATTTGAATGATCCAGATTATTTAAAAAAAGATATGCCAGCACGTGTAGCTGACGATGATCCGCGTTGTGGTGTAGCTAGTTTACAAAAATTTAAAGGTGAAGATCTTAATTCGCCCGCACGAAAGAAATATCAACAAGAACAATTACGAGAATGGTCGCGTTTACAGCAAGAAAACCAAAGACATGCACAACAACAACAACGTGCCGCCGATCGATTGTATGATATGAAGCAAAATGAATTAGACCAACGTTCAGTTGAACTTCAAAGAGCCGAAGAAGAATGTCGAAAAGCGATTAATGAATCAATTAAAAATTATAATGATGCTTTAGTAAGTTGAAGATTCAGACGAACAAATGTCATTACAGAGCAATTGCGTAGGTTTGAGGGAAGTGCATATTTAAAACTGACGAACAACAAATTATTTACTGTAGTCTATAGTTTGAAGAAGTGCATTAGGCGGAAGTTAGGATCATACAGAAAATTAAAAATGTTTTCGCTACTACAAACATTTTAGAAATTCTACGCAAAAAAAATATCGTTTAATTTCGTCCCTTGAAGCAAATATTTAAAATTCAACAAATTTATCAGTTTACAATAGTAACTGGAATACTTTTAGAGATTGTCTGGAATGCTAAGGTGAGAAAACATGATGATTAAATCTAAATTTAGTTTGTAATACAATGCCACGGTTGTTGATTATGAATCAGAATACGAGATACTACTGTAAATAATGTAAAATGTTCCTAATGAACTGTTTCGCTCTATTCCATTGAAGTTTAATTAAATCTAAATTTAAAAATATTCTTATTTGACATTTCGACAGTGAAATATCCTTAATATAAAAAATCCAGTGTCAAAAGAAAAAAAAGATTTCTATTCTAGTCATGACTTTTTAATCCAAGCAAATAATAGCAAACTACATTTCTTAAAAAAAATCCATCGTATCTGACAGTTTCATGACAATAGATTCAATTAGTAGTCACGAGTAGGATGTTGCCATGAAGGCAAAAGTACATATATAAACAAATCTCGATCTAAAAAAAGCCATGTGTGATTCATTCTAAAGTTACTGATGCATGTCCTTTATGAAAGATATTATCCAATGATAGTTCGCAGTGGATTTTTGAAGTGAAATAAAACACAAATAACTCTAATATAATTCTCATTCATAGGTATTCTATCGAATAGTTCAAGTGCAAAGAGAAGACTCCTATGTCGACCCCCTAATATTCTCACAACAGATCCGGCGCAATTAAATAATTGTATTACGAATAACAATAACTTGTTCAGGATTTTACAGTCTACTGAATATAATTTTGAATCATTGATTTTTGTAGCTACGAGAAACAGAAGAACGTCGTGCATTGAAGAAACGTCAAGAAGAATATGATAATTATGCTGAATTGGCAAATATGATATCCTGTGATTTACTAACAGAAAATCCCGATCAAGCTATGAGTCAATTTGGACCTCATCGTGTGGTACCAGATCGATGGAAAGGTATGAATGAAGAACAACTACGTCGTATACGTGAAGAACAACAGCAACAAATTGAAGAGAAAAAAGTAAACTTGAATTTTTTCGGGCTAAAATTTTATCATCATACGCGATTCTTTTCTATCTCTAGCGTCGTACTGAAGAAGAACAACAACGTGAAGATGAGTGGAATCGACGACGATTTGCTGAAGCTAAAGCTGGAATGATTATTGAAAAACATGTTGAACATGAAAAACGTACATTTGAACAAGATGTCTATAATGATAATCAACGTCTAGCAAATGAACAACGTAATCTCAAAGCCTATCTTGACCGTGTTGTCTACACAAATCAGCCAACAGCTGCTTATTTCATGCAGTTTAATACATCATCAAGATAAATTCCATTCATATAGAAAAAAAAACAGTGACTTTATTTTTTGAAATGTTCATTACATTTTTTATATCGCTGAAAGAAAAAAACTTGATTTGACTTTGCCATGTTATAAATGTCTCTCCATAAAGTCTCATAAATAGACTTTATAAAAAGAAAAACTATACTTAATTTAGGATTTATATTGATAGGTTTGATGCGCTTAGAAAATTAATTATGCCAAGACATGATATTATTAGTGTTGATAAAATTAGAATATTGTTTTTGTGTACTCAAAAAGTGACTACACTCTAGAATCGGTCAGTGTGTCCGTCCGCCCGTCCGTTTACACGATAACTTTCGAAAGGAGAGTTAGATCATGATGGAATGTTCTACACAGTTCAGCCTCACCAATGTCTCAGTCGAGTTCGAAGATGAGAAAGATCCTTCAAGAAATGATTGAGTTATCGAAAAACTTGTCATTTTTGACCAGGCCATCCCTGAGGAGGGGTACAGGGATTTTTTTCAAAAAGCAAAATTTTCTCAGAATTGTTCACAACATATATAAATCGACTCAGTTTTTAACGCTGATTCCGAATCTGATATTAGTTTTGAACTAAATTGTAGCTTTCTAATGAAACATCGCCTGAAAAACGTCTCAAAATGCACAAAAACTGCATCCAGAAATCAAATTGCCTAGGTTCTCATGACGATTTTGGTGTTCAGACATTCTAGAATGACTCATATGTCCCATGCACTTTTGCAGTACACATAACTCTCGGATGAAATCCGAAGTTTCCACATTTATTTTACTGTATCATCGGTTCAACGTTCATAATTAGCGTACATTTTTACGAAAAATATCTTTGATAAGAAATATTTTCAATACTATGATGCGAATAGAAATGTCTATATCATTTGTTTATAAAAATCAATAAACAATAAGAAATTTTATATTATCTAATAAAAACAAAAACTTATTTAGGTAGGAAAATCTTTATAGAATGTCTTTTATGCTTCGATGTGATTAACTATCCGAGATTTTTAAACGGCACACGTTCCGATTGAAGTTGCCGAGTACTTTATTTGATATATAAGTATGTAAAAAAAGTCACGTTCAAGAGAAAAATGACAGTCATAGAAATATAATATTTTGTTAAATATCACCTTGACATTGTTGATAATTGTCCGGGATATTCTATCTATTGTCAACGAAACCATTAGTTGAGCCCCATGAACTTCCACGATGTCCATGATAAAACAAATGGGGATTTTCAGAGCTTTGACCATGTTGACTGCCGATTAATAGTTCATGATAGGTTTTATATCAAACATTTTAACGATGATATTCCGAAACAAGTTTGTAAAAGTAGGACAGATAATCATTAGCAAATTACTGAATTAAAATCAGATTGAAGATCTATTTTAAAATAAAGCTATTTAATCATCTTTGAATAATTCCTCAGTCACTAATCATATAATGGAAAATTTTATTTTCTTCACATTAATTATGAAATTAAAAATTTTCAACCGCTTGAACAATTCTATAAAATCTTCGACAGGAAATCATTAAATGTTTATTAGTAAAATCGAAATTTTATTTTACATTCAAAAAAAATCATTGTTTTTCTTCCACTAATTAAAGGAAATATTTTGTATCATGCGACAACAGAGAAGAGAAAGAAGAACACATAGGCAGGATCCATTAAATTATTAAAAAAAGAAAATATTTCGCAGTATCTTGACCTTATTCCAACGTAGTCTATTTGAGCCTTTACTTTTAGAAAATAATTATGATACACTAAAAAACGAATATAATAATCTACACTTACTGATTATCTATATTTGAAAAAACCACTCTATCTCGGATAAATAGCCGTAGTAGTATATACTGGATAGTTTCATTAATGCAGTCTATCGACTATATTCTATGCTATAATCGCCACGTTATAGAGTCTACTATTTCATTTGAGCATCCTCTACATGTTCTTTTTTTCCTCTATTCTTCTTTTTTTTTAACATACTCGTATATCAAAGTTATTATAAACCAGCATCACATCCGTATTCTGTTTCTGAATAAAAATAGAATGACGATGTGGCAACCTACAGTTTTGCTTCATTAGCAGACCGACAAGGCAATTTTAGTTTACTGCAACATTGCTTTATAACTGGCAGCCATGTCTTTATCTCAATCTTTACCATTGCGATCTGGATTTCCATCGGTGTATGAAGATGATTTGTTCAAGAAATTTAAACTTAAACATCATCGTACATTACAATGTAAATATGAAATTGATACTCAAAATGGTCGAAGCAATTTTCATGAAGGTTCATTACCAGATACCGGCGGCAATCGCGCTGAACTATTGACACCGGACATCGATGAACTTCAACGACGAGAAAATGCACTTCTTAAATGTATTCAATCGCCAAAAGTAAATTATCATCCTCGAAGCTAGATTTGTTTTTTTGTACAGGATAATTATCTTATTTTAGATCAGCAACGATACGAATATGTCGTTGGCGACTAACCATCGAAAATCGTATAGTCTATGCAAGGTCTGCAACGACAGAGCAACAGGTATACACTATGGTCTTGCAACATGCGAAGGTTGTAAAGGTATTTTGATGAGATTTAATATAGAAAGTTATGATTCTGATTTTATTTTTTCAAAAGGTTTCTTTAAACGCACAGTGCAAAATAAACGAAAATATCGTTGCAGTGGAAATGGCTCGTGTATTATTGATAAATCTCAACGTAATCGTTGTCAACATTGTCGATTTCGAAAATGTCTTTTGCAAGGCATGGTCATTGCAGCTGTTCGATATGACCGAGCACCGGGAGGTCGCACACCTGCTAATGTGATGCAGTTGTACAAAGTAAATCTATTTTTGTTTTTTCGGCATTTTAAAAAGAACTTTTAGACATTCAGTTTACTCATTTAAACAGAATAATAGTAGATAAAGAATCAAAGACTTTAAGAGAAATTTAATATCTAATGAATATTTAGATCGACACCAAGAAATTGTAGGCTTTGTCATGTCTCGAATAATGTATGATTTATTACAGAAAATAGGATTGAAATATCGAACGTTCTTTTTCTTTCATTCGGCACCTTTGGTATCTATTACATTTTTTTTGCCTCGAACGATGTTTCTCAAAAAGCATCTATAGCGTTTATATTTTAATTCAGTCTAAATTTTCCGTTTGAGATCTTTTATCCTAGATGGATTAAGTGTTTAATTTTGAAAAGCTTAAAAGTTAAAATCATGCATGATTACTGATGGCATTAACCTTTGTCTTTTAAGTACTGTCGAATGATATAATATTTTCTCTTTCTAGTATAAAAATGAAACCAATGAACTTATAAACAAGAATGTAAATGAGACATTTAATGCATTATTTGATTCGAATATATTTCATTGTTTTGATCAAATATCAACAATAGATATGTTATTTGAACATCTACGTCCATTGTTAAATAGCGAAATTTTGTTAACACAAGAATCAATAAAAAGTATTTCTCTATTAACAATCGATAAATTTATTTATTGGTTTCGTTCATTACCCTTTTATCCAACAATAAATATTGATTTAAGTCAATTTATGATTAATGACCGATGGTCGAATTATATCGTATTAATTATTTTTTATTTTCTAAAAATGAATTATAGTCATGTCCATTTTATTTCCTATCCAAAATGTCTTCAGCGTTTATTTTATTTTACACAAAATAAATTTCTATCGTCATTATCATACCGAATACTTGACCAATTTTTTTATTTCCTATCAACATTCTTCAATATACATCTGACCAACACGGAATTTACTCTATTAAGCATTTTACTTATATGTCGATCAAGTAATTTTGAAAATTTTGTTTGCTAGATGATTTAATTCTCTTCTGTTTAGATCAATTGAATAAAATTCATTTCAATTCATTTGAATATATTTGTCAAATATTACATACGTATGAAATCACTAAACTCCCGTCGGAACAACCAGCTCGTTTTAATCGTTTATTAAGTTTCCTTGAACAGATTCAATCAATAACGCAAATTCTTATTACACATCAACATTTTCATTTACCATTTTTACTTTTTTCAAGCTGAACTATTCTCTATAAAAAAAAAAAAGAAAACTGTTTCGAACATTTATGTGTAGAATATTTTATGAAATAAATTCAAACGAAAATGGTCGATAGACAAAATATCTTGATATTTTTTTATGGATCATGGAACACTTGTAGAGGCGGCCACCGACATAATGAAAAGTTGCTGCTACAAAGTTTAGCGAACCAGAGATTATTAAATCTAGATATTTAATTTTGTAATTCGAAGAGAAAACCTTGATTAATTTTAATCTGCTTACAAGAAAAAAGCTATTCTTCAGGTAGCGTGATCAGCCTACGTAAGCTTTTAATCACAAAGTCGATTGCATCCTAGAAATGTTTTTAAAATTAGAATTTTCTAAAAGATTGGCGCACTTTCTAAATAAAATTGAATACATTAGTCACCGGAATGTCTTCTTTTAACATTGAACCGTGACAAACTATAGAAGAAAGTAAAATAATCGTCATCAAGATATTTTGTTTACTACTGAGTCTTAATATAATATTTATTTTAATTTAAAAAATTGGGCCCTTATTGGCTAAAGCCTGAAGGTACTTGACAGCTCTTGTAATGCCTGGCTTCTTTCTCATCCAGCCTTTTCTTAATTAAATCATGTCCTTCATTGCTCGTATGCTTTTGGTGTCATAGGGAAGATGAGTTTGAAAACCTACAGCTGTGTGCATGATATATTTATTGCTTACAGTTCGTTACTATTCTTTGACACTAGGGTTAAAGCAACCTAAACTCTGTGATTTGGTTTTCCGTCATAGGATGAATATTATCTTAAACTCGATTTCAATGACAGTTATGCACAATGAGATTCTTGACATCATGAAGGTATTGCTACACTGATTCGAGATAGATTTCTGTCATCATCGCTGGATACGATGGACTTTGTCTCTGAATAAAATAATCATTTTAGTCGCATTTAAACTTGAAGACTTGGGGAAAATTGAAAAAATCATCTTTAGAGATGAACGAAATCCCTAATACTCATCAAATGACAAGTGAGAAAATCCTCATTTGATAGAAGAAGACGCCAAGCCTCAACATATTACAAGGCGCTTATTCCTGTTCATAATAGAAATCTCCTTTGAATTAGAGAAGCAGAAGAAAATCGATGATCGTACTGTCTTGATTCTCGTTCATACATAAAAATGTATTTCGATCATCCTCAAGTGCAAGTGAAAAAGAATACATTTAAGAACAACTCACGTTTCTCTTGTAAGTTACATAATATCTATTCTAGAGTCACTTGAGTTCTCAATTGCATTGCTATAAAGAAATTTTTCGACACGGACAGAGCCTATCCGATAGCCCACGGGGCTAATTATTAAGATGTTCATTCTTACAGGCAACATATGCCACGATATTTCCAAAATAAGATGATGTCTATTATTATTGTAAGTAATAACTATTAAAAAGTTTTGATGCTATTACACCACCTTCGATAAAGTGAAACGCATTTTTATCATAAAAGAGCTCATTTATAGTTAAATGAAATAAGCCTGCAGGCGCATATGTATATTCGTCTATGAATTGTTGCTAAACTAATGAAATAATTGAACAGACAAATTCCATGAATAGAATTTTACATAGCAAATCGTCCGTTCCTTCTCGACTATCGGGAGAAGCAAGGTGCACGAAGCGCTCTTGATAAATATATATTCGTGTTTTAAAATGATTTGATATGAGAATATTACCAGTTGTTAATGTTTATCGTATAGAAACTACTTCTTGATTATCAATCCCAAAACTATGTTATCATACAATAAATATTTCAACTAGAAAGCATCATAATCTAGGCATGAATGTTCTTATTAATGTTTTAAAAAATAACGATTAAACACACTTGGAAAAAAAGAAAAAGAAAAACGATGTTGATGAACAATAAATTAAACAAGATGTTTGATTTTTTTTTCAATTGAATAAATAATCGCGAAAAACTCTTGCATATTGCTTTGTTTACCATTCTTTTTTTCTTGCATCAACCGATACTCCGCCAGGACCAAGTGCAACAACATATAATAGGCCACCAATAACCGACATTGTTTGAAAGAAATCATATTTTAAAAAGTCTTGTAATGCACGATGATTATTAGCACGCCAGAAAGCGTTTGTATAAATATTGGAAATCGATAAAAATAAAACAAGAAACAAAGCTGATAGTTTTGTCTTAAAGCCTATTGCAACACATAAAATACAGATACCACCAATTATATTTTGAATTGTCGAAATAAATGTAAAATCAAGACGAACAATTGTTAAAAACATAATAACAAGTAAAAGACGACCCGCTAATTGCATATAATTCTTTGGTGCATTGTTATGCATTGTTGGTACACCAGCAAATAAAGTGCGTGCCTCCTTACGATTTTCAACCATTAGTAGCATGAGACCACCGACTAGCGAACATGACCTAAAGAAGCAAAAGTTTCATTTAAATAGATGGCAACAAAACAAAATGACATGCTTATAATTCTACTACCTGAGTAGAAAACGTGGTTCCCATATAATTCGATATGCAATCGACTACAAAAATTAGTTTTATCGCTTCGAGTTTATTATCTTGATAAAGAAAAACACTTACTTGGAATGCAATGATGAAGAATAATATAGCACAAGCAATATCAGTTTTCTTTCGAAGTAAAATCATTACGCATGGGGTTAATTGCCCGAATAGATTAATTATAACAAAACATGTGCCAAGAAACCATACAACATTCCAAGAACTCATAATGTAATCTCGTTGTTGACTCCATTGCATCCACATACGAAGACCATCTTCAATAAATGTAGATATCAAACATAGTCGAGCTAGATGTGGTAAAAAGTATTTCGTTCGTTGAAGAAACTATAAACAAAAAGAATACGTATTGTTTTTTCGTACAGAATAAAATGTTTTGTTACAATATCAGCATAATCTTCGGCTTGACTTAACCATTGTTGACGTTGTTTAGGTGCAACAAAATTCATGATAAACTAATTCTCTATCAAAATCAATGAGCACGGTGAATGATGATGCTACTGGTAGGTAACGTGGTTTTTCCAGGGATTGGTTCGTTGCTCTAATGATTTGTCTATACAATTATTTTCTTTGATAAAATATTTGAAAAATAATTTTTTATTCAAACAAATGAAATTCTATAAATAAACTTCGAAGCATTCATTTAAGAGAAAAGAAGTCACACTGGTGACAATAGATGTCGACACATTTCTTGGCGTCCATAATTTGCGAATGAACGTTTGAATGGAACGGGTAAAGTAAGTCAAAATCTATCAGACACACACAGTAATATTCAAAATGGGTGATGATGGAAGACAGCATCAAGAATTTCGAGCACGCCGTGTTGATGGAACAATTCCTGATGGTAATTTAGAAGCTGCATAAATTTGTGTAACTTTTTCGTCAGTTTTGTTTTTATAAGGCTTGGAAGATGCTGCCGCACAAAGTCGTCTTACACATGATCGAATGTCAGCAGAAGAAACACGTTTATTTCCAGAAGTGTGTAAAGGTGATATTAAACGACACAAAGCATTCTTAATTATTCGAAATAATGCTGTAAGCCATTTTGATTTTGTTCTTCTAATTTCATTGTTTCTGAATAATGAATTCATGTTTATTCTAGCTTCGAATGTGGTTCGATGAACCTCGAGTTCAACTTACATTTGAGAAAATCATGGAAAAATTAAATCAAGTCGAACCACAATATGCCACTGGTAATTAAAAATTGATTCGCTAATTCCTACATACGTATATCCTTTTCTTTTTTAGATGAACGAATACTTGCTGGAAAAATTTTTCTTTATCTTGAACGTTATGGCTATATCAATTTTGGAGTTTTTAAACGATTGACAATTCCACTTGGCAGTAAAGTTTCGTAGGATCTTTTAAATAAAATTTCCTTTTTTTTACTAGCTAAAAAAGATAAACCACGCATAATTGTGATTGGTGCCGGCATTGCTGGTATCATTGCTGCACGACAATTACAATATTTCGGATTCGAAACTATTATTCTCGAAGGACGCGTAGGTGTTATTCATCTTTCGAATAATAAAAAGGTGAAGAAGAAAAATCTTTCTCTAGAGTCGAGTCGGCGGTCGCATAGCAACATTTCGTAAGAATAACTTTGTAGCTGATCTTGGCGCGATGGTCGTTACGGGCTTGGGTGGTAATCCAGTGTCTGTATTACAAACACAAACAAATTTAGATCTTGTACCAGTTAAACATAAATGTCCAATGTATGAATGTTCTCAGAATGTGGTATGTTACGATTTTTCTCTGGGAGTGTGTATTTGATCGGAAAATAAATTCTTATTGTAGTTAGCAAATCCTTTTTTAAAGCCATTTGAATTGATTAACTATCGACGCCGATATCTTCGGGTTAATTGAATCGAGCTTCTGTTTTTCTTTTGCATTTATTTTATTTGCTGAGCGAATTTTAATACATTTGAAAAATATTTCGTTTTTGCTTATTAGGTACCAAAAGCGAAAGATGAAGTAGTTGAAAGAGAATTTAATCGTTTACTCGAAGCATGCTCGTATTTGGCTCATACACTCGATGACGAAGTCGACGGAAAAAAACAATACTATTCATTAGGTGATGTTCTCGAACAACTAATTCGTGCACAAGAAAAAGCTGTAAGAGAAAAATATGTTCAACATTTACGTGAAATATCCAAAATGAAAGAATCACTCCGAGCTATTTTAACAAAAGTATGATTGACTTTTCGTTTTACTATTTTAATGATTATGTTTAATACAATTATGATAGATGTGTGATGTTCGAACAAATTGCGTTCGTTTAAATAAAGAATATTCAGAAGTCTTACAAGTACCAGACAATGCAAATGTACTCGAAGAATTTATTATACGTGATGTGGCCAAAAATTTAGTTGTCACTACTGAAGTACGGTTTTTTATTAGAATCCGTCGAATAGAATTAAATCCTTTTCTGATACTATAGGAATATGCTCGTCTCGAAACACAAGCTGCACAACTAAAAGAACAAATTCGTCTAGCTGAAGATAATCCACCGCCGTATGTTTTCCTTATTGGATAAAGTTTCTTCGGTCGTTGCAATATAATTTATTTGTATCTAGTCGTCTCTATCTGAGTGTAACTGATCGTCGTATTCTTGACTGGCATATGGCTAATTTAGAATTCGCTAATGCAGCACCATTAAATTGTTTATCATTGAAATTTTGGGATCAAGGTACGAATACATTGAATTCAATAATAAAGACGTGTTTGTTTTTTGTTTTCTTCAGATGATGAATATGAATTTACTGGTTGTCATCTTACTGGTAAAGAAATTGATGCTGTATGAAAAAACAAGTGATTATTTCATTTTCTATATAGTACGTAATGGTTATTCTAATTTACCGGTGGCTCTCTGTGAAAATCAAAATATACGACTTAAACGAATAGTTAAAAAGATTACCTATAATAAATCAGGTATGTTATGTCTACTGATCATTGATTAGTTACAAACTAGGTGTTAAAAGATGAAGTTTTATTATCACATAGTTTCATTCATTTACATGCGTATATTTAATTGTATTTTTTTCTGCAGCTGTTGAAGTTAGTGTTGAAAATGGTGAAGATTCCAAGAACGACATGATTGAAACATATCGAGCTGAAGCAGTACTTGTTACTGTACCATTAGGTGTATTGAAAGAAAATGTTATCGTATTTGACCCACCTTTACCTGAAGATAAACAATCAGCAATTGAACGAGTCGGTTTCGGAAACTTGAATAAAGTAAGTTACTCTTTCTTTTTTTTTCTGTTTCATTCATATTTCTATTGTAATCAATAATTAAGGTTGTTTTATGCTTTGATAAAATATTTTGGGATGCAAATCATACATTATTTGCTCATGTTAATGCTTCAACATCATCGCGCGGAGAATTATTTCTCTTCTGGTGTTTTACGAAGCCACCAATACTTATAGCTTTAGTTGCTGGTGATGCTGCTAATGTTGTGGAATGCGCAACTGACGACGTCATCATTGGTCGTACACTTGTTGTTCTGAGAAATATTTTTGGTTCAGTAGCTGTTCCTTCAGTAAGTTACTAGGATATATGGAACTAGTTCCTATGATTCTGATATACGTATTTCAGAAATATTGTTTACACATTATTTCTTATTCATTCTAGCCAAAAGAATCTCTAGTGACTCGATGGAAATCAGATCCGTTTGCACGTGGTTCTTACTCATATGTTGCTGTTGGCGCTTCAGGTTATTTAATTGCTTCAAAAAAAAAGAAAAGAATAGTACTAAATCAGATTTCCTCTCATTTAAGGTGATGATTATGATATATTAGCTCGGCCAGTTGAATATCCTGGCGATAAAATTCCACGTGTATATTTTGCTGGTGAACATACAAATCGAAATTATCCAGCAACCGTTCACGGTGCTCTATTAAGTGGATTGCGTGAGGCTCGGCGTGTAGCCGATGCATTTCTTGGTTCGATTTATGAAATTTCGGCACCTTAAATCTTTTTGTTCTCTTTAATGCAAAAAATGACTACTGTTGTGTTGTATATTAAATGTTACTAAAGGGAAAACAAAATATAATAACGTATCAGATAATATTTCCCATCTTTTGTTTTGTTAAATACATTCATGAGTGGATGTGGCGTGAATCTTCTGTTTCGCCATGTTCACGGATTAAAATTAGATGCCTATGATTTTTATGCTCTACTCAAAATAGGAAAAGGAACAAGTGTACTTTTGTAGTTCTGACGTACAACAGTACTCTTCGCTCCTCCCCCTTGTTTGTGTATCACATTTAAAGTCTTGCAGGACGAAATGAACGCAAGCGAAAAAAATTATGTCAAAAATTTTCACTCTAAATAATAATTTCAAAAAAAGAGAATTTTTCGTTTTCGACAATCTTGGTTACAACTAAGGAAAATCTTACAAATCGTGCGGTTACTTTATAATGTATTGAATACCACGACATTGATGATGATCGATAAGTTACACCGGATTTTTGTGAACTATACTGATAGGGTAATTCGCTTTTTTTACGTCAAAACATGGTAATTAAAAACAAAAAATTCTCTTTGATTCTATACTTCACGACTCATTGGTCTAGACATCTTTCACATAACATTAGTAGCGTTTTCAAAACACATCTAATTATTGACTTAGAAACTCTTTGCTCTATACTTGATTTTCGTGTGTTTTCAAACGACCTTTTTAATTTAAATCAATCCATAATACATCGATCTGCTGAACTAAAACTTGTTACATCGTTGAACTTGGCTACTGTACCGCTCATAATATTGACTAACACTTGTATTCTGATTATGAAATGTACGCTGGGTTTGAGTATCAAATCAAGAATAAAATAAGCGCGAAGCGTAGATTTCAACAATAACTTTGACTTAAATGAACTCTTCAACTATCTAATTGATATATATATCATTTGCATTATTTGATATTTGGAACATTTCCTCTCTGAAATCGAAATATTTACAAACATATCTATTATCGTTTTTTTTTCCATATTTATCTTTAAAAGATTTCATTCCTACTATTTTTCTAATAACTAAACACATAGAACATCCCTATCTTTTGGTACTGCATATTATTTAAATTTTCGTAATACGAATGGTTCAACTACGAATAGAATACTTATTATTCTTTCAAGATATTTCAAATTGAATACAGAAGGTAAAAATTCTCTTCTACATTCAAAACTGATATATTTCGATTAAATTAGATTACAAAAGAGGAATAATCATCAAGCTTAAAGTTGACATCGAACAAACACATTTTGGCTACTATTTAAAGAATATTCTTCTTCTTTTTTGATAAAATAATATTTGCTTAGAGGTAGGACTATTTGTTGCAATATTTGATTAAGTATCATCCTATTGGAAGTTTTAAATTATAATTTTTACATAAATTTTAACGTATTGAAGATTAATCATAGTCATTGCTAACAATGAAATTCTTTCATCTAAAGACTGAAAATGAAATACAAAATAGAATTCTTTTTATTATAATATTGTAAATAGAGATGACGATGAACAATATACGAAAAGAAAAAGATCTGCTTTAAAGGGTAAGAATGCAGCAAAAAAACGAAAGAAAAATCAAGCAATAGAGCAGGTTAGAATGGAATGTTTTATGTTTATCAAATATCTACAATGTCGACATGCGAAAAGAAAGAAAAAGGAAAACAAAACAAAACAAAAACGTTTTTATTTTTCACAAAGTTGTCGGTTGCGATGCGTACATAGCTGAATGATGATAATAATCTGATGATGATGGGGCAAAAGCTGTTTGTGGTAGTTGTGATGCATAATAAGCATTTAATGCTGCTGGATTATCACCAAAACCTTGGTGCATAATAAGTGTATTTATAGCAAATGGTGAATAATTTGGAAATGTATGTGGATCAAATGACATTTGATTAAATTCACACTGTTCCTGTTTAAGTTGTTTAACATCAACATTTGTGGCTGATGGTTGTGAGGATTCTATTGTTGGCTGCTGTTGCTGCATATAGATAGGTCTTGCTGGGAGTTGTTGTTGCATAATTAATAGTTGTTCATCACATGATTTTTCAGATGATGATGATATAGGACTTTGCTGTCCGCTGCCTGTTGATGCTGTTGATTTATCTAGACTATTATTAATACCTTGACGTCGACTATTATTATTCGAATCACGATCATGATCTAGACGTTGTTTATTGCCTACGAAGAGAGAAGAAAATTCTTTTTTTTGTTTCTACTATTAAATAAGAAAACTATAAATACATTTAAATCGTTTTTGTCGTCGAAGATAACATCCATTTTCAAACATATTTGTTGCTTCTTGATGTAATGCCCAATAAGAACCTTTGCCGGGCCTAGAGAAACCATAATAGAACGAAGAAGAAAAAAACAGTTTGTTTTTTTCTTTCTCAAAATAATTTTTACCTATCAGGACTTCGCGGTACTTTAACAAAGCAATCATTAAAACTTAATGAGTGTCGAATCGAATTTTGCCATCGTTGTTGATTTTGACGGTAATATGGAAATGAATCCATTATGAATTGATAAATTTCCGCTAAAGTACACATTCGATTGGCTGATAATTGTATTGCCATTGTAATTAATGAAATATAACTAAAGAAATAATCATATTTATCTATCTTTTAGTCTTTCTCTTTAAATACCTATAAGGTGGTTTAGCACACGCATTAAAATTTCTTCTATAATTTGCATTAGCTGCTAATGCAGCGGACGGATTTATCATTGACTGTTGTTGACCATTAGCTATAACTGATGCTAAACTGTTACTAGTTTTGTCATTGATTTGTTCATTTTGATAACGCGTTTGCAGAACATTTGATGCATTGGCGGCTTGTTGCTGATTGCCATAAACGAGCGATAGAGATGCTGGTGAAAGTGATTGAACGTTGTTATTATTATTGACTAGTTGCTGCTGCTGTTGCTGTTGCTGTTGCTGTTGCTGCTGCTGCTGTTGTGAATGGTGATGTGATGTTGGTATAAGTGAATATTGACCAACATTATTTCCATATGGTGATTGTTGATAGCAACAATTTGTTTGATAATTGCCTGACGGTTTTGATGATGTTGATGACATGGAACTGTAAGTGTAATAAAAAAATCTTTTTTGTCAATAAAATTATTTATATTAGTTTTGTTAATATGTACTTACAGTCTATTCTCTTTTCTCTTACTTTGTTTTAATTTTCTTGAAAAAAAACTTTTTTATGTATACGATACGTGTGTACACGCGCGCGTAGATGTTTGTGCGTTACAAATAAATGGAAACAATATTTGCTTCGTGCGTTGTCGTTTTCTTTTTTTTTCTTCTTTTTTTTTTTGGCTGACTGTGTTCGCTAGAATAATATTGGTTCCTATGTGGATTTTACATCTGCATCGGACGGAGGAGAGAGAGACAGAGAAAAAAAGAGTTGACGCACTCTACTTATTAATTTGACTGAGAGGAAGCGAGCGAGCGAGCGAGAGAGAGAGAGAGAGAGAATGAAGTTTTTCTTTTTTTTCTTCATTTTTTTTACGACCTTCATCCAATGGTAATGCTGCTTTTCTATTGGCCAATCGGTTTACTTTTTTTGTCTTTAGAATAATTATAAACGAATCAAAATTAATTGAATATGGAGCTTTTTAAAGAAAAAGATCCTTTGGGAAAAAAATTCATAATGAGTAGATATGCAATCATATAGATTGAAAAAACGATGTGATCATTGTTGAAGTAGGAGAAAATGAATTTATTATATACTTGATAAAATGTAATGTGTATAAGTAGCAATAAATTCTTCTTGAAATTTTCAAGTAACTGTGATAATAGTGTTTGTTTATTTCCTATGTTCATTTCTTGTGCTTTTTTCAAAGCGGATCTTCAAAGATATAATTATGATTTTCTTTTTTTCGGAGATGACCCTGACATGATTTGCATGTAAACGAATAAATCCTTTCGATAAACATTGTCATAGAGCGTGATAGCTTCGATGTTTGCCATATCTCTCTAACAAGAATGTATATGTGTATATAGTGTACGAGGGGCGATGGTCATCTTCACTATATGCGTGAGCAAATTGAATAAATATAAAAGTAGTAGTACTCGTCGTCGCTGTTGTATTTAATCCCGCCTTGACGTGTGTATGTATATATCGGTAGGTTAAAAAAAAAAAGAGAAGGGACGGACTACTACATTGTTTTATTGCACTTCCGTCTCTCTTTTATTTCTTTTACGTTTGAATGCAAATTGAGGAAGAAGCTCTGAATACCTTGAATAATCACGTTCAAATATTTTATTGGATTATGAAAATATGTGAAACTACGAAGATTAATTTTCGAATATAATCTTATAGGTGTGACAGAAATATATTATGATTAGTTATGGTTATACTCTCACCTGCATTCATTTCTTTTCCTTTTTGATGTGATGTATTTATAATATGAAATATGTTCAAAATGAACGTGTATAGATGGTATAGATTTACTTTTCTTTTTCGTTCTCATCGTTGTTCTATTCTCTTGTCTTCGATTCATTTCTTTTTTGAAAAGTAAATTTAGATTAAGAGAACGAAAGAGTTATGCTTGTATAGTTCACTACTCGTGAATCATGTACTTTAGAAGAGTGAAAGTTAATTTAGAGCACTTGTATTCGATATGATTTTGTTAAATAGAATATTTGTTGGTTTTGAATAACAAAATGAAAATTTTCTAAATTGCCATAAAGAAGAAAAATAAATAGACTTCACATTTTTAATCCAGTAATTTGAGAATAAAAAATGATGAAAGAAACTAGAGAAAAAAAATTCTGGGTTTTTTTACCATTAAATGAAGTTGAGAGAATAACTTGATTAGAAGTAGTTGTAAGAATTCATGGTACGTGACAAAATTTCTAATCAGAATGCGTCAAATTATTGCTGAAGCACATTAACAAAAAATATCTTCTTTTTGTTCTTTTAGCGTTACTTTCATTTGTCAATATTTGTTTATCTATTAGTTATTTTCTTTTTTTCCTTTTTCTTCTTTTTGTTTTGATGAACATCAAAAAACTGAAATGAAGAGAAATCTCTTAAAAAAGCATAATTTAAACCGAACGGCTAATTCTTGAGAAAATCAATAATGTCAAGTCGTAAGAATAATATTCTATCTGATCAAAGAACTATTCGAATATCGTAGATGATGATGGCAATGATGAGTCTCGACTAAGTGAGAACAAACATTCTTTGGTAAAGTGATTCAACGCTTTTTCTTTTCGCTATACATCTCAATCATTTTTGATCATCAGCCGACGAGAAATTCAATAAAAACTGTAAAAATGCTGGCGGACAATTGATTAATGTTCAAAAAGAAAACAGAAAACACATAGACGAAGAGCTTGAAAATTCGAATCCTATTTAAATGTACGAGAAAATTTGTCAGATGTTTTTTTTCTCGTCGGTCTTAAAAATGTACATATGGAAAAAGTTTGTTCATTAAAAATAACTAAGAATAAACTTTGGTCACACCTTATCGTCATACATCAATTTCAGATCGTGACGAGAGAAGAAGAAGAAGAAGCTGACTCAGACGTTTGCTCAGAGCAAACAAGACATCTATTGTCTACTCTCTTTTCAAGATAAAGCAAGTTCCGTTTGTGTCGCATTCAATTGATCGATCAGTTGTATTGTATGAAGCAAAAAAAAGAACAGAAGAGATGATTAAAATTTACATTTGATTTCCTTTTGTCGTTTAACATCACAAATAATTGCAAAAGATAAATTCGTTCGATTCTATTCTTAGTGTATGCTTACTTGAAGATCCTTTTATGTAATATGTAGGTAATCGGATCGCAGACCTTCACATGATGGATAGAATAAGTAATCGATATCTGAACGAAGGTTTCGCCTATGAGACTTGCCGTCGGTCAATATTTGTTTTTCGTGTTCTCTACCTTCACTTCTCCGTAGCTCAAAATAGAACGCGATAGGTAACTTTAATCAGATATCGATAAAAACGATAGCATATAAAACCACCTGTTCATTAAATCAAACATCAGGTTGACAGCGAGGAAAAAATTCATTTGCCTTAAATTATAATTTATGTTTAAAGGATTTGTAAAATAATGATATTTGTTGTTAAACATTTGTTAAAACATGATTCTTTTCAATGGAAAGTAGTTTGTCGGGGTGCACATGCTTTTTTTTGCGTCTACAACGACTACATGGAGGACAAAAAATTATTTAGTTTAGGAAAAAGTTCAGTACGAAGACTATTGACTATTTGAACAAATATATCTATTTGTTCGAGCGATAAAGATGTCATGGATGATGTCGGAAGAAGAACAAGATTTGTTGATTTTTCTGATGACAATGTTTTAATTAAAGTATTTGACGAGGGCACAGATGGTGCTCGATGTTCTAAAAGAATAGAAATTTTCAAAAACAAAATCAATCAATTTTACACATTCAACTTTGATTCGATATCGATAATAGAGGAGAATATTTCGCTGTTGAATTACATAATGGAGTGAGTTTATTATTTAATATTGGTTTAGTTGGTGAATAAATACAAGTCGATGGTAACAGTGGTTTGACTAAATAATAATGGGCAAAAAATATTTATTTACGAGATTATTCTTTCGATAGAAAATGTGTCTGTTTTTTTACATATTTACCAAATAAAAATAAAGAACTTCAGCTGTGAATTAAACAAGGAAATTACTAATTCCAATCGATTTCCGGCTATGACTGGTTATGTCATAATGTTCAAATTTTTTAGGCGATGTCGTCATTATCGAAACGTCTAAGGAGAACTTCTCAAAATTCGATCTAAGGTAAATACATCAATATCGATATGTCCTTGTCACTTAGGTAAAATAAAGGTGCTGATGAATCTACAGATAATATTCTCAATCATGTCTGTAAATATATACGAAGCTAAAAGTTCAAAATACTCGACCTCAATTATTACAGACATGTTTCAGTAGAGATATAAGTCTGAGCTAACAATCGATATTTTAAAATACAAGGTTATTTTCAAAACTATTCACAACGCTATCGATTTCTTCCCATTTTTCTTTGTTATAGGCGACTCATGAAACCCAAACAATTTTCCAAGGTTTATTTTTCTTTTGAAAAATTGTCAATACGAACCGTTACTGGATAATTTCAATGGCATTATAGACGAGCTCATTGTTGATATAATTCGTAGAAAACATAGTCGTTCGAAACCGCTTAGCCAAACACTATCCGTTGATATCACATCATATAAACAACGTAAAAATCGATAACGTACATCATAATCTATTCCGAAATGACTAGTGACGTATTTAAATAGAACTTGTTCTTGTGTCGATGAATCTCTGAAATCAATAAAAAATCTGGAACACATATAACGTTGTATTTGCGTTTGATTAGTTGGACGAAAGCCTCTTGCAATTAGATCGCAATATTTTAAAAGACCACCTCCACGCAATTCTTCTGGTGCTCTGACATCAATTAGACGATGATGTAGGTGTTGTAAGGCTTCAGAAAGATTTCCATAACTTGATAGAACAATAATCGGTGGGAAATTAATTAAATTCGAATGAAATTTTCTTGTTAAATAAAACAAATTCAGTAATGGATCAAGTAGAATTTGAAATGAATCAACAGAAAATTGATATTGTCTTTTCATATGTTCAACAAATTTCTAAAAATCAATATAAAACAAGATAACATTTAGTTGCTTGATTCGATTTTACTAATTCTAAATTTCGGCCATCAGAATTTCTCAGTGATATTAAACCCCAACGATCATGTTCATTTATAATACGTATCATTTTATCAGTATAAACTTCTGTACATAAATGTTGATTTTCTGGATTCGACAATGGTAATGCAGCACAAACTGCTTGCTTTATTTTTGACCAATTCGATTCCGATGTGACATCATTGACGGATATCAAAAAATCTAAATCTCGAAAAGCTAAATCACCAGTTGGATCAAGTACAAATGATGCTGCACCACCGCTCAATCTTATATCGTTTAAATCTAGACCTTGTTGTTGTGCTTCAGTTTTTAAACGTATTAAAAATATCGATGAAATAACAGTTAATGTAGGCAATGAAGTTTCACTACTAATTAATATCGGTGAATCAATCAATGAAAAAAGACGTTTGGTTTGAGATAGATTTAATATTGAACTATTGCAATCAAAGTCAATGTGCTGTAAGGATAATAGAGATTTTGATATGCTTGATTTATCAGTATACAATGAATTTCGAGTGATATTATTCATTATTTGGTGAAGTCTTTTTTTAACATTTCGACCAAAGCAGGCGCCAATAAGTAAACAACTGTGATTAATTCTTGCTTATAAATCTTTTATATCAAATATTCGGTATCGTGCAAGGATAAATAAGTAAGTGAATGGCGGCATTTTTTTATGTTATTTTTCCTAGAGATGTACTCATGTGGAGGTCCGCGGACTTCAAATGCAGTGAAAAGCATAGCATTCCAGGTAGTTCGTTGCATACGGATCTTATTTTCTGGCATGCCGATTCAATGTAGCGAGATTTATTGTTGATAAGGACAGGTAGAATTTTTACGGCTATATGAAGACTTAACAAATATTTGAAATTGTGATCTCAATGTCAATTTCTAATGAATTGACGCTTCGATTCGAGTGAAATTCGAATGCCATCTAGCGTTTCCTTCTTCTTTCTCTGATGATTTCAAATGTAAACATATCACAGAGAACAAATAATAGAAACCATGTGGAATTAACTTTATTTTGGATCATCATCAATGAAAAGAATTTCGGTATGCCACTAGCAATATCCATTTCTGCTGCGACTTGACAGTGGAATGCCTAATGTAAGATTGAATCATTTGGTTCACACATTAAAATATAAAACAGTAACATGTATAATTATACGTAGAGCACTTTCGTCCTCATTTAAGCAAAGCTGAGCTCACATTTTATACATAGTTGGCGATGAATAAAATGGAAGTGAATAAATTATGTGTTGCACGAATATAACTTAATTCATTCATTCATTATAGAAAAAGTATTGAGTGATATTATGAAGATTGTGTCTCATATATATAGGATATTTTACCGTTTATAATTATTTCTAATGCTAGAAATTCTGCAAACGAAATAATAAGTGTAGCGCAAAAGGATGAGGCTCAGCGAATTAGCAAGATGTTCTTTGACCACACAAATTTTGACAAAGATCCTTGTCAACGAAGAGAACATTGTTCTCTTCGAATTTTCAGCTCGATACCACTGACATTGAAAATAAAAAAAATTAAGTGCAATAAAATCAAATACAATAACGTAAAAAAAACTAACTAAATAAAGTAAAATAGAATAATCTAAAAATTAAAATAAAATAAAAAACTTTGAAGACAGTGTCTAAGTATTAGAGATGCACCAGTACCCAAGACAAACAATCCGCTACCTGGATCCAACCGGACTCGATCGGATTTCGATCGGTTCCTACAGGAGTCTTAGTAAATCCAGGTTGCGGACCCACTCACCGATCCCTAGTGTTGGAACTCGATCGATTCTTGCAGGAACTAGTGAAAACCCGATAGGTTTCTTGAAGACCTCATTGAATCCGACTTCTAAAATTCCTATCGAATTCGGTTGTTGGATTTGGTCGGATGTTCACCGGATTCCAACACTAGGGATCCGTTAGTAGTTCCTCAATCCGGAATCTCATGGCACTTCGTCGGCTCGTCGGGTTTTATAAGATCCTATCGGATTCGGTATCGGATTCATTCACCTGGCAAACAAGAAATACTGGTACTGGTGCATCCCTACTAAGTATATATTTTATATCCATATTTATATCTCAGAATAAAAGAGACGTAAAACGGTAAAAAACGTTCGCCTTAGAAGGTAGTCGTTTCCGGCAACACGGAAATTGCCACCTAAAAGGCCACTGCTTTTAGTCGTTTAAGGCCGTTTACGGATCGTTCTATACAACATAGGTCATCAATATATTAGTCAATAATATTGAGTATTACGATGCAATAGTGCCATATTTGCGATCATACTTTGACCTATATTTACAAAAAACTACGTCGCACTTTTCCGCAATTACGAGTCACAGTACGATCGTAGTTTGATCGTAATGAAATATATGGGATGGGTTAACTATCATATTAAAATAGATTCTATAGAACAAAAACAAATTATCCTTCAGATCATTATGTTGTAGGTTGTTCGACTTTGCAATGTGTAACCGATTGTTACATGTTGTTTGATAAATGAATGTAAACCATAAAATAACATTCAAACTAAAAATAAACAAAATTAACTATAAGAAAGACTTGTTTTTTGTTGTCATGTATTCGTTTTTCCATAATATAATTATAGACGATACTGAAAACAATTGAAAATTGCTACTGATGAATTTCGATAACCATTTGATGTTGCTGAACTGATTGATGAAATAGATCGAGTTCTTGTCGATGTTTTATTTAAATCATCAAGAATTTGTTCTTTTAAAACATTTAAATGTGAAAGATTTAAAAATAAAATTGTATTTACGACAGAAACAAGCTGGGTTCGCTGATTTTCATTCAGTAGAGCCAGTAAACACTAAAAAATAAAAGATAATAATGATGAAAAATAAATCATCAAATAAAACATTTACCTTAACAATAAATGAATTAGTTTATCGTCTTTCATTTTGTACAAGTGAAGAAGAACATAAAAGATCAATTAGTGGCATAGTCAATACGACAAGATTTTTTTTGTCATTCTTAGCAATGCTTGTGACCTCTACGCTTCATTGCTATGCCATCGATCAAAACCATCAACGAACACTAGCAAGAGGAATGTTTTTCTTACAAATAGAAATGAAATTAATTATATTCTCGACTGCTTACGTAGTAATGATTTTCAACGTTAGAAATCATTCCCCCCTTTTCTTCTTCTTACATTATTATATTATATATAATTTTTCCTTTCTAACGGGTGGGCCATAAAGAATGAGGGTCTCGATATTTCTTGGATATCTCGGTTAGTTTTCATTCGTTCTTTCTAATTTTTTTTTCGAACGAATCACCATTCAATTCTCTACAAAACTGGGTACTTTCTCTTGAATTGGATTAGATTAGTTTTATTTAATATTATGAAAAGTAAAGACCTTCAAAAACTCGTACTTTCAANAAAGCTCGTCCTGGGAATAAATGGATTAGTTTATCGTCTTTCATTTTGTACAAGTGAAGAAGAACATAAAAGATCAATTAGTGGTATAGTCAATACGACAAGATTTTTTTTGTCATTCTTAGCAATGCTTGTGACCTCTACGCTTCATTGCTATGCCATCGATCAAAACCATCAACGAACACTATAGCAAGAGGAATGTTTTTCTTACAAATAGAAATGAAATTAATTATATTCTCGACTGCTTACGTAGTAATAATTTTCAACGTTAGAAATCATTCCCCCCTTTTCTTCTTCTTACATTATTATATTATATATAATTTTTCCTTTCTATTTTAGATCCTACTGATATTTACTATTATCAATATAAAGTAAGTAATAGTTTTAGTTTTTGAAGTTTTTTTTCGCTGTCTCACCTTTTTATCCCATTTTTTTTATCTTTTTTTTATTATTTTAATTTTATATGATAATAATTTTTTTAATTTTCGTTTTAGATAAAAATAATTAATTTTTCTTTTTTGTTTTAGATATAAAAGAAGTAATTCTTTATATATATTTCTTGTGCGTCCTACAGAGAGAGAAGGCCTCCCATACATCGGCGGGAAGCTGGCCAAGACTATCTTGGTACCCGTAGACACGTACAGGCCTGCACGTAGATTCTATTCGTTTGTATGCTCTATACACCGTAGTTTCTATGTCTGTACGTGACGAACTTCGGCTCACTACGGCACCACCAAGGTTAGTTCTTGGTTGCGCGAGCAACTATTAACTGGTAAGCAAAAAACAATTTTCTTTCCAATCAATTCATTTTTTATTTCGTTTTAGCTCATCTCAATTCCATCAACAGCAAAGTAAGTATAATTGCTTTCATTCTTTTAGTTCAACTTCAAACGAAACAATTAAATCAAAACGGAAACAATTGTAAGCATGTAGATTTTTTACTTTTTTGTACCTTTAGTTTTTGTTAATTTTTGAAATAAATAATTTTTGAAATAAATAATTTTACAATAATTCAAATTGTTTCTTTCATTTAAATAATAAATACTTTAAAAACTGATATTTTTTTTGATTTTAATAATAAATATTTCGAAAAATAATACAACTCTTTTTCTTTTCATTTTCAATCAATAACAGAAGAAGAAAAGAAACAAACATGATGCAATCTTATATTTCAGCTGTTTTCTTTTCTTTGAAGCAAAAGAGAGTAAAAGAAAATTTCTTGTTTTTTGTTCATTTATTTCAAAGTATAGAAAAAGAAACGAACAAAGAGAAAACAATTCACAAGTCTTATTCGATAGAAAATCGTTGAACACGATCATTGCCCATATCGGCGACATAGAGATTACCATGTCGATCGAAAGACAAACCAACGGTATTTTTGAACTGATTTGCTTCTGCTCCTGGACCATTTCCACCCACAATTACAGTGCCTTGTTTCTTGTCTCCTTGAGTCCAACGCAGTACACGATGATTATCATAGTCTGCTACATAGAGTGTACCCAACGTATCAACGAAGATTCCTTGAGGAGAATACAGTTATGTCAAAGCACTCCCTTTGCCTTGGCCTCCAGCGACCACAATATCTTCTGTTGCATCTTTATTCCATTTCATTATACGATGATTGTTTATGTCTGACACGTAGACATTCTGTTGTCGATCTACAAAGAGAAATGCCGGCCCGTTAAGCTGATTGAGTTCATCACCTTCACCATTGCCACCAGCTACGAGAGTGCCATTCTTCTCACCCAATTGATATCGTCTTACTTCATCTTTTTGTGTGTCAGAAACGTAGAGATCAGAGACGTGCACAGGACGAGATCTTTCGCCCTGCCCTGCCCTGTCCTGGTAAGTTTCTTGTCCTGGCGGGCGGCAGTACAGGACCAAAATAAAAATTGCGTCCTGCCCTGCAGGACAGGACAGAGCACCAGGACGACAGGATATCCTGTCCTGTGGTTATCTCCGATTGTGATCGAAAATCTCTGAGTCGTCAATGATAATAGATATTTAGTAGCGTTTTTCTTCAAGGAATACTTGAATTAATATTGTGACCCATTCGCATAGAAACAACGGTCGCTCACAATACAGCTCGAGTAACAGAAATTAGCACGCGAAAAATGCAGCTTCTTTAAAAAACCAATATGAATAACAATAGAACAAGAGGGTAGCATACCGTCGCCAGTTGTTATTTTCGCCAATTGGCGAAACAAAAACTTTATTGTTGAACATCACACTAGAGATTCTCCAATTTGAATCAATTGAGTTATAACTAGAGCTGCCGTTAGGCCAACCTGTCAGGCCATTGTAAAATAAGATATTCAAATCTTAATTAATCTGTTTGCATGATAATGAGTTAGAGTAAGAGACAAGGTCAGATCAGCATTATTGATCCAATTAATCGTTTCTTTATGTGAAGAATCTTTGTATCTATTATCACATTTCTCTAAAAACCCATGTTAACAAATATATTTCTCACACAAAGAAAGGATGGACTGGGTCAATAATGCTACTTTGAGTTAGTCTCATACTCTACTTCACTATAAATTATAGAGAACAATTCAGATTTGAATTTCATATTTTCCGGTGGTCTGGGACGCCGATCCGGTGGCAGCTCTGGTTGTAACTCAACCACAGTACTTAATATTGTGAACAGTCAAAGTGCATTGGCTCAAATGTATATAAGTACAACAATAAAAAAACATAATGCTTCAATATTCTATCATTAATTTAGTTGATTCATAATCGTAAGGATTACAATTGGCGAATTTTATCCTAGAAATTCACCAAATTGCCGATCTTCCAGAAGCTTGATTAAGAAAACTGCAGGACAACAGGACAAGCTTTTTCGTCCTGTCCTGACCTGTCCTGTCAGCTATCTTGTCCTGGCGGGCGGCAGGACAGGGCAAAAATCAAAATTGCGCCCTGTCCTGTCGGACAGGGCAGGGCAGGACAGGACACCAGGACATCAGGACGTCCTGTCCTGTGCACGTCTCTGGTAGAGATATCTCTGCTTGTCAATAGTAAATCCATTACAATAGATGTTGTCGATGAGTATTTCTCCTTGTATTGTACCACTACGACGAGACCATCTTACAACTCGTCCGTCTTCACAAACAATGAGACTATCCGTCTCTTTGTCAATTAATACATCAGTTGGACGATCAAATTGATGCAATCCATTTCCGTTGCTTCTGCCACCAACAACAACTTCTCCATTCGTTGTATCACCGTTCTTCCATTGCATGATACGATGATTATAGTAGTCAGCAATAATCACTGTTTGATCATAATCAACGAAGAGACCATAAGGCCAGTGGAGTTGATTAGTGGCATCGCCTCTCCCGTTACCTCCAGCAACAGTCACGCCGTTCTGTGCCCATTTAGCATTAGCAGGAATATTAACTAGAAGAGAAAACGTAAGAATAAAAGGAGATATCTCTCTCTTTCTATCGCTGAAGTGATAGTATTATTAGAAAAGAGCTACTCTTTCTCTTTCTCTCGGGTACCGCTAGTATATGAAATAATTTCGAAAGTATCGAGCAAAATTCTTTGAATAAATCATATTTTTAGAAATTCCTCAGAATACGTTTTTTCTATATTGAAAGATTATTCTATAGAAATGAAATTCTCTTCTATGATGGTGATAAGTCTATATGTAAGAAGAAAACTCGATCAAAATGCATGAAAAATTTATATTAAAAGAATTCTTCGACAGAATTACACTATAGTAATTGTGTGATCAATCACGCATATAGAATATCGCTCTCTGTCAAGCGTATTTAAATTCTATACTTTGTAGAAAATCAAACTAAAATAATTACGTAGGAACATATATTGCATTATTGTCTTGTTAACATAAGCAGATATTAAAAAGGGTGCAATTTTCTCGAGGTCCTCAGCAACGATTGGATATCTATTTTCAACTTCTCAAGAAAGTTAGTTTACATCTATCGTCATTCATCAGAGTTTCATGTGATGAACTATATTTTTTTCTTTTGTGAAAATTATTCAGCTAAATTATATAAGAGTGATGTTTGTAGAACGTGGGTGTGGGTATTGATGTTCTGGACACCCACACCCCACACGTTATTGGAAATTTCCCATTGATACAATCATTCATATTTGATCAAGATGTGGATATAACACAATTATAGAAAGCTCAAATAAGACATGTACTTTTAAGTTTGTTTCATGAAGAACTAAAATCGATAGGTAATTTTGCATAAATTTTCGAAAAGAAAGAATTAGTAATTAAAAGATCTAACTGAATTTTTTGGGAAGTTCATTCGCAAATCTATGCTGAGAAACTGTATTTGAAATAATGGTTTAATTTGTTGCTGATAATCTATAACTATAGTATGAACTGATAGGTATAAATACTGTTTTGTTTTTCAACGCTTCTCAAGTTATTTCTGAGGAATCTCACATAAAGAAAAGGAATTTTTTGTCTCATGTTAGAAATGTGGATAACATTAGTTGTCACAGAATGATTATTATATAGGCTAATTTAAATAGAAATTTTTACTTTAATACTACTTGATTCGACCGATTTACTGAATGATACAAGTCTTGGGTAAAGCTATGAAAAATCATTTTGAAGAATAATATAAAAATACGAATTTTTTTAAACAAAAAGAGTGCAATCAAGTAAAACTACTTTGATTTAATCATTTAGATAGACTGAAAGAATTAGTATTGAGTCTTTGTTTAATTGAACTAACGAAGCAAAAACTTAAGCAAAGTTAAATAGATACAATTGACTCAGTTTTAAATCGCACTGCTAGAATTTTAACTACATGAAAATGAAAAACAAATGAAATTTCTGTGTCTGATATGGCGGTTTTAGAAAAGAGCTACTCTCGAGAAATCTTTACTAATAACTTAGTAGGTATATAGGGAAAGTTCTACTGAAAGATTCTTATTAAATAAACGGTATAGAGAAACGATAGAAAAACTGTAAGGATTCTGCTCGAGCGATTCTATAGAATGATTTCTGAATTGAAGGAGAAAAACAAAACAATTGTATCAAATTCAAAATATTTAGAGGTGTGGCATTATTATCCTTACGAAGTTACAGTCCGTTGAATAGTTACAACGTTATGGAGGTCCATTGATATATGTTGATACAGTGTTGTTTAGAAAAACAAAATTGGAACATGTTATTATGTAGGGTTTAATGCACTTGTAGCAAGTATAATATATGAGATATCATAATTTAATATTTTATCCTGTCACTTAGAGAGAGAAAAAGACAAACATATTTCTTTCATTCACACAAATACGAAATACGATATATATCTCGAAAAAAAAGGTGAAATCTCAAGATCGCCCTACGTTGACAACATAATAAAGTCATAACAAGGGTTAGAAGTTCATCTTTCTGGTTGCCGTGAAAATTCATCACTAACGTAAGAGAACTTTATCCATGCGTATCTATATGTACGAAGAAGTTTGCTTAACTTCTTATTGATAATCAGCTAGCTCCACAGCTAGTGAAAAATAATCAACTGATAGATATTTTTCACTACTGTTCTCAAGATACTTATCTTGAACAATAACTGCATGATAAAGTAATTTGTTTTGTCGGACGGTGATTTGAAATCAATCTTTTTCAAATATCGTTCCATAAAAACAATCATTTCTTTGTTATTGTCATATTTTAACTTTTAATTTCTATTACATCTATAGATACACTAAGAGAGGTTTCATGCATTAGGTATGTATTTGCTTAAATCGTCTAAGAATGACCATTTTATCATATACATGCTAGTACGGGTCTACTCATTGGCAGTTCATTCATTCACATTCAGGTTTTGTTTCACATATCAACTTCCCACGTCAGAAAATAAGACTCAAATGATAAGAAGATTTTCAAAGTCTTTTAGACACATTCTACTTTTTAAATTACCGATAGATCTTTGAGTTTGAAACTGAAACATTTCAAAGTCATTTTTACCTGCTTATTCGATTGAAAAGAAAGTCTTGTATGTGTTCTTATTATTTGAAGATAGAATGCCACTTAAATGGAATGTTCCGTGAATGCAACAAAACGTGTGCAAAAACTTTCTTCACCTATTTGTTTGATTTCAGATTACAAGAAAAATCAACTCAATATGAGAAAACAGCTGATTTTTTTGTCAATTAAACACAAGAAGAGAATGAAGAATAATTTACATCTTTTTTTGCAATGAATATGTTATCTGTCAAGCTTGTGCAATCCTGATATCTCTATCTACCACACCTTAATCTACAGGTGATTAGTATACAGTCTCTTTCAGCATCATAATGATGTTACCGTGAGAAAACATTCATGAGGCTAAAGCATGAAGTTCCACACGTGAAAGCAAGTTATTAAACTGTTCGGACGCATATAGATTGAACGTATCACTTGGGTAACTACATATTCGCTCGAGGAAACTTCTCAGAAAAAAGAAACGAAATGTGCCCTCTTTGCATTAATGTCAATTTGAGTTGAATTATTGCTGTTCGCTGGAATTTTGAAAATGAGTTACCTGAGAATTTGAACTCATGGGAGTGATTTTACTTTATATTTTCTTTATTTTCATGTAGAATGGTGCTTGAGAAAAATCACACTTAGCTGATTATACTATTGATTATAAAATCTAGCGATTTAGTTTCACCTACCTTCTATACTTGATTTAGTGGTGCTTGTTGTTGTAGAGGTGCTCGTTGTAGTAAGTGGTGTTGTGACGTACGGAGATAAAATTGCCTTTTCTGGACCGTAGACTATAACTTTAAATGCTCCAGTTTGTTCAGCGTTGTATGTGGTAACAACGAGAATCATAGACTCAGCTGTTGTCAAATTTGCTATCAGCTTACAATTCCTTTTTGAACCGCTGTCATCATCTGTCGCTATTAATTTCGAATTTGGATTGTTTGAAAGGAATGATTCATTATGGAGACATCCGTAAGTATCGATACCACTTTCGCATACAATCGTATAAATGCCGCTGCTTGAAGTCTTTAATTTAATCGCCAAGAAGTTGAAACCGGATTCTCCTTGTTTTGGGCGTATAAACGAAGAGCTTTTCTCGGTCAAGGCGCCTGAATAGCTTGACTGGATACCAGACGTAGTCGCTGCACAATGAAAAACATACTGATCGATCATTCCGTTATTAACCTTTGGTAATAATATTTAGCAAATGTACTGATTATTTTGATACACAACAGAACGGTATTTTTGTGTCATTCGGTTCAAAATAGATAAGTTTAGCAATTTGTTTAAGGCTTTTTCAATTTTAACTCGTTCTCATACTAATTACTTATAGACTTCAACAATGACAGCAAGAAAAAAATCGCATTTCGAATGAAGAAACATACACTCATTGTCATGTATTTCAAATTCATGGGTTACAATGGAAATATCGAAACAGATCACATCAAATTAATTGAGGTATAATTCGAAATGATGAAATTGGATTCATGAAAATCTATGGTTTAATCAATGAATTTGAAATGTATCAACAGTAGTCTTTCCTTCATTATTTCAATGAATCGTTATCTACTGTCTAAATACTCGGCTAACTTTCAAATATAAGATACGAAACGAAACTTTATATTTGGAGAAGACAACTTGTTGTAAAGAATAGAAATTCTTCTCTACAACATCAGGCTGCTATCCTTTGAGGGATGTGTTCTGTGTGACTGTTTTAGAACCTTACATGGTGAAAAGTAACTTCAATAAACCATATTTTCCTGTTATTTTCTCTGGTTTTGTAATTCATAGTTTTCAAGAGTTGCCACATTTGAAAAGAAAAGCATATTAAGAATGAGGCACGTATCTTTTGAACGAGAAAATCTTGCCCTCAAAACACATTGGTTTTTTACCAAATCTAATGCAGTTTTTCACCTTTAGTCCTTTGAAATGTAATGAGCGTTGTGATTGTTTAAAATTGAAAATATCTGGAAGTCTTATCAAAGTTCTGCATTTTGAATTAATATGCAGATAAATTTGTTCAATTTTGAATGCTCTTTCTCGTCAAATAATTGAACTAGAAAAACAAAGCTACATCTCATTATTCTGTTAAGAATTATCGAAAAGATTGCTTGATGCCAAACTGTAGTCTCTAAAACTTTACTTAACGACAAAACCTTTTTGGTTAACATTAGCACGTTCACCTTGGTCTATAATTGAATGTTCACTTGAGCAATTAGGTGGAGGGTCCAATAGCATCGCAAAAAAAGAAGATGCTCGCTTAATATCTATAGCTATTTTCGTAGTTTTCGTTATGTTTCATGTATTTCTTTTCATAAATATGCTTTAAAAATTAGCAGCCTACCGTAAAAAAAACTCATAAATCATTCAAACCGGCACTTAGTTTCACTTACCTGTGACTGCAATTGGCGTTGTAATAGTTGGTCTAATGACTTTTTTCGTAGTTCTTCTAATAGCTCTTTTTGTGCTTTTTTTAGTAGCTAGTTTGGTGGTTACTGTAGTCGCTGTTGTAATTATGGGTGTTGTAGTAGTTGTTGCAGTAGTTTCTACGCTGGTTGCTTCATTAGTGTTCGTTACGATATTTAATGTGGAAATATATGGTGTTAAGCTTAATTGTGCGGGACCGTGAATTGAAATATTGAATTCTCCTATGTCGTCCGTATGGTATGTTGTAACAACGAGAATCATGGATTGATTCACCGTAAAAGTCGCTGTGATCTGAAAATTGCCTTGAGAGCCACCGTCATCTTCAGCTACTACTAGATTCGATTGTGAACTGCTTGGAATGAATGGCAACGTATATAGGTATCCGTAAGTGTCCATACGACTATCGCACACAAATGTGTAAGAGGCGCTAGCTGATGCCGTTATCTGAACCGCCATGAAATAGTAAGCCATTCCACCGCCACCGGGTCGCGAAAACTTGGGACTATTCCTGGATAAGACGTTTTTATAGCTGAGCTGCTTATCGGAGACAGGTGCTGAAAAAAAGAAGAGAAAACATTTCTGTGATTAGATTCACATTTTTTTTGAATGAATACGATACCATTAGGTTTGTGAAACAGCACTCCCTCGCCTGAAACATACTCATATGATGATCTAGGAGCTATGCATCTTTTCAGAATGATCGTTGATTTTTCGGGACGGAGTTTACATAATGAATTCTAAGAACTTTCTAAAGTCAATGCTAATTATCAAAGCATTTACTCAGATCTATTCTCAAAGAAAATTCAGAATGTGAGTGGGTGTAGAGAAGATTGAGATCGACGCCAATGCACCTACATCATTGAAAAGAATATTGAAAGCTGAATGAAGCAATGTTTTTTGTTTTGTTTTAGAAAAAAAGTCTTTCTAATAGAATCTTTTATACGGTAGCACTCAATTTTTAGTAACGCTGCATGCGTATTACCAGGAAAATTCAACTTTTACAAGAAACTTGAGATTCTGTAAATTTGTGCAGTCTTTGCTATCGTGGAAGCAGTTCACTAGTGAAAATATAGAACACTTTTTTCTAACTGAATTAAGCAGTGATTTTCAAGAATTATTATATGTCGTCACTCAATTGTGTTCCAAGCATAAAGTCTCATAAATGACGCCTTGTAGAAAAGTTCGTAAGAGCCACCACGTTTCATTTTAGAGCTCAAGCTTTCTTAATGATGTATACAGTATTACTTGTAACATAATGATTGCTTATAAAACTTCGAACTCGAGTTGTTTTACTCAATTTTCAACACTTTTGCTAATGATGTATTTAGAAGCAGTATATTATGTGGGATCATCTCTTTCGATTTGTGATCAATGATCATAAAACCTACGTACACTTAATTTATTATACACAGTTGGTTTTTAAGCGAAAATCTAGTCAGGTATGTCTTATAGCAGCAAGATTTGCCGAATAACAAAATTATCCTAAATATTTATCTTCTCAAGAAAAGTTGAATTTACTCAAATAATCTTCAACTGCTGTCAACCAATTCAGTCGAGAATAGAAACTCAATTCAGACTAGAACCCAAGCTATACATGCTAATCAAAAGCTTTCTCACACTTGCCTTGCTTTTGAAAGCAATAATCTTGATCTGCATTTTGTCTCATTGTAATTAGCATTTGTATGTCAAGAAAAACAATTTTCCTGTAATTTTTACTAGAAATTCATAAAGTTCTCATCTAACCTAGTTTTATTTCTCACCTGCATTACGGCGGATACGATGATACAATCGTTGTACTTCATCATCTTCAATGCTTGAGTTGCGGAACCGATTGTTTGCATGTCCGTCACGAATAAAGACGTCTTAATAGAATTAAATGGATTCCAAATATCACAGCGATAGTTTTATACAATGATTATGAAAATTCAAAGGGATCAAAATTGATTTTTAAACGAAATTTGATATTTTCTTAGCAACCTTGACTTCTTTTAAGTAACAAATCAAATTTTCTTTGTATTCACCTTGTACTATTTCATTGATCTATATTTTAGAAATGACTGATACAAACGCTTATTTTTTTCATCACATCTAACTCGAGAATACAGACCAGTTGAAAATCACCGTCTGTGCAATCATATGGAGTTCAAATTTACCCCTTAACAACTGTAATACTTTTGATTTAAAGAAATATGCGATAGTCATCTGATGATTTCTCAATATAATTCTGTTTAGCATTAATCTTCATAATATTTCTTTATTTTGATGTTCTCATTTTCCTCTACTCTCTGACTCTCATCTAAATATTTAATTTTTAAATGTTTATTACGTCATTCGGAGAAAATCTTTTCCATAGTTCGAATTTAATATTTCGTCTATGATTAATCCTAGAGTTACACAAATTTAAGATAGTATTCACTCTCTTACAAGAAACTACGCGCTAAATGTTGGACATTTTTTGATTTTCTATAATGTAAGAAAAAACATTTTTTCAATGAGATATCAAAACGTTTGTTTCCTTCTTTAATTATAAATACTGTAGCTTACCATAGGCATCGATGTTTCGGCTATTCACTCGGCTTAAGAAGGATAATACCAGCAGTGGTAAAACAGAATAAAACATGTTTCGTCGGCGTATCAGTATTTATCAGAAATGGTTATATTAAATAATTGATGCAAGTTTCTGCATCACATGTAATGCTTTATACATATCATCTCCATACACAGTTTAAGTATACCTTTTGTGTCAACAATGTTTTCTTATTTTCTGTCATCGCCAACAAGATATGTCAAAACGCAAATTATATGAAACGGATTAATTAGTATAGACTTTCCAATGCAGATATCATGGTTACGCTGTTATTGGGAATTTCATAATATTTTCCCTATTGACTGGTTATATGTGTCATTTGACTTATATACAATGTCAACGCCTTTTAGATCAGATAGCAGAAATCGTTATTAGCATTAGTAGTGTGGAAAAATCTTTCATTCTATTTCTTACATACAATATATACATAGTATAAATGCTATATACAATAGTTATTTAAACATTTGTAACTTTCGTTTTAAGGGACTTTCATCCGATCTCGTTATTCGATGATGAATTTTCCTTACAATTCTTCGGGTAAAAATATTGATACTTTTTTTTACCAGTATCAACGTATTGTTCATTTTTTATTTGTGAACTTCTAGGTCGCAACATAAGTATTTTGCTTCTTGTGTCAAGCATTGCTTTCAGATGATTGTAGGAGATGGAATCAAAAAATTAGAAGAATAATATGCAAATTTCATTCGCTGGTATTGTATTTCTTATTCTTTTACTTAAATAATTCTTGTTCAACTCTCGTACTCTGAAATCTACTGAAACAAAAGTAACCTAAAATATTATTTTTCAATGTTAAATAAAATATCCATTTGGCGAGCGACGAACTTCATTCTTAAAATATTATTGTATATAGAATCAAATAAAGCGAGTTTTTCCCTTCTAAACTTGTATCAATTGTTATAGTCGCTATGGAAACAATATGTGGAAGTTTATGATTATGCAGCCTATTTCATTAATTTTTATGTACTATTTGAAACATAATGTGTTATAATCGATTATAATGTAATTATAGGATTATCGATTACGTAGGAAGAAGTATATAAACTTAAAGGAAATAATAATTCGCCATGATGTCTTTTTTCAATTTTAATTTTCAAGGATCATAGTTTCTCCAGCTACAGTCATCTTATAAAAATACTCGAATAAATGTAATATATCATCGTACCAATACATGGCAGAACCACGAAAATCAGCTCAATGCAATTGAATTCATGTAGCTAGTTGAATTGGATTGAATTAAATTGACTCCTATTTTACGCTGAGTTACCCAGATCTGATGTATGATAGAAAAAGTCGCCGATTATATTGCTTCAATATGTCAATTCACATTATATTTAATATAGCATTTTGAAGGTTCATTTTCATCCGTATATTTTTCGTAATATGTTCTAAAACTTTATTTTTACGATCGGCAGTTTTTCAAAAAGATTATAAAAAATTATATTAATAAGTGGAATTATTTTTTCTTAAGGATGTTTATTTTTTTTTTGAGAGGCAATTGAAACTCCAGAATATCAATACTTTGTCATAGGATGTGATCGTAGCCCTTTACCTGGTCAATAATATTGTACTAATCATGTGGAAATGAATCATTCAAGCCAAATTAATCTGATAGAAGAAGAAGATGAAGACTATATTACTCCGTAATGGTGTGGATGAAGGGTATATGTGTATCAGGCCTCGAAACGAGCCATCCGGCCCGCCATTTGGGAATTTTGAGTTGGGCCGGCCGGGCTTAAAATTTTGTCGCGCCGCCCGACCCAAACTTAATTAATTTTTTCAATGGATATTTTTCAAACAAGAGTGTCGAAAATATCTAGTTTTCTTTCATTTTTCTTTCAGTAAAATATTCATTGAAATTCTTTCAATTGAATGCAATATAAATCTGTTTTTTCAACTCTAAAAGTATGGTTTAATTAGTTTGTCTTTTGTAATTATTTTAAAAAAAAAGGAGATTAAATCAACAGAATTATATTATTGCATAAAAAGGAACTAAAGTCAATCTGAATCTATTTTTAAAACTGAAAGACAGGAATGTAACCAGAAATAAATAACATCATCTTAGTCAATTTCCTTAAGAAGATAATTGATTTTATTCGCATTTTCTGTAGTGTCCTTTATTAATTTTGCATTTCGGAATTGTTAATAGTCAAGAATTTTTATTATGCAAATCTTTTGAAAAATTGATGGAGTCAACAAATAGAATCAGAGTATTTAATCGGTTCAAACAGATTTCGCATATATATATATATATGCATACGTGTACGTATATGCAAGCTCGAAGATACTATCAAACTCATTAAACATCATCGTCTTTGCTGAAGTGGAACAGTTTACTTTGACTAAAATAAATATTGACAGATCTCACTTTTTGACATTGAACAACTAACTTTTTTTGTTAATAAATGTTAACCTTGGAGAACTTCGATTATTCACTAATATATCCTAGCCTTTTAATTCAAAATACAAATTAATCTGATTCTCATGCTCTTTTTTAAAAGAATGAAATTGTCCGACATGATTCAAATTCTGTTTAAAATGAGAAGAAGTTATTTAGAAAAAATCTAATACGAACATCGGGATTAGTTTATTTAAATAAATAATCACTGTACATCTAATATTGCACATCATAGTTTACAATACTGAAAACGACAAAATTCGATAAATAAAAACATATTCAAGAATTAAAAAAGAAAAAGAATCTGTAGGAATCATTTATTGGGCTTGATTAATAACTTCGGGATCTTCCATCCATTGTTTTAGTTCTTGACGTATGTCACTGTTGACGCCTTGCTGATCTATATGTTGACAGATTGATCGAAGTCGTTGCAGTTCTTCATGTAATTTTACAATGGCCTTTTCGCGGTCAACAACTAATTCTTCTAGATATTCATATCGAAGTTTTTTTCGACGACGACATTGTCGAGCACTTTCCCGACTTTTCTCTAATTGTGTATCCGAATCAATTTTCATTGGTTTACGACCTCGTTTGCCCATGTTATTTTCAATGAATAGAAATCTACAATAAATAAAAAGGCACGATAAATATTTTTACTTAAAAATTGTTTGTTTAAAAAAGAAAGAACCAATTCAACAAATTTATGTTCGAATTTGAAAACGACCATTTTTCACTGTTGTTATATATTTAACTCCTTTAAATGGTTTATAATCCTCTCCGTGCATTTCAACGCGTTGTAATCGTAAGCCCGACATAGTTATTTGATTGATTTTAAAATTAACAGTTAATATTGGATTCGACTCAGGCAACGGTTGTTCAGCTGCTAGCACAATATTACCACGAAGCGTTGGTAAAGGTGCTGCAGTTTGTGGCTTAGATTCAATTTTGCCCACATTCCAAACAAGAGTTTTCTTGACAGGATCAAATGTATATTTGCCGTGAGATGGTGTCAGTGCACAATTGAGTACACACTTTGGCATGACACATTCAATAGTAACATTTTCAATCTAAGAGAAAAAAAAGAGTCGTCAAATCCATAATATCAAGAAATCGATACAAACTGTTTTGTCTATTTGTTGTTTTCGTCCTACAGTTAGATCAAGTCTTCCTAGACCACCTTCACGAAAGTATATACTGTGTTTGACAAAAATCGGCATCGATATGGGACTGAAATGAAAGAAAAGTGATTCTTGGAATTATTCAAAACTGATAAGTTTTATTTTCCGATAAGACACGTCTAAGCTTCGTTATCAATTACTGATGATGGCTATGTTATATTCTCATGCACGATGGTTAGTTTAGAGAGCATTATGTCGATTAAACAGACTTTCCATAAACTTACTTCTGTGTTGCAACTCGATAAGAAATTAATCGAAAACGTCCATCAGGTGGAACAAATGAAAGAACATGCTCACTCTGAATCATAAATTTATCTATTCTCGAACGAAATTATTCTTAGCAATTCGACTCTTACTTCCCATTTTTTCACTCGTACACATGGATGAAAACTAACATCATCCAATAATCTAGGATTTATAAAAAATATTGTTAAATCCGGCATACCAGTTAATTTGATGTGACAATCAATCTAAATTAAACTCAATCATAACAGCAAAACATATGTCTCAGTAAAAGTTTTTCTATCATATAATCATATTTTTCTTGCATCTCTACAGATTATGAATCTTTTGTCTACTCACAGATCCTTGAATTTCAGACATAACTATTGCACCATGTTGATCAATGATAGCATCGACTTCTTCAATAATATCAAAAAAAGCTTCATTATTTCTATAGGTAACACCCAATGGGCGCCATGGAATGTGTGATAGTTTCTTATTCGTAAAAGTGTTGTCGTAACTAATAATAAAAAACGAAGAAATTCATTTATTTACTCGCAACAGATCCATTTTTATTTACTTTGTACTATCTCCAGTTACAAGATTCGTCACTTTACGTAGTAAATTCGGTGGTTTAATAAGTTCTTTAAGAATATTTGTTTCGGTAGCTAACGGTAAACCAGAATCAAGCATTTCGTCTAGTAGCTAATTTGAATAACAAGAAAAATATTTTTATTCTGCAAGTAACAGAGTTCGTTTTACTTCGTAAACAACAACATAATTATCTTTAATTGATGTTTCTGTACATGTACCAAAATAATCCTCAAATAAATCCATCATACGATGAAGAAACTCAATGACAAAAAGTGGCGGAACTAAAATTAAGATGATCATTTATTCGAACTAGAAATCAGCGTATCAGCGTATCGAGTAATTTCTTAACGAGTCTCTAATTCATAAATTTCAAGCTCTTTCAAGAAAATCTCATTCCGCTGTCTTTTTGTGCTCGTAAGAGTGAATATTTACTTTCTTGACTAATTACAGCAACAAAATAAAGATGATTTCGATAGATATTTATCAAATAATGATGAGGTGTACAAATAATAGGTGGAATATCTTCCGGATTCGCACACTAAATTTAAAAAATATAATCACAATTAATCGATAAAATAAGGTAGTCAACCTTTTTTTGCGCTTCATAGAAATAATCACAGATGGATTTATTTAAAACTGCTTTCCAATGTTTTTCCATAAATGTATCTCTAAAATAGAATGACAAAAAAGTGTAACCATAAATTTACGATACTATCTTCTGTAACAGTAAGCATTTCAATATTTACCCCGATTCACTAATCATAAATAAACTATTTATCATGCTTTCTTCGTCGCCTGTAAAAATTTCAATCTGTAAAGCAAACAAGAATAGACACAAAAGTATACCAACGCAAAATCTATCAGTCACATCAGCATTCCTGAGAGTAATATTTTCTTCTATATAATCTACTAATTAAATGAATGAGACAAAAAAAAAACGCCATGTACAAATATCTACACACGAATAGAAAAAATATCATTAAACAACGTGCGTGTATCTAACAGCAAATAAATGAAAAAAAAACAAACAAACATATGATGTTTTGCATTTTCATTCGATGCGAATGAACAAAAATATATGATCAAGACAAAAAAAAACATGTCTATCAAAATACTTGGCTTTACAAGAATTAATCCAATGCCATAGCTGAACGCGAATCGACATTATTCACGATTGTATCCATGGAATCGGCAACATCCAAATCAATAAATGGTTCAGCATTTTTATTCGTATTCTTTACGAGTGATTCTTCGAAATCATATAAATCCGGAAGAAAATTATCATCGTTTTCATCCATGCACATCGAAGTGGATGATGACGTTGAACAATCACTACGTTGAGACGATGAGATTGAATCGTCATCATTAGCACCAGTACTTTCTTTTGTTCTAAAAATAAACAGAAGTATGTCATCACAGAAATTATATCGAGTCCTGATAATATATTTTGTAAATGACTTACTTATCACCACTAAATTCATGAAGTTTTCGACGCCATGCTTTAACAGCACCATCGAAACCACGTCGAGACATTTTCGCATATTTACATGGTGTGCGTGGATGTTGTCTCGTACGACATTTTCTTTAATATCAAAAATAAAAATCAATTTTTAGAACAAAAGCATTCCCGATTATTTACCGAGCTACCAGCGATAGATAAGTTTCATATGCCTTCGATAGCTTGCCTTTACTAATTTCCTTTTGTCGACGTAGAAGTTCTGTGAAAACAAAAAAAATAAATTTCCAGAAAAAAAAATTAAAGATCGAACCTTTTGGACAACATTCAATAGAAGTAAGAAGATCTTCGGTAGTTTTATTTTCATGAATAGGAAATTGTTTAAGATACAAAACAAAGCTAAAAAGAAAGGCTCAATTCATTTTAAATTTTCTTTATTGAAATTACCTATGTAATTTCTTTTCTTCGGCTTCTTCATTGTCCATTTTATCACACCAATCTTTTGATAGAGTTTTTTTCAATTCTTCTTGTTCTTCTTCAAAGCTATTTAAAAAAAATTTTAATTAATCATTAAATACATCAAAAGATGTGACCTTAATCGTCATTGACCTCTAATTATTTTTTACACCTGTTGTTCCCTCGGGGAACAAAACAAAATTAACATTTTACTTCATTATAAATTTTAGTCTATATATCATTTTCTTTCGTGCATATCCGAACTATGACTCTACGGAAATATTTTTCTTGTATGTCCTTGACAGCGAACAACATACTCAGAACATCCATGAGACCACTTAATTTTTTTCCCTACAAATAAAAATATGTTATTGACGAAACCATAAGAACTTCGATTTCTGAAGACTGCAAAAATCATTATTTAAATTGATCGCGACCGCAACAGTTGCCTCTTGTTTACCAAAGGAAAAATTTAGAAATCTTAAAAATTGATGTGTACTCTTGATCCAAAGCGATTTTTCATAGAACAGTGCGAGTAAACATTTTCTGACAAGTGTAGAAAAATTGAATTATGATACGATAAAATTAAGGTGAAAATACTTTTCTGTCTGTATGCTAGGTTAATGTACCTCTCCTATCTGTAGAAAGCAAGTCTCTCTTCTTACCTGGGTTTTGGTGTTCGAGGTGTTTTTTCAGTATTTAAATCATCATTTTTAACATGAAGTTTAGTAGTTGGTTTCGATGGAGTATGGTATCGTGTATTATGATTTTCCTCATGATATTGATCATTTGCATTTTCATCAAAATGCGGTTCGAATTTACCTTTCCGATATAAACTTAATAGAAAATAATATTGATTCATTATCGACCGAGAAAAAAAACATTTCTTATTTTACTTCTCATCATTCCGATTTCGTTTTGAACGAAATCGTGCAGGACTTGGCGTTCCACTATCACTTGATTCATAGGCACGAGCTGTTTTTGGTGTATGACGTAAACGACTAAATTTTGCATAAATTTTTTTTTATTTCTTAGTTAAAATGAATTTTACTTTGGAGTATTATGTGTCGACATAGTTAAATAGTGATGTGTATCTAAATGATTCAAAATAGATGGTAAATGAATGATAACCGTCCGGGCTGATATCGTAAAAAAAAAGACAAAGACGTTCTTTTTTTATTTGATTGATGTGAATATGCACCAATACAATTTCATCAAGACAAGTTATGAAGGCGCTACAGTCAATGAATTATATCAAATCGATAGTCACACTATTTAATTGACCTTCTGTTCTTGCCTTATTGATTATTAATGTTTATTTTTTAAGGAAAAGAAAAAGATTGTGTTTTGATATATTTATATTATGATTTAATCAAGTGATTTGTTTATGGTTATTGCATTTATTTAGTGTAAGTATTGATAATAGCTTTTTCTCTCTGTTATTGTTCTTACTATGGTTATAATTGGATGTGAAGCGAACACAAAACCGAATACTAGTTTTTGTGTTTTGCTTCTTCTTCGCTGATTGTCTATTATTCTTTTTTTTGTCATAAAGAGATAAATGATCATCATCATCGTTGACGACTACTACAGGGTTTTTTTCTCATTTGCTTTTATAATGATGCACCCATCTGTTATATCTAGCTTGTCAACAACAGTAATGTAGTTGTATCTGCTATTTTTTCTATGTACATATTGATAGTTAGTGAGGCAGTCTCAAAAGAGATTATGTGTATTCTCGCAGCACGATTATCAGTATATTTATTCATATACGTTCTAAATGAGTATTTTGTTGTTCAAACAAATGTCCGAGTGTTGCTTTGTCGCGTCGCTCGTCGTCTTTATCTGTTTGTTTTCGGTTTTCTTCTTTATTGTCACATTGTATTTTTCTGATGATCGTTTGATTTTAATGATGGCGACAAAATACATGACAATGCATTTAATCATATAGTTTTACTTTTTACTAGTTTGCATCGTTAACATAGAAGCACGGTGTCCATGATGTAATGCAACATTATTTCTACTCCAGATAATGTCTGTCTTGTTCAATCAGTCGAACATGCACATAAAACGTCCTTCGATAGTAGTTAGAGTTATTGACAGACACTTTAAAGAATCCATCCGTCTTACGATTATTATCAACGTACACGTACTCTTATTGTCATTCACTTAGTTAACATATTGGTCACCTGACATTGTGAGGTAATAGAAGAGAAGGTGCTTTTTCAAGGACTTCGCTTCTTTCTCTTTTTTTCCTATGAACACCCCCTGAGAGAAGTAGAAGCATAAAAAAAATTTTTTTTTATCCATTATATGTGCGACGCATAAGTATCCGAAGGTAAAGTATAGAAAGAGAAAGGGAAAAATGAACGACAATGAATAATGCAGGCAAATGTACTGACACTGTCGATTTTTTTTACATGTCTTTCATTCAGTAACTTGTCTCGTCAAATCTTTCTTTCTTTTTTTGTGTTGTATAAGTATCATCATTGATTCGATTACAAACCTCATGTTTATATGTTGTTTTTTTTCATTATTATCCAATAGTAACATAAGATGTTTCTTTTCTTTTTCTGCTTTCGTTTGCTCTCTATGTATATAAAAACGAAAGTATTTAAAAATAGAGTATAGATTGATGGTATCATGTTCTCGCGTTCTCTTTTTTTTTTGGTGTTTGTTCTTCAATAGAGACATATGTTAATGTATAATATTTATTATAGATCGAATGCCGTCGGCATTACTGTCAATATGCAACAAGATAATACTAGTAGCATTAGTAAGCGTGTTTATTTGATTTATATATATAAATATGTATATATATTGTTTTCTTTTTTGTGTAATTACATTTAGATGGTAGTAACGAGATTATAATTGCGAAATTTAATTACAATGCACAAGAAAATCACGAATTATCCATAGTTAAAAACGAACGACTCATATTACTTGATGATAAATGTCTCTGGTGGAAAGTAAAACGCGTCGATTCCGATGAAAATGGGTACGTACATTAGGAGAAAATGGCCAGTTATTAAATATTAATTTAAAATGAGCTTTTCTCAATATGTAAGTCGACACAGGTACATACGTAACGGATGAGAAATCTTTTTGACAATCTCTCGAGGCAATCTTATTCGTTTTATCTGGAAATTAAATAAGCTCTTCACCTTGGTCATACACTAGCAAAAAGATCGCCTCTTCTATTATACTATATGCTTGACACATTGGTGATTCTATGCAAATTAATTTCTATTTAGATACATTCCATCGAATTTTGCTCGACGTGAAAAACGTTCATTGCTTGATAAAATTATTTCGAAACGTATCAATAAAAAACCCACAATAACCAATGGAATCAATCTTGATCGTGTACAATCCTTAGCGCTTATTAAATTTCGATACGAAGCTGAAAGGTAACTAAACAAAAATAAAAGTCTGCAAACTAATTTTTTTGTTTGACCCACTTTTAGTGAAGATGAAATCAGTTTAAATAAAGGTATTTGGGTAAATGTATTACAAAAGAAAAACGATGGTTGGTGGCTTGTACAATATGAAAAACAACGTGGGTGGTTTCCATCAAATTATCTCATTGAAGTAAATAAAGAAAAATTCAATAAATTTGTTTATTTTGTTTTTTTAATATTTCTAGAAAACCAACGATGGTTTAAATTCTCTTACATTAATAAATCAATTAAAATACCATCATTCATCCTCCTCGTCCAATGGTTTATCGTCATCGAGCAGTGCTAATTCAAATATCATAGACATAAATCATAATCATCAACAACAACAAAATCGTCATAATTCTCATCCTTCACATATGACGAATACAGCGGATGAATATGCATTTGTTATAAAAGCATCAAAGTTTGCTCATTCCGATGGTAAACTCGATACATGTTTAACATTCAACAATCAACAACAAGAAAAAAATAATTCATGGTCCGCTTTATTACAATGCGATAAAACAAATTCAAGTTGTACGTCTCCCTCAATATTAAGCAATGAACCATTGACAATAGTTGATGGTTTAGCAGCATTAGCATTAAAAAAATATTCGAATGATTCACCCTATGAAAACGAACCATGGTATTATGGTTCCATAAGAAGAGAAGAAGCTGAAAAACTTTTAAAATTCTATGCAATGGAAAAAGGAGAGTTTCTCATACGAAACAGTGAACGAAAAGTAAGCAAAACAAGAAATGAAATTTTTCAAACAGAGAGTTATACGTCTATTTGCTTTTGAAAATAGGTTGGCAATTATTCATTAAGTATTCGATCTGATAATGATGTAATTCGACATTTTCTCATTGAATCAACTGATGATCAAACACATTTTAAAATCGGTAAACGTTCATTTAAAACATTAAATGATCTTATCGAACATTATAAAACACATCCAGTGTTTGATGCTGATCCCAATAATAAGCTATATTTAAAAACACCGTTGATTATTAATAATTCCAATCATCAATTCTAATTCTTAGTTGATTTACAAAAAAACCTAAAACAAGAAGTTGTACATAGTTTTGTATAGATTTATGCATATGTACGAAATAGCTCAAAACAAAGAAACAGCCTTTAAATGTGTTACTTGATGTTTTTCTTCTTTTTTTTTGTATTTGATAATAATAATAATAATGTTCGTTGCTTGATCACAAAAAATATCTACTATACATTTAATAATAAATTGCATATCATGCAGAGGAATTCGATAGACTCAATGTGTTCATTTTTTTACAAAAGATTATTGATAGTCAGAAGGCATTCGGGGACGAGGTCCTAAACTCTATTATGAAAATTTTGTTTTGCTTACCAATTCTAACGACCTTAGGGTTAGAGACCTGGATCAGAGTTGGTTGCACGTTTGACTAATAATTCAAATTTAACACGAGGTCATTGTAAAAATTGGAAGTTTTATTTACTATACAAAGCTGCATAGTCAACATTGAGTCCCCTCTTCGCTAAAGCCCTAAGAGCATTGCAAAAAACAAATACTCGTGATATTCAACGTAACTTAATGATGCAAAAGTAAGTTATACAATTCTGATCCAGGTTCTACACAAAGATGACAATCCGAGTTTCGGATTGTGAGTGGAAAACACCCATTGTTTGCCCTTCTTGTGTGTTTAAACGCGTTTTCAGACAAAATAAACCATGTAAATGCATATCACACAAGAGGAAAAAAGGACCATAGACAGTCCTTTTTTTTTCTACTAATTTTACTTGATAAATAATACATGTGTTACAGTAGAGTTCTATATAATCGTAGCAATAATCTACATTAAAGAAAAAGTATTGAGAAAAATAAATGAAAACGCTGCTTAAAACATTGTCATTTTATTTTATTTAGAATTGTTCGGTGTACTGATTAGCTAAAAAATCCTCGCAGCCAATTATTCATAAGCCTGTAAAGACAACGTAAGGATTCTCATCATTCGGAGAGTAAGTCTAGACGAAAAGATTTTTCTCTCAATGTCTAACGTATAGAATCAAAAAAATTACTCATCATTAGTATAATATTTAATATGCAGTTTTTTTTATGCAAATTCAATTCAATAGAGAATTTTTTGTCAAACAATGATTAACACCGTTGCACATATTTTGACATTCTTTGATGTTATTCTAGAAGTTATTTTTAATACAACAAAAAGAAAAACATTTTATGCCTCTCAAATTATTTTTGTTGTTACAATTGTGGAGAAGAAGAAAAACATAATTTGCATATTTTCAAAATGAAAAAATATTATTTCGTTTGTTATTCTTATGCATGGAAATAATTAATCTGACAGACACAAAATATATCTGGTTATTTGTCTTCAGCTATCAGATAATTTATGTATTTCAGTAAGTTTATCGAATGAATAGAACAGGATATTTATGGCCATGTAAGCTGTACAAATGACGTTTTTCATCTTGATAGACAACCGAGATATCTTCACGATATTTATCGAGAAGAGGTGTGACGTTAACAACATCTTGAATATTTTCATAGAAATGCATAACTTGCATTTCATCAGAAGAATAATAAACACATGTTCCTCCAACAGTTTTCCCACGTTGCAGACAATTGGAACAACAATAATAGCCATTGTGTTGTTTAATGCAAATCGATAATGAACGACATGGAAGATCGACTTTAAAAAGTTGAAACTTGATATTGAACTTTTGACCACTAATAACAATGAAATTTTCATTAATTATTTTTCTCATCTGTTGGCATAGATTATCATAGAGAATTGATGGTGTAGGTTCATTTTCAGAGAAATAAAGTACAAAGAGAAGTTTATTTCGAGCATATTCACGATGAGGAGACGGAATTTCTAAATAAAACTTTTTACGCTTTGTTGTAATTAACTGAATCCCATCAGCATGAATTGTAAGTGTTAATCGATTAAATATACTATCCTTATAAATTTGCTGATATGCTACACTATTAACTATATCATTAGGCAGTAGCAAATGTGCACGTTGTTGATATTCAATTATTAAAGGTAAATTACGTTTAATGACATTTTTTATTCGATCGACGATATTAGCTTTATTCATAATCATTATCATCAACTCAAAAAACATAAACTATTTATTTTTCACGATTTAATTATTTTTTTGTCAAGAAATATTTATGGAGATTTTGACTTTTCAGTAGATGTCTATTTATTAATCAATTAACATAATATTCAACATGGTTGAGAAAAAAAGAAGAACGATTTTGATTGGCTGTTTGATCTAGAAGTTTTGCTTTTTTTATGCCTTTCACACAGTTGTTAATTTGTAATATATCTATTTTCAGAGAAAACTTTTGTAAATATCTTGAAAACAGTCTTTTTTTTGCACGAATTTGACTTTTGATTCTTGTTTTACCATTGTAGACAATCTTAATTTAGTCAATTATAAAATTGTTTTTATTCTACAATATATAACCGTCGACATTCATTGGAAAACATATTAAATAAAATTCCAAAGAATATACGTTTATTTTATTAAAAAAGATTAAAGAACTTAAAAACTCTAGAAAATACACTTATGTTTATTGGGTTTTTTAGTGTCTATTGTACTATATATTTGATCATCGACAAATAGCTATATTTATTTCTAAGTTTTTCTTTGGTTAAATTGATCGAAAGTAATATCAATTTATTTATCCATTCTGCTCTATATGTGTTATTAAAATCCAGTTACTGTCGAGTAATGTTTGCGAATAATACAAAATAATAAACTCGTATTTTCTTCATGTTTTACGAGTTCTCATGCTTATTAATTGTACATATTTTTATATTTTTAGTTTTCAACTGAGAACAAAAAAGGAAACGTTGTTTAATTAGCTCAGTTATCTTTATTGCATAAAGAAAAAGAATAAAGTTTTGTTAGTAATTCTAGAAGAGATGAAACAAATATATCATCTTCGTTTGATTCTATTTTGAAGCCAATACAAATCTTAGATGAACTATATTTCCATTCAAACATTCATAAATTAAAGTCTTATCGATAGTTGAAAATTACAAGCTATATTTCCATTCAAACATTCATAAATTAAAGTCTTATCGATAGTTGAAAATTACAAGCTATATTTCCATTCAAACATTCATAAATTAAAGTCTTATTGATAGTTGAAAATTACAAACTATTTTTCCATTATGAATTCATTGACATTTTATTGAAAGTTATTCGAGTGTAATCTATGATTGGCTCTGCTNCAAGCTATATTTCCATTCAAACATTCATAAATTAAAGTCTTATCGATAGTTGAAAATTACAAGCTATATTTCCATTCAAACATTCATAAATTAAAGTCTTATCGATAGTTGAAAATTACAAGCTATATTTCCATTCAAACATTCATAAATTAAAGTCTTATCGATAGTTGAAAATTACAAACTATTTTTTCCATTATGAATTCATTGACATTTTATTGAAAGTTATTCGAGTGTAATCTATGATTGGCTCTGCTACCATTTATTTAAGAGGTGTTACATATCCGAAATATTGGACATGCTGGAGATGCCAAGGCAGACGCCGACGTACAAAACAATAACTAACACATAATACAAATACTATGCGTATGCAAGATTATTTAACCCTTTCCGGCCCGCTGTTTGGAAATTGCCGTACCCCCCTAGGGGAAAATGTTGCCATATGGCAACACCGGGCCGGAAAGGGTTAAGCACACTCTGCGTCTCACGCAGAGACACCGCATCTTCGGGGAAGTGCTGAGCAAAAATACTTTCCTGATTTGAAGGCTATGACCAATACACATCCTTGGGGCACACTAGAGTGTGGAAGCCATTTATCCAGCAATGCTGTCTAACTCACATGGAAGGCGAACCCATAAATTAGTTCATCATAGCACGCAGTGAACGGTGCTGGTGAGCGCCGAAACAATTATCGACTTGCTAAGTCGTAGTCATCCATGGATATAGCTGCATAAACAAAATACTAAATTCACAGCGAATGACAGGTAAAAAGGTAAAAACAGGCGCATTGCCAACCACGTGGAAAAGGCAAATCATTCGATATTGGCGCGTCGCTGCGGTAGGCAAGCATGAAAACACGCGCACCTACTTAAAACGCAAGTTGAATGCATGCACCCACACCCATATCTTACGGTTAGAGTGATAATTCGAGTAACAGAGATCCGTCCGTATCTGTACACCGTCGTTTTCCAGCTATCATCAGACCCACATTAGGTATGCTGTATACGTGTGTAAACGAGGTATTCTGCCTTTCGTGACACCCACACTTGCGATGGGTGCGGCAGTGTGTGAATGCGTTAATGTGTTTTCGTGCATCTCTACCGTGGTCGCACACCAACATTGAGTGATATGCGTTTTTGGCGTGGTTAGCAGTTTGCCTGTTTTACCTTTTTGTGCCTGATTCAGTGTATATCTAGTGCTTTTCCTATGTGACTCTATCCACGAAAGACTTCGATTTGGTGTGCCTACCTATGTTTCGACGCTCACCCTCTCGCTATGGAGACGCATCTTCAGGTGGGGTCTATGGGCTAAAAATCAAAAAATATTTTTTCATCGCGAGATTCGGCATATACAGATTGCGCCTGATGGATTCCTTACAGCTATGATATTTGTATTTGTTGGGAGTATTGCTGCTGTGTATCCCGCATCTCCCATGGCACCTCTGGCATGCCCGATTTGTTGGATATGTGACACTGCTGTATCTTTGTGAACAATATTCTGTAGATAGCATGGCAATGTTGTAACGGTACGAGATGTTTTATTCCAATCATCCTTCTCCTTTTATAGTTACACTTTCTTTCTCTGGAGTGCGTCACTCAACCGGAGAGAACTAGAAAGAACACGACAAAGAGGAAGAGACAATACACATGACAATGAGGAGAAAGTCGTTATGTACATTGATTAGGATAGAACGAGTGCTTATATTTGCAGTCACATTTTCAGCAGAAATGAACCACCCCACATAAAGTCATGCGTTTTAAGTAGAAATGGAAAAGAAAGAATATAAATGCACATATATATATATATATATATATATATATATATAGACCAAATGTCATAGGCTCACAAGAAATTCAAGTTATCCTGGTCTAATTTTCCTTTATAAATATATGCGATATTTATCAGTTTGATCACTTTAGATCTAAAATGATCAAAAGGGACTAAGGGGAGTAATAGGACTAAAGAGATTAAAGAAATCTAAAGAATAATGAGGGTTTATATTTGTAAAGAAAAGTTAGACCAGGATAACTTTAATTTCTTATGGACCCCTCCTTATTCTCGTTTATATTTTATCTAAATTAATATCTCTCTTATAATGATTGAATTATATCTTTATCTTTATACAGAAACATAGAAAATCATCTTTGAAAACAAAGTTTAATTTCGCAAGATATAAAAAAATACGCGGAAGCTATGTTTGGTTTTGGAAAATTATTTTTAAAAATTCATCAGTTAGTTTGAAAATATGTTCAAGATTCTGCTTCTAATGATGATTAACAATGTACTGATGTGATTATAATTTAGTTAAATATTTCTGAAACAATTAAATGCTATTTCGATTTCAAGTTGATTGAAATGCTTATAATAGTAACGATAGTTTTTGTTTGTTGCTGAATTATAAATCCTAATATATATTTTTTCTACGATTTAGAATTCAAGAACTCTTAGCAAATCCAAGAAATTTCAAGCAGAAAAATGTCGCTCAGGCAAAAATTATTTTCTTTTCATTCTGTTTATGTAAGACGATCAAAGATATACACGTACATATACATGCTTCCGTTCTAAACATATATCGAGATATTCAGTACCTATGACTAGAAATAAAGAAAACACACCTTTCAATATTGTTTTCTATCATTTCTACAAATAAATGCAAATTCTTTGCGCCCGTTTTAACTTGTTTTTCCTTTGCCATATTACTATCTATATCACTATTTCCATTCTGTCGAAGAAAACAAAATTTGGACTGAATAATATTTCTTCACAAGCCCTGAATAGAACAGCGCAACATGTAAGAAATAAAAAATACCCACCATCCTTAACTTGAACCAAACGAAAGCTTTTTTAATAGCACTCGTAACCATAATATATGCATAAAAAAGTCTGCAAATGAAGGAATTTTCTTATTCCATAAAACTGTATTACTCCACTGACAGCTAATACTACAATCATGACAATCACCAGCTGGATATTTTTCACTTCAAGATACCCCTACCCTCCATAATTATTCCGCACTTACCCACGATTTTTTTTCAAGAACACCTCCATTTTCACTTACAAAACCACAATATCAGCATAAGATTAGCTGTTAGGTTCCACATATGACTATCAGGACAACTTTCCAGCATGCAACACGATATACAGTACAGATTGTTCCTGATATACGGCGATATGACTTATTCATTTCACATTCAAAATAAACCATCCCTAGTGAAACATCTTGTAAGTAAGATCTTGAAATCTTGGGATTGGTAGGTAAGATCTTATCAAGATCTTTAGAAGATAATTCGCTTGTTCAGATCTTGTCCTATCTGATAAATCTGTAC